TATTTAAGATAAATACAAATTTTATAATCAAATAATTAAGAATTAAGATATTTTCAAATTACAAGAGTGTTTTGAAAAAAATTTAATTTGAAACGACATTTATTTAGTTAGTTAACCTTTTCGCAATGTTTTTAATTTTTTAAATCAACTATTATAATTTTTGTGGTTATGTTTTTGTTTTTGAAAAATAAATTCATTATTTCTATATTTATCTTTCATTCTACTGTTATTAAATTGACTATTTTAGTTTCTTAACTTCATCATTGAACCTTATAAAGTCATATCCCAAATTGAGAACATCAACTCTTAACTTATCATCTTCAAGTTTTTTTAATTCAATCTGCATTTATTATTTTACTTCCTCATTTTCCATAATATTCACATTTAGCTAATTAAAATATTTAATTTTATTACTTTGTATTTAGTTTCATGTATATTGATAATTTTACCGCATTTATCAAAATGATCAATTATAGAACAAAACAAATTCTGTGGGTCATCATAAATTAGAATCTCATCAATCATTTTAGTAGGAAGACTCCTCTTTAAAACTTTATTTTCAAAACTAAATTTGTGTCTTCTCATTATTTCCCTTTTTTTTTCTTTAATTGGATTCTTTTACTAATTATTTCTTGATTTAAATGATGATTTTTGAAATAAATTGGCCATTTATTAGTTTGCTTCTTCTTAATCTCTTATCATCTGTTATTTAAGTTTATATTCCTCTTTTTATTATTCCAATTATTGATTTATTCTTTCCTATAAATTATTGAATTATTCTTATATTTAATATAAATTAGCTTCTACACCCATTGTCCAAGGATGTTCCAAACATTTTTCAGGTGTTATTCTTCTATTGAAATCAGGATCAAACATCCTATTAATCAGATCTCTTAAAATATCGAAAAATATAAAATACTTAAAATCTTCTGGAAATCCTTATGGAAATAGTGTTTAATGTGAATTATTTTAAAAATTCCAAAATTAGGCATAATCATTCTATTTAATTAAATTATATGGTTATTCTTAACAATTTTGAAAAGCAAAACAACCAGTTATCATTGCAAATAATATTTAAGCAGCAGCAAAAACATCAACTTTTGATCCATCATAGGCTATTCTATGCAAAAGTTCAGGTGCCATATAAGCTAAAATTTTAAATTTTAAATATACGTTTTGATCCTCCATGGAAGTCTTTAATCAATCCTTATACTTATTTAGAAAATCCAAAATCTGTAATTTTCAAATTAAAATCTGAGTCAAACACAATATTATCTGGTTTTAAATCTAAATGGCAAATGTTATGTTTTTTCATATGAATTAAAGCTGTCATTAATTAGCGAAAATAAAATCTTGAAGTTTGTTAGTCAAAATTTTGAAGTACGTTCAAATACGAAAGCATACTACCTTTTTCTCCTAATTCTAAGATCATACCAATTTTATAAACAATTTATCCATTTTTTTTCTAATTATAAGAATTTAAATTACTATGTAGGTAAGATTATCACTAACTTATTTATGTTCTACAATTCTTGGATGTTTAAGTTGTTTTAAAATATAAACCTCTTATTTTAGTTTTTATATTATTTCATGCCTTTCTTATTCATTTTATATCTTCAAAAACTTAATAGCTACTTATTCATGGCCTTTTTGTCCCAATTTAACACTTATGACTTATAATCAATTTTATACACTGCAAAACCTCCATGACCTAGATATTTGATTATAAGATAGCCTTCGCATATACTTCTAACCTCTTCTGATTCCATCTGGTTTACTTAATCTTCGTCTTAAATTATTAATTTTATTTTTCATAATTTATGCACTTTATTTAAGAGGAATATAAATTTTATAATCAAATAATTAAGAAATTAAGATACTTTATTAAAAGAGTGTTTTGAAAGCTTTGATTTATTTTAATGATCAAATATATTTAATCTTTGATATCTAATTAAATTCTTATATCATAGCAATCATTTATACATACTATATTTGCACATTTAAGCAAAGATGGGTTTAATTATGAAGCTAATTAAGTATATTTAAATGATACAAGAAATCAGGAATTGATTGTCAGCTCCCCTAAGAATCACAACAAAAATTGTAAATAAAATAAATAATTAATTAATACTTAATGTTAATTATTCTATAAACTACATATCTTGAATGTCCAACCAAATTTATTTCAATCCTCCATTAAATGTGATTATGCTAAAATTATTGTTCCATTTCATTTTAGCAACTAAATCTATTTAAGATAAAGATATTTTTATTTGTAAATAAAAAATTATCCCAGAAGCTAATAGATTCATAATCTCATCTCATTTTCTTTCTATATAGATTTAAATAAGAATTGCAATCTTTATTCTATATCAATTAATTTTTATACTTTTATTAAAAATTACATTTAATTACGATTATTTGCAGTAACCACCATTATTTAGAATGAATTTTAATTAAATATCATTTGACCCTGATGAGTATGTTTATAACTAACTAAAACTAATGAAGAGATTAATGTAGAGACTAACTAATTCGACCATGCTGCTATAATTTATAAATAATTGTAAATAAAATTTTTGAATATCCTCTTTTTCAGTTTAATTCTACTATCTATAATCTTTTCTTTATTTTGTTTTATTAAACTATTTATAATAAAAGTAAAAGACTTTTCCTAAAAAGTTCCTCAAAATGCATGCCAACGTCTTTCTCTAAAATTTTAAGGACACTTAATAAACTCTTAATTTAATTATATTGGATCATAAATTAATCTTATAATAATTATAAATTATTTTGAATTTAATGAATCTGAAGTTTATATTTAAATATGGTCCAACTTAGCCATAACCTTAACTATTGGATAAAAGGGATCCATTTTTGGTTAATTCAGCAGAAGTAAGATATATTTAAACAATAATGCAGGATTAAAGCATCTAAAATTAAAATAACAATATCTAAATTACAATGAATCAAGATATTCTATTATATGATAATGAAAAAGACGACAACCTATTTTTAAGTTTTACCAATTTTATAGGAATATTATTATGCATATATGAGATAAAAAAACATTGAAGGACGCATATTCAAATAATTATCGAATTATGCTGGTTTATTGTTGATATACATTCCATATTGAATTATAATGGTAGTATATAAGATTTTCTATTTAGATTAGAAAAATGAAAATTTTAACAGTTTAAAAAAAAAACTGATCTAAAATCTTAAGTTNCATAGCAATCATTTATACATACTATATTTGCACATTTAAGCAAAGATGGGTTTAATTATGAAGCTAATTAAGTATATTTAAATGATACAAGAAATCAGGAATTGATTGTCAGCTCCCCTAAGAATCACAACAAAAATTGTAAATAAAATAAATAATTAATTAATACTTAATGTTAATTATTCTATAAACTACATATCTTGAATGTCCAACCAAATTTATTTCAATCCTCCATTAAATGTGATTATGCTAAAATTATTGTTCCATTTCATTTTAGCAACTAAATCTATTTAAGATAAAGATATTTTTATTTGTAAATAAAAAATTATCCCAGAAGCTAATAGATTCATAATCTCATCTCATTTTCTTTCTATATAGATTTAAATAAGAATTGCAATCTTTATTCTATATCAATTAATTTTTATACTTTTATTAAAAATTACATTTAATTACGATTATTTGCAGTAACCACCATTATTTAGAATGAATTTTAATTAAATATCATTTGACCCTGATGAGTATGTTTATAACTAACTAAAACTAATGAAGAGATTAATGTAGAGACTAACTAATTCGACCATGCTGCTATAATTTATAAATAATTGTAAATAAAATTTTTGAATATCCTCTTTTTCAGTTTAATTCTACTATCTATAATCTTTTCTTTATTTTGTTTTATTAAACTATTTATAATAAAAGTAAAAGACTTTTCCTAAAAAGTTCCTCAAAATGCATGCCAACGTCTTTCTCTAAAATTTTAAGGACACTTAATAAACTCTTAATTTAATTATATTGGATCATAAATTAATCTTATAATAATTATAAATTATTTTGAATTTAATGAATCTGAAGTTTATATTTAAATATGGTCCAACTTAGCCATAACCTTAACTATTGGATAAAAGGGATCCATTTTTGGTTAATTCAGCAGAAGTAAGATATATTTAAACAATAATGCAGGATTAAAGCATCTAAAATTAAAATAACAATATCTAAATTACAATGAATCAAGATATTCTATTATATGATAATGAAAAAGACGACAACCTATTTTTAAGTTTTACCAATTTTATAGGAATATTATTATGCATATATGAGATAAAAAAACATTGAAGGACGCATATTCAAATAATTATCGAATTATGCTGGTTTATTGTTGATATACATTCCATATTGAATTATAATGGTAGTATATAAGATTTTCTATTTAGATTAGAAAAATGAAAATTTTAACAGTTTAAAAAAAAAACTGATCTAAAATCTTAAGTTGCTATTTTTCATAAACCTATCAAGGTAGTTTTGTATTTTTTATAAAAATATTCAAAATTTAATAAAAATTCAATCCTTAATTTTTACTATGAAATTGTATTTTCAAATAAACTTGTTTCTTGTAATAATTATATTTATCAATATCTCTTAATAAATAAATAATTTTTCATAAAATTTATTTGCTTACAAAAATTTTGCATCCCCTGTTTATTGTAATTGATATATCTATGAATAATGATTTTTTTTTTGTGGAAAATTAATGAATCAAGACTATAAAGTAGATGGTTTATTCTAAGTTAAAAATCTTCTTTAGCCTTAAGAAATACAACATCCAAATAAATTCAATTTTTAATTAGATCTGTTATTCTAATCATAAAAAAAAGTATATCTCATCTTTCAATTTCAGATTCGTATAATAATTATCAAACGGTGGATTCAGAATATTAAAATATATGCGAAGCAATAAAGAGATATTCATATGAATTTTATGATTCTTAGATATCAAAAAGATAAGATGATTACTGAATACTCACAGAAAAATGGCCTAGTATCGATAAATATTTGCGATATGGAACATTTCATTGTTAAATTTATCAATCACCATCACATAATTATATTTCCCAACTTTCTAGTATCTATATATTTAGCAAAGAATAAGCTTACTCAACCAAAGAGCAGCCAGAATATAGAAAGGCTTCACATGCTGCCAAAACTGAATAATACAACATAAATATAAAATAATTTACATAACAAAAGTTTCCCATCTTGTAAAATAATGAGTAAACTAAATAAAAACAGAAAGGATGAAGGATTATAAACATTTTACAAATATTCAAACGATATTATTCATTTTGTAACAAAGTGATTATTAAATGTTCTGGCTAATCAGACAAATGTTAAGCAACTAATAATTTCTTTCCAAAGTCTACCTACATAATCCACTATTAAATATATTGAAATAAAGGAGTTATAATAATTGATGCCTTAAGATAAGGCAGTCAATTAGATTATGAATTTAATTCGTACCTGCACAAAACAATCACCTCTGCATGATCTATGGAAATATTCAACAATGAAAACAAACTTCCATTTTTTTACAATTACATTATTTTCACTTAATAAAATATTTCCTTAAGTACCAAGTAACAAATTTCTTCCACCTATTTTCTCAAAATTTAGTATTCAAATAAATATATTAAACCTCATAAATTTATTAGCCACAATAGAAAAAAGTAAAATTGCATATTGATTTATTTATCTAATGCATTTAATACCGTAAATAGAAGTTGATTCTCTTTAAGTACTCCATATAGATTTACTTTTTTTTACATCCATTAAATAATGACCTAGCCTTCTTTGCTAACCTAGTTCTTCAAAGGTAAGCTCTATTCCCTCTATTATTCAAAATTTATCTCTGGCTAGTGTTGCGAATAATTAAAGAGACATCCTATATATCCATAGATACTAATGCTAAGTTGATGTTATTATAATAATAATTAAACATCAAGAAACTAATAATTCCTCCTATTTCATTATAAAAACCTTTTGGAAAAGAAATATGATTTTTTGTAAAACTCCCATTTTGTAGATATAAGAATAGGAGAAAACACCCTTCGCTTCTCTTCCATCAAAAATTGGGATTGTTTTTTCCTCACGCTCGAAACATGCTACTAATATTGTATTTTTGACTAAGATCAAAAAACAAAAACTAAAAATTCAAAATATTTACTATAATTAAGCCCAAAGAGAAGAATTGAACTTAAGATATTCAGTAACTTGAAGTAAAATCCAAAGCAAACGAATCATGAAAATTGTTAAATATCTTGATAACAACTCTTCTTTATATATTACCATATCTTTGTTTTATCTACAGCTTTCTTATTCAGCATGATAATCAAAAAGAAGAATTAACTTCTGATTTTAAATATTAATGTATTTTTGCTGTATATTATGATAATATTTCTTTTATAAAATTAATAAAAATATCTGGTTTTTATCTGATAACCTCAACATATGCATGTATCTAATCTCAATATAATTTTCTTCTTACAATAGAGAGAGGAGGCTCAATACCATGAAGAACAAATAACTCCTTGTTTCTAAAGTGGAAATAGATTTGAGAATCTGATCTCATCGAGGAGAAAAATATTTTTATTTGTACTTTTTATGTGGATTGGTTTTAAATCTACAGGAGTAGAATTGAAAATGCCTGCTTAGTTTGAACGAAGGGAGAAAGATATAAACTCCTAATAGTCTTTAAATCGGTTTAGGAGCTATTATATATACATTCAAAGAATTTTTGTGCAAGGGATGTATTTATGATTCCCATTTTTGATGTTATTTTTCTTATTTCAGTTACAATAAGGGGCTTCATAAATTAATCTGGGAAAATCTGCAATTTAATAAATAATATCATGATAATTTAAAGAGAAAGTGAAAGCACATCTTTAAAAAAACAGCAAATTAACTATTTTGATAACATATTTAGTTTATTTAGTAATTTAATCATCAGCAAATATACAAGTCTTTTACTAAACATATAAAAAAACAAATCAATTTTAAATTGAAAAAGATTAATGGGGAAATTGATTTATCATTGAATATTTATTATAATTTCTCATATTCTTTTTTTCTCATTCAATATTCTTCTTACATCTTTTTCTTCTAATTCTTCGATTTTTATTTTACCCTCCTACATAAACCTTAGTTTCTCATCATAGCTTAATTGTAAGCTTGATTCATTTATAATCTCATTTACATGATACTGTCCATCTATCAGTTCGAAACTTTAACAATTAATTATCTTTCTTAATGGTTCCATCTAAATATCTTTAATTAAAGAAATAAGATCACTCACTGAATAGCTATCCGTTAACCCACTTAAAAAGTTAAACTATGGTAAGTTTTTTGCTATTAGTTATTCTCTAAATTTCTTCTCTGGTAATAATATTACTGTGGCTTTATCATATGGTAATTTTTAAGGATAAAGGTCCAGTTTCTCTGGGGACTGAGTGATTAATACCAATTTGTGTTCTTATTCTTAACATATCTTTAAAATTTCAATTAATTTATAATATTTCTCCTATTGAACAAAACTAAAATATTCCAAGTCATCAAAAAATACTAGCTTTTTTCTTTCTTACTTTATCAATTCAACCATCTATGATGCTTCCAAATTTTGGAACTCATTAACACAGTTGAAAAACAAATGACAAGAATCATTTATTTATGCAAAATATTTGCATAAAAAAGTCTTTCCTGTTCCTGGTCTTCCTGTTATTAATATACCACTGAATGGACCTTCTTTGAATTTATTTAATTGTTCTAATGTTTCCTTGACAGAATCCTCAAGTACAATATTTAAACCAGTCTAAATCATTTTATTAAATTATTAATTATTTCTCCCATTCTTTTGGTATAAAAATAACTTCATTTCAAATCTTAATTCTGTTCTGATGATTTCCATTTATTTAATTTTTTATTTTTCCAACAAATATTTTAGAAATAATTATTTTTTATTTCTAGAAATCAATATATGATTTTGGATTTGAATAGATGATTTTTTGAGGAATTTTTATGTGAGAGATACTATCCAGAATCAAATTTTTTTAAAACAATCATTACTTATTTAATCGTAATTTTGAATTACAAATTTATATTTTAACCTTGATTTGATGATCCTGATTATTTTTTTTATTATTTAATTTTTTGGGGATGACAATTGAAAAAAATAAAATATATAAAAAAAATAAAATTAGAAAAAATGTTTTTTATCATTTTATTCAAATTAAAGTTTTAATTAAATAATTTCTAACAGATGCATGACTTTTTTCACAAAAATCATATTAGATGAAAATAAATTGAAATTTTTTTTATCCTTTTTTTAAGCCAAAACTGAGAAATTGAAACAGTCGTTATTATTCCAAAGATACTTAAAATCTATTTTTATTTTTTTTTCAAAAGAATTTATTATAAATCATGCAAGATTCTACTGTGGAAAATACCCCTTATTTAAGCTTTTACAAAAGTTTGTTAACTATTGATCCAACTTTTTGTATTATAAATTAATTTAGATTTCAGTTGATTTTTTAATTGAATTAAAATACGAAGTCAATGTAAAAATAAATTTAAGGAAAAGATAATTCTTTATATAAATTATGGGCTTTTCATTTGATTAGCTGTTAGTTGTCTCTACAAAATTTTTCTACTCACTGTGCCAAACCATCCAAACCTTTTTAAACTTTTTAAATATATTAATTGGACTACAGTAATCTTAATAATTATTGTTTAATTCCATAAATAATAATTAAAAATGATATAATTGAGAATTGACATTTCCTTACTTTTTACATTCATGATAATTTAAGTAATTTGGCCCTTGGAAAGCTTAATCTTATTAAAAACTACAACTCAAATACATCAAAAGCATCTATTAAAATGATTATCTGAGTAATTTGGATAATTCTTTATTGTATAATCTTAATAAATTAAAAATATTAATGACTCTAAATTATATAAACCTTATTTAATAATTTATAGTATATTTCTATTGATAAAAAACTTTGTAATAAGATTTAACAGAAATTATTGAATAATAATAAAGTGTAAGATCAACTGAATAAAATAGAACTAAAGAAAAAAAATAAAAATAATAATTAATTGTTGATATCTGCATTTTTTATCTTTCAATTATATACTTAATGAAAATCAGAATTACTTTCTTTTAAAATTAGATGGATAAAAAGAAAATTTTATTTATTTTAAATCTAATAAGAATCATAAATTCATTTTATTATTTAATTTTCTTATTCATAATCAAATTTATACATTTCAATCTTATAATTATTCAATATATATTTAATGTGATGAGGGTATTATTTTTATTTTTTATGATATCATTAAAATAATTTTGATTAATTAGGGGGGGGGTACTTATAAATTTAAGACTTTAAATCCAATTATTTAAAGTCCCCAAATACGTTTCATGTATAATTACGGCTTAATTTTTATTACCTAAATATTTATAATTAAAAATGTTTTGTGCTTATTATTTATTATTTAATTTTTATTTGTTATTTAGATAATTTTTTATAGTGATATAATTATTTGGTAGAAATATATTACCTTCAATTTAGGAATTTCTAATCAATGAAAATATTTATACTTTCAAGCATGCTAATAGAAGTCCAAAAATTATAATTACTTTTATTCATTTAAAAAAAAAAAATTAGGGTCATGAAACCTTAAAAATTGAATTCATAATAGTAAAATTATTCTTTTTATCAATTATAATAGTTTAAAGAAAATTGAAAATATAAAAAATTATCTATAACTTTAAATTTATAATTAATCTAATAATTATTAGTTGATTTCATCCTCTTGGGAATATTTTGGATGCTATACTCTTAAAAGTCATAATGTTTAAAGGTTTAGTCATAAAAAAGTCTATACCAGCATCATATGCTTTTTCCTTAGTTTCCAAATCACTAAATCCAGTGTTGGCAATAACATAAACCTTTTTAATTATTCTATTATTCATAATTCTTTTAATAATTTTAACAGTTTCAACTCCACCCATAATTGGCATATTAATATCAAGGAAGATTAGTTAATAGCAACTGTTTTAACATTTTGAACAAGGATTAATTAATTTTTCATTTAATTATTCAATAGCTTCCATTCCATTATAAGCTTTATCACAAATGGCAGAATATAATTGCATTAACATTTACAATGCCATCATATTAAAATATTCATCATCAACGATTAAAACTCTTTTACAACATGTGCTTTTAAGAGCATAAGCTTAAATAGTATCTTAGTTTTATGGTATAAAGGATTAGAGAGGTTGAAGAGTTTATTTATTTTCTTCAATTTCTTTTAAATAAACAGTAATATTGCCATTATCTATCCACTCATAATACATTTTAGAATTATAAATGATATAATATACATATAATTAATGTTCATAGTGTAATTTTATTTATAGATTTCTAGAAAAATACTATATGTAGTAAATTTACTTATTCATTGGCTGATTTTTTTCAATCCAAAATAAGAATTTTACAGATTCAAAAGATAAAATAAAAACTAATTAGAACTGATATTTTATTCAAATAAGCAGTTTTAAACTATTTCATACACCTTTAAATATTTTTATTTAGGCTGGATAAAATAGAAATGTATTTATAAAAATATTGATTTGATTTTTACATTTATCATAAAATTATTATTATTAATAATTTTACTCATCATTTTATAATATTTATTAGGTGAAGTAGATAAAATTATTAATATAATTATATTAATATTTCAATTTTTTAAAGACAAAAAGATGAAAAAGCTATTATGTAAGAAATCAATATATAACATGATCTTTATGAGTTCATATTAAACAATTCTTTATTTTTAATTAAAATCAGAATTATTAAATAAAGAGTCTAAATTGATAATCCTTAGAAAAAATTTAACTAGAATTAGAAAGTTTCTCAAAAGCTAAATAACTAAAATTATAAAGTGCTATTATAAACTATGATAAAGTACTATAGGAACAATAGAAATTTATATCTCTGATGGCAAAAAGCTTTATAGTTTAAGAATTTTTCAAAGAATGTTAATATTTATGTAAATCTACTATTTTTTAATTCTATTTAAAATAAATATATTCAGAATTACTAAAAAGAAGAAAATATTTTACAAAAAGTACTTGTTTTGTAAAACATATGTATATACTTTAGCATTTGATTTACATGTTTATATTTTTTAAATAATCAAATCACAAAACTATTTAATTAATTTTTGAGATACTTTTAATTTGAAAAAGTTTATGTTTACATAAAGCGAAATCTTGAATTTTATTTGTTAAGATCTTCGAAAGAATCTTGGAGGAATCTATTTTTAGGTTTTTAAAATTGTTCAATTAATAATTTTGGGAGATATAGAAGNGTTTATTTATTTTCTTCAATTTCTTTTAAATAAACAGTAATATTGCCATTATCTATCCACTCATAATACATTTTAGAATTATAAATGATATAATATACATATAATTAATGTTCATAGTGTAATTTTATTTATAGATTTCTAGAAAAATACTATATGTAGTAAATTTACTTATTCATTGGCTGATTTTTTTCAATCCAAAATAAGAATTTTACAGATTCAAAAGATAAAATAAAAACTAATTAGAACTGATATTTTATTCAAATAAGCAGTTTTAAACTATTTCATACACCTTTAAATATTTTTATTTAGGCTGGATAAAATAGAAATGTATTTATAAAAATATTGATTTGATTTTTACATTTATCATAAAATTATTATTATTAATAATTTTACTCATCATTTTATAATATTTATTAGGTGAAGTAGATAAAATTATTAATATAATTATATTAATATTTCAATTTTTTAAAGACAAAAAGATGAAAAAGCTATTATGTAAGAAATCAATATATAACATGATCTTTATGAGTTCATATTAAACAATTCTTTATTTTTAATTAAAATCAGAATTATTAAATAAAGAGTCTAAATTGATAATCCTTAGAAAAAATTTAACTAGAATTAGAAAGTTTCTCAAAAGCTAAATAACTAAAATTATAAAGTGCTATTATAAACTATGATAAAGTACTATAGGAACAATAGAAATTTATATCTCTGATGGCAAAAAGCTTTATAGTTTAAGAATTTTTCAAAGAATGTTAATATTTATGTAAATCTACTATTTTTTAATTCTATTTAAAATAAATATATTCAGAATTACTAAAAAGAAGAAAATATTTTACAAAAAGTACTTGTTTTGTAAAACATATGTATATACTTTAGCATTTGATTTACATGTTTATATTTTTTAAATAATCAAATCACAAAACTATTTAATTAATTTTTGAGATACTTTTAATTTGAAAAAGTTTATGTTTACATAAAGCGAAATCTTGAATTTTATTTGTTAAGATCTTCGAAAGAATCTTGGAGGAATCTATTTTTAGGTTTTTAAAATTGTTCAATTAATAATTTTGGGAGATATAGAAGGAATATTTTGCAAACTTAAATGTTAATTTTGCAATCAAATAACTTGAAAATTATCAGTATCAGTAGAATAAGATTTAAAACTGTCAATTTTCAAATTTCATTAAATTAAATTCTTCCTTTGAAAAAATTCTTAATATTAAATAACTAAAATAATTAATTAAGCTATTAAATTAGAGTCTAAGTTAGAATTCTTTAATTCAACAAAATTTAGTGATTCTAATGATAAACATTCGAAACAAGTTATAACATGGATTTTATCAAAAGATTCAAAACTCTTTTTTTATATGAATAATTATAAAATACATATGGAATCCAAAATAAATGACTAAAAACAATATAGTGATTATATATACTCTTATTTTAAATAATAATCACTTAATTTTACTTTCTCATCCTTCTCATTTATATGATTATTATGATTATTGCAATAAATTCCTCATTTCTTATGCTGCTCTTTCATAATCTCTCATCTTCTATTTTTTACGTTTATATTCCTCTTTTTATTATTCCAACTATTGATTTATTCTTTCCTATAAATTATTGAATTATTCTTATATTTAATATAAATTAGCTTCTACACCCATTGTCCAAGGATGTTACAAACATTCTTCAGGTGTTATTCTTCTATTGAAATCAGGATCAAACATCTTATTAATCAGATCTCTTAAAATATCGAAAAATATAAAATACTTAAAATCATCTGGAAATCCTTATGGAAATAGNTAGAAATTTATATCTCTGATGGCAAAAAGCTTTATAGTTTAAGAATTTTTCAAAGAATGTTAATATTTATGTAAATCTACTATTTTTTAATTCTATTTAAAATAAATATATTCAGAATTACTAAAAAGAAGAAAATATTTTACAAAAAGTACTTGTTTTGTAAAACATATGTATATACTTTAGCATTTGATTTACATGTTTATATTTTTTAAATAATCAAATCACAAAACTATTTAATTAATTTTTGAGATACTTTTAATTTGAAAAAGTTTATGTTTACATAAAGCGAAATCTTGAATTTTATTTGTTAAGATCTTCGAAAGAATCTTGGAGGAATCTATTTTTAGGTTTTTAAAATTGTTCAATTAATAATTTTGGGAGATATAGAAGGAATATTTTGCAAACTTAAATGTTAATTTTGCAATCAAATAACTTGAAAATTATCAGTATCAGTAGAATAAGATTTAAAACTGTCAATTTTCAAATTTCATTAAATTAAATTCTTCCTTTGAAAAAATTCTTAATATTAAATAACTAAAATAATTAATTAAGCTATTAAATTAGAGTCTAAGTTAGAATTCTTTAATTCAACAAAATTTAGTGATTCTAATGATAAACATTCGAAACAAGTTATAACATGGATTTTATCAAAAGATTCAAAACTCTTTTTTTATATGAATAATTATAAAATACATATGGAATCCAAAATAAATGACTAAAAACAATATAGTGATTATATATACTCTTATTTTAAATAATAATCACTTAATTTTACTTTCTCATCCTTCTCATTTATATGATTATTATGATTATTGCAATAAATTCCTCATTTCTTATGCTGCTCTTTCATAATCTCTCATCTTCTATTTTTTACGTTTATATTCCTCTTTTTATTATTCCAACTATTGATTTATTCTTTCCTATAAATTATTGAATTATTCTTATATTTAATATAAATTAGCTTCTACACCCATTGTCCAAGGATGTTACAAACATTCTTCAGGTGTTATTCTTCTATTGAAATCAGGATCAAACATCTTATTAATCAGATCTCTTAAAATATAGAAAAATATAAAATACTTAAAATCATCTGGAAATCCTTATGGAAATAGTGTTTAATGTGAATTATTTTAAAAATTCCAAAATTAGGCATAATCATTCTATTTAATTAAATTATATGGTTATTCTTAACAATTTCGAAAAGCAAAACAACTAGTCATCATTGCAAATAATATTTAAGCAGCAGCAAAAACATCAACTTTTGATCCATCATAGGCTATTCTATCCAAAAGTTCAGGTGCTATATAAGCTAAAATTTTAAATAGTAAACATACATTTTGTTCCTCCAAAGAAGTCGTTTATCGATCCTTATACTTATTTAGAAAATCCAAAATCTGTAATTTTCAAATTAAAATCTGAGTCAAACACAATATTATCTGGTTTTAAATCTAAATGACAAATGTTATGTTTTTTCATATGAATTAAAGCTGTCATTATTTAACGAAAATAAAATCTTGAAGTTTGTTCGTCAAATTTTTGAAGTTCTTTCAAATACGAATTCATACTAAATCATACCACAATTTATCCATTTTTTTTCTATTTATAAGAATTTAATTACTATGTAGGTAAGATTATCGCTATATTTTATAAGTTAAATTATTCTTGGATGTTTAAGTTATTATAAAATATAAACCTCTTATTTTAGTTTTTATATTATTTAAGGCCTTTCTTATTCATTTTTGATCTTCAAGAACTTAATGGCTACTAATTCATGACCTTTTCGTCCCAATTTAACACTTATGACTTATAATAAATTTTATACACTGCATAAGCTCCATAACCCAAATATTTAATTATTATATAACCTTCACATTCACTACCTGGCTACTCCTATTACATTTCTTTTCTTTTTTTTGAATTATTTATTTTTATTTTTGATAATTTATGTACTTTATTTAAGATAAATATAAATTTTATAATCAAATAATTAAGAATTAAGATATTTTCAAATTAAAAGAATGTTTTCAAAGAACTTTGATTTGAAATGAGATTTATTTTGTTAATTAAACATTTCACAATGTGTTTTATATTTAAAATATATTATTAAAATTATGGTGGTTGTAATTTTTTAATAAATTCATTATTGCTAAATATGTACTTCATCTCTTTGTTATTAAATTGACTATTTAAGATTCTAAACTTCTTCATTGAACTTTATATAGTCATCTCCCAAATTGAGAACTTCAACTCTTAACTTATCACCTTCAAGTTTTTTTAATTCAATCTGCATTTCTTGTTTTTCTTCATCATTTTCCATAATATTCACATTTAGCTAATTAAAATATTTAATTTTATTACTTTGCATTTAGTTTCATGTATATTGATAATTTTACCGCATTTATCAAAATGATCAATTATAGAACAAAACAAATTTTTTGGATCATCATAAATTAAGATCTCATCTATCATTTTAGTAGGCAGACCCCTCTTTAAAACTCTATTTTCAAAAGTAAATTTGAATTTTTTCATTATCTATCTTTTTTTATCTATTATTGGATTCTTTTTCTAACTATTTCCTGATTTATATGATTATTATGATTATTGCAATAAATTCTTCATTTCTTATGCTGCTCTTTCATAATCTCTCATCTTCTATTTTTTACGTTTATATTCCTCTTTTTATTATTCCAACTATTGATTTATTCTTTCCTATAAATTATTGAATTATTCTTATATTTAATATAAATTAGCTTCTAAACCCATTGTCCAAGGATGTTACAAACATTCTTCAGGTGTTATTCTTCTATTGAAATCAGGATCAAACATCTTATTAATCAGATCTCTTAAAATATCGAAAAATATAAAATACTTAAAATCATCTGGAAATCCTTATGGAAATAGTGTTTAATGTTATTTATTTTTAATATTCCAAAATTAAGCATAATCATTCTATTTAATTAAATCATATGGTTATTCTTAACAATTGTTAAAAGCAAAACAACCAGTTATCATTTTATATAATATTTATGCAGCAGCAAAAACATCAACTTTTGATCCATCATAGGCTATTCTATCCCAAATTTCAGGTGCCATATAAGCTAAAATTTTAAATTTTAAATATACGTTTTGATCCTCCATGGAAGTCTTTAATCAATCCTTATACTTATTTAGAAAATCCAAAATCTGTAATTTTCAAATTAAAATCTGAATCAAACACAATATTATCTGGTTTTAAATCCAAATGAAAAATGTTATGTTTTTTCATATAAACTAAAACTGTCATTAATTAACGAAAATAAAATCTTGAAGTTTGTTCGTCAAATTTTTGAAGTTCTTTCAAATACGAAAGCATACTACTTTTTTCTCCTAATTCTAAAATCATACCAATTTTATTAACAATTTATCCATTTTTTTTCTATTTATAAGAATTTAATTACTATGTAGGTAAGATTATCACTAACATATTTAAGTTGTACAATTCCTGTATGGTTATGGTTATTAAGTAGTTCTAAAATATGAACCTCTTATTTTAGTTTTTATATTATTTTAGGCCTTTCTTATTCATTTTTGACCTTCAAGAACTTAATTGCTACTTATTCATGACCTTTTTGTCCCAATTTAACACTTATGACTTATAATCAATTTTATACACTGCATAAGTTCCGTAACCCAGCTTTTTGATTATATGATAGCCTTCGCATATACTTCTAACCTCTTCTATTTCCATCTGGTTTGCTTAATTTTCGTCTTACATTATTTAATTTTATTTTTGATTATTTTTGCACTTTATTTAAGATAAATAAAAATTTTATAATCAAATAATTAAGAATTAAGATATTTTCTAAATAAAAGAGTGTTAGAGACTTTGATTGATTTTGATGATCAAATATATAAACAATACAAATGATAAGGAATAAATTGTCTCATCCTATTTGTAATCATAATTACAATTCCAAATGTAAATATAATAAAGAACTTTAATTAATACTTCATATAAATTATACTATAAATTTCATATTCTGTCCAACTAAAATAAGAATTCAATACTCTTCAATCTTTGATATACTTAGAAGTCTATTAAAATGATTATCTAAGTAATTTGGATAATTCTTTATTGTATAATCCTAATAAATTAAAAATATTAATGACTCTTAATTATTATTATTATATATCATAAATAAACCTTAAAACTAAATATTAGTGAATAAGAGCCATTTCATTAAATTATGATTATTTGTTCTTCTATAAATCTGACAATTAATATATTTATTTAATAATTTATAGTATATTGTTAATGACATAAAGCTTTTCAATAATATTTAAAAACAAATTTACTTCTTATACTATTCTAGGCCTAAAATTAGAATAAAAAATATTGGATTTTATAGAAATCATTGAATAATAATAAACTTTAAGATCAACTGAATAAATAGAACTAAAAAAGAGAAATGAATTTAAATAATTAATATTTGAATTATTCAAGGAGAAATGAAAAAAATAAAATCACAATTTATTAAATAAATTGAAATTTTCTTAATGGTTTTCAATTATATTTATCTGCATTTTTTATCTTTCAAATATAATAGTTTAAATAAAATTGTAAATATAAAAAATTATCTATAGCTTTAAATTTATAATTAATCTAATAATTATCAGTTGATTTCATCCTCTTTTGGGGATATTTTGGATGCTATACTCTTAAAAGTCATAATGTTTAAAGGTTTAGTACAATGCCATAATATTAAAATATACATCATCAACGATTAAAACTCTTTTACAACATGTGCTTTTAAGAGAATAAGCTTAAATAGTATCTTAGAGTTATGGTATAAAGGATTAGAGAGGTTGAAAAGTTTATTTATTTTCTTCAATTTCTTTTAAATAAACAGTAATATTGCCATTATCTATCCACTCATAATACATTTTAGAATTATAAATGATATAATATACATATAATTAATGTTCATAGTGTAATTTTATTTATAGATTTCTAGAAAAATACTATATGTAGTAAATTTACTTATTCATTGGCTGATTTTTTTCAATCCAAAATAAGAATTTTACAGATTCAAAAGATAAAATAAAAACTAATTAGAACTGATATTTTATTCAAATAAGCAGTTTTAAACTATTTCATACACCTTTAAATATTTTTATTTAGGCTGGATAAAATAGAAATGTATTTATAAAAATATTGATTTGATTTTTACATTTATCATAAAATTATTATTATTAATAATTTTACTCATCATTTTATAATATTTATTAGGTGAAGTAGATAAAATTATTAATATAATTATATTAATATTTCAATTTTTTAAAGACAAAAAGATGAAAAAGCTATTATGTAAGAAATCAATATATAACATGATCTTTATGAGTTCATATTAAACAATTCTTTATTTTTAATTAAAATCAGAATTATTAAATAAAGAGTCTAAATTGATAATCCTTAGAAAAAATTTAACTAGAATTAGAAAGTTTCTCAAAAGCTAAATAACTAAAATTATAAAGTGCTATTATAAACTATGATAAAGTACTATAGGAACAATAGAAATTTATATCTCTGATGGCAAAAAGCTTTATAGTTTAAGAATTTTTCAAAGAATGTTAATATTTATGTAAATCTACTATTTTTTAATTCTATTTAAAATAAATATATTCAGAATTACTAAAAAGAAGAAAATATTTTACAAAAAGTACTTGTTTTGTAAAACATATGTATATACTTTAGCATTTGATTTACATGTTTATATTTTTTAAATAATCAAATCACAAAACTATTTAATTAATTTTTGAGATACTTTTAATTTGAAAAAGTTTATGTTTACATAAAGCGAAATCTTGAATTTTATTTGTTAAGATCTTCGAAAGAATCTTGGAGGAATCTATTTTTAGGTTTTTAAAATTGTTCAATTAATAATTTTGGGAGATATAGAAGGAATATTTTGCAAACTTAAATGTTAATTTTGCAATCAAATAACTTGAAAATTATCAGTATCAGTAGAATAAGATTTAAAACTGTCAATTTTCAAATTTCATTAAATTAAATTCTTCCTTTGAAAAAATTCTTAATATTAAATAACTAAAATAATTAATTAAGCTATTAAATTAGAGTCTAAGTTAGAATTCTTTAATTCAACAAAATTTAGTGATTCTAATGATAAACATTCGAAACAAGTTATAACATGGATTTTATCAAAAGATTCAAAACTCTTTTTTTATATGAATAATTATAAAATACATATGGAATCCAAAATAAATGACTAAAAACAATATAGTGATTATATATACTCTTATTTTAAATAATAATCACTTAATTTTACTTTCTCATCCTTCTCATTTATATGATTATTATGATTATTGCAATAAATTCCTCATTTCTTATGCTGCTCTTTCATAATCTCTCATCTTCTATTTTTTACGTTTATATTCCTCTTTTTATTATTCCAACTATTGATTTATTCTTTCCTATAAATTATTGAATTATTCTTATATTTAATATAAATTAGCTTCTACACCCATTGTCCAAGGATGTTACAAACATTCTTCAGGTGTTATTCTTCTATTGAAATCAGGATCAAACATCTTATTAATCAGATCTCTTAAAATATCGAAAAATATAAAATACTTAAAATCATCTGGAAATCCTTATGGAAATAGTGTTTAATGTGAATTATTTTAAAAATTCCAAAATTAGGCATAATCATTCTATTTAATTAAATTATATGGTTATTCTTAACAATTTCGAAAAGCAAAACAACCAGTCATCATTGCAAATAATATTTAAGCAGCAGCAAAAACATCAACTTTTGATCCATCATAGGCTATTCTATCCAAAAGTTCAGGTGCTATATAAGCTAAAATTTTAAATAGTAAACATACATTTTGTTCCTCCAAAGAAGTCGTTTATCGATCCTTATACTTATTTAGAAAATCCAAAATCTGTAATTTTCAAATTAAAATCTGAGTCAAACACAATATTATCTGGTTTTAAATCTAAATGACAAATGTTATGTTTTTTCATATAAACTAAAGCTGACATTAATTAACGAAAATAAAATCTTGAAGTTTGTTCGTCAAATCTTTTAAGTGTTAGCAAATACGAAAGCATACTACCTTTTTCTCCTAATTCTAAGATCATACCAATTTTATTAACAATTTATCCATTTTTTTTCTATTTATAAGAATTTAATTACTATGTAGGTAAGATTATCACTAAAATATTTAAGTTCTACAATTCCTGTATGTTTGAGTTGTTCTAAAATATCAACCTCTTATTTTAGTTTTTATATTATTTTAGGCCTTTCTTATTCATTTTTTATATATAAAAACTTAATTGCTACTTATTCATGACCTTTTCGTCCCAATTTAACACTTATGACTTATAATCAATTTTATACACTCCAGAAACTCCTTTGCCCAGATATTTAATTATATGATAGCCTTCGCATATACTAACTCCTTCTAATTCCATCTGGTTTACTTAATTTTCGTCTTACATTATTTAATTTTATTTTTGATTATTTTTGCACTTTATTTAAGATAAATATAAATTTTATAATCAAATAATTAAGAATTAAGATATTTTCTAAATAAAAGAGTGTTAGAGGCTTTGATGTTTTTTGATTATCAAATATATAAACAATACAAATGATAAGGAATAAATTGTCTAATTCTATTTGTAATCATAATTACAATACCAAATGTAAATATAATAAAGAATTTTAATTATAACCTAATATTAATTATACTATACATTTCATATTCTATATGTCCAAATAAAATAAGATTTCAATACTCTTCAATCTTTCATATACATCAAAGCATCTATTAAAATGATTATCTAAATAATTTGGATAATTCTTTATTGTATAATCCTCTAATAAATATTAATGACTCTAAATTATAAATAAACCTTATTTAATAATTTATAGTATATTGCTATTGATACAAAGCTTTGTAATAAGATTTAATAGAAATCATTGAATAATAATAAAATGTAAGATCAACTGAATAAAATAGAACTAAAGAAAAAAATAAAAATAATAATTAATTGTTGATATCTGCATTTTTTATCTTTCAATTATATACTTAATGAAAGTCACAATTACTTTCTTTTATAATTAGATGGATAAAAAGAAAATTTGATTTATTTTAAATCTAATAAGAATCTCATAAATTCATTTATAATTTGATTTTCTTTTTCATAATCAAATTTATACATTAAAATCTTGTAATTAATCAATTCGAATTTAATATAATCTAAAATTTAAGGGTCAAATTTTAATAAACTCTTATTGAGCAAAGTTATAAATATTCGAATATCAAATCTTTAAAGATACTCACACAAAAAAAAATATTCTAGTATCTTCTCATTTTATCTTAGCAAAGGAGGCTAAGCTCTTAGGAAGTAAACAAGATTATTAACGGCTGAAATATCGAAGTTAGTTGTTGAAGTATTCTTTGCCAGGTTTAATTTGACCATAGCTTACATAAACCAAACATAAGAGTCTAAGAGAAAGTAGAAAGCAAGTCTAAAGAAATTTTAATTTTCTGTGTTTATTATTGGAGGAGTCAGGCAGCTACTCAATATTGCCAAGCAGTTTGTTTTCATAACATCGTAGTTTAATATGGAGGAATTATCTATATTTAGAGAGTGCGAATTTGTTAATGAAAGTTTCATTTTTAAAAGCCGCAAGGTTGAGGACTCAAAATAATTAGTTTATCCAGGTCTGATTGGATACTAGAGCTATCCTATGCCGTATTTTATCTCTGGTAAAATGGAAGGAATTATTCTTAGAAATTTAAATTTAAGTTGAAAAAAATTTTATTGTTAATTTTAATGAGACGCTCTTATAAATTTGTCCTTAAAATTTTGTTATTGAAAAAAATTTAATAATCCTTTATTACAACTATTAACTTTTCGAGATTATCTAGCCTATTAATTTGTAGCAAAACGAATCGTAGGATTCTTATACAATATAGTGGACTAAAGAGGGATTTTATCAAGAACATAATGAAGACTCAAGTAATAGGCTATTCCCTATCATAAGAATTAAGTTTTGCGATAATCTTTTTTTTGTAACCTCTTTAAATCGATCTACTATTCTTCAGTGCCTGAATCAGATTTCGCGAGATTTTCTCAATTCTCTTTCTACATCATTAAAAATAGAGGAATATGTGGCATTTATTTTGGTTATACTAAAGAGTTGAGTTTCGGTTTAAACAAAATAAAAAAATAAATTAGGAATGATTTGGGTAAAAATTTAATCTTGAAGCCAAGAGTCTTATCCCATTAGAAGTTTTTACGGCTATCCAAAAAATTATATTTCAACATTGTTCCCATAAATCAAACTTGGAGAAAATGATTATTTTACAGAAAAATCAGATAATTATAGATCAAGTTTCAAATTTAGGAAAGAAGAGGAGCAAAAGAAATAATATATATTTTACTTTGAAACTTTAGACTTTGAAAGTCCCTATTCTCGAAAATATTATTGATTTAGTTGATTGATAATCCGAATATAGAGGCAATATAATTAGTTGTATATTATTATTATCTCAATAAAGAAACTGAGTTTCTTAAATTTTGACTGAATAAAAGTTGTATTCCTTTATTATCCAATACTCTATTAATCTTTCTAAATAGTAGAATTTTCTTATCTTAGCTTTCATGATATTTTCTAGATTCAATAGTTCGTACTTGATTAGCCAAGGCTAGCAATTTCTAATTATTCTGGTAATATAAAGAATTCTGATTTGAAAATTATTTTCATTAAATAGAGAAAGCAATTAACATTGTAAAGTACAGTTTGAGTGTCTGATACTGAGTTTTTACATTTAAATCCTTTTATTTTTATAAAGAATAATCTGCCCTTTATCACATAAATTTATATCATTATTAATAAATGATTGAAAAGGGATTCATTGAAATAAATATCAAATAAGGACCAAAAATTAATATAGAATATAAATTGATTTTTTTATTTATTTGGATTATTATCTCATATTTTTGAGGTAAATATTTATAAAATTAATTGAATCATGAATTTTGCATTAATTAAAAAAAAAATTTACATTCCAGATTTAAAATCCTCCATTATTAGTTGCGCATTTTTGCTCAATTTAGCTATTGGCAGATGATTTCGAATTAAGAAAGACATGGTAAAGATTGGATAAATTTAAAAAAAAAAAATAACAAGAATGAAGTGATTTTATTAACTTATAAAATATGTACAGAAAAACGAGTAAATCTGGGATTCACTCTAGAGTAGCTCTCAGACAAAAAAGGTCTTACAAACATCTTGTATACATCCAAATATTAGAATGAAATTTTTAAAATACATATACACAGATAAAGTAATTTACCTAACAAGGAATGATCTGGAGTATCAGTTTTGTTTTATTCTAGATTATCAAAAGGATTTCATATATCCTTGAGCTGGAAAAAGTCTTTAAAATTTTAAGAGAGAAATCTTTAATAAGTAAAAGATGGGAAAGTCAAAAAAAAATAAACAAAAATTGAGCCACATTATGATTCGTTTATAGAAGAAGAGAATATAGGATGAAAAAATTTAAACTAAGATACGTTCTCATCAAATCAAAATAACTTAGTTAAGTTAAAAAGAATCAATTTACAATGTTTAATGGGAGGCATCAATATTTAAAAAATATAGAATAGATAATGAGAAAATGCTTTATTATTATTCATTAAAAAAGTAATTTTTTTGTTTTTGGATGAAACAATAATGGGTTATGCAGGCAAAGTGTTTGAGGTTTGGAAATATAAATAGTATTTTTGATGAGAGTCTTAAAAAAATTCTTATCTTCCAAAGACTATTTTGTAAGGCATTCTATAACATTAATGACTCCAAAGAAATTATAGTCAAGAAAGAATTTCGTCAATACTTCATGCTCCTACTAAAAAGCTAATGTAAACCTTTTTTTGCTGAGTGCAGCCTAAACAAAGAGTCTAACTGAAGATAATGTGGTAATCAAAAAAGTTATCACTCCAAAAATTATATAGTAATTTGAAAGCTATTCTTAGGCTATGTTGGATCAAATGGATTTCTTAATTATGAATAATTGGCATGGCATTTCAATAGCACAAAATTTATCAATACATAGTCATATTATTAGATTAAGCTCCTCACATTTTAATTGTTTTGCCATTTTGACAATATTCTAATTCATAATGGAGAAGGTCCTATGGATCTCCGTCTCTAATATATTCTTATTCACTTTTTAGAAAGTTGTAGAAGTAATCAAATTTTCCCAAAAGGAGTAAATTAAATTTACTAACATTATTGATTTAGGCTAACCTAACTGCATTCTAAAATAACAGTCTTTTCCCACTTTATCTATAATTCTGTTTTTTAGTATAAAAAATTAGTGATTCATTTTCAAACTGAAGTCTAAAGTAAGTATTCCAAATTTAAGGGATATATCTCAATGTTAACAATTTATTTAAAGATCAAAGTTAGCTAGATAAATGATTCAAAGTTGAAATTACATGAGTAAGTTGCCTTTTAATATTCCCTATGCATTAATATATATTACTAGGTATTTATACTCTTTTTCTTTCTTTATTTGACCATATATTTGGATGATTTATTTAAAAATTTGGTTTTAATCAAATTTACCTTATGTTACAAGTGATGGTCCTTATATCAAAAAGGTTATCACCTCATCAAGAATTTAACTATTACATGCTACAGCTACATCATCTAAATAAGCTATTAAGGTCAATTATGCATACTAGATTTTCTTTTGCTTATACCATTCTTATTTCTCATTATTAAAATTTTTCATATCTTATATCTATTCATTGAAGTGTATATCAAAGAAAAAAGGTGTAAGTTAAGACCCTTAATTTACTCCATTTAAAAGTAGATTTTTTCTTTCCTCATTGGATCATACATATATATTGATTTATAAATCCGTTCTAAGACATAAATCCCCCTATCTTCTATATACTTTTATATTTCTCCCGCCTCAATATCCCAAAATATCTACCTCTATCTACACAATCGTATGCATTTGACAAGGCAAAATAATTCCTGATTTTGATTACACATATTTTTTTCATTTTTCTCCTTAAGTTTTACAATTTCTTATCTTCTATGATTCACAAGCCATTTTCTTTACAAATCCAATTTATTTCTTTAATACAAATTTTCCTACATTAAAGAAAATAAAAGATTTCCAAATTTTGATAAAATTTAATTCTAATTTTTGGTTTGAAAAATAAAATGGGTTAGCCATTTCTATTCAGTGAGGTCATGGGATATTCTCTTTAATCTCTTTATTATTTGATAGTAATTAGTTAATGTGATAACTTTTTACCTCATAATTGAGCCGTCTTTCTAAAATAGTTTAAGATTTTTAGAGTGTTGACGGGGCTTATGAAATTCCTTTGAATTAGGAGAGAATAATAATGATTTAAACTTTCCAAATATTTTGTAAATGTTTTCTATTATACATAATCATACCAGATGTACTTTATTTCATAATTTAATGTTTATTACTCCTGCTACATAGAAAATAGGTGTTATAAAAAGATTTTCTTACTCTAGTTTAATTTCTTTTAATAGTTGTCTATGATCTGATTAGTCTGTGAATTATAAAGTTTACCCTAGTTTATAATTAATATTTTTTTCATTACAATATAATCGATTTTTTTACATTTAGTATTATTTTTCCAATACGAGTTATTGTTGAACTTATGATGTCATAGCAGGCGTAGGACTCATTTTTTCTTATTGTTAAATTTAAATCAACTCTAAATAACAGGAACATTCTAGAATTTCTCAGTTAAGCATTGTAATTCTAATTTTGTTTTGGCGATTAAATTTACATAAATTACATATATGAATATACTTCTAAAATTAAGTCTTACCATTAAAAAATTCTTGTTTCTAATATTTCAATTCTTTCACTTTTATATTATTATGCGAAGATAAATGTTGAAATCTATTAGATTTATTTATTTTTAATTTAGTAATATACTATTCAGAATGTATCAGTTTAAAACTCATTTAATTCAAAGTTTTTTTTTAGTTTTTAAAGAAATTAATAACAAAAGAATAGTATTTTGATATTATTATTATTATCAATAACAATGTATAAAGACAAAATCATATATTAATTTAATTCAGACTTAAAAAGCATTACTAATTTTATTCTCATTTAGTAATTGACTCCTCCAATAATAAACACAGAAAATTAAAATTTCTTTAGACTTGCTATAGTATAATTAATATTAGGTTATAATTAAAATTCTTTATTATATTTACATTTGGTATTGTAATTATGATTACAAATAGAATTAGACAATTTATTCCTTATCATTTGTATTGTTTATATATTTGATAATCAAAAAACATCAAAGCCTCTAACACTCTTTTATTTAGAAAATATCTTAATTCTTAATTATTTGATTATAAAATTTATATTTATCTTAAATAAAGTGCAAAAATAATCAAAAATAAAATTAAATAATGTAAGACGAAAATTAAGTAAACCAGATGGAATTAGAAGGAGTTAGTATATGCGAAGGCTATCATATAATTAAATATCTGGGCAAAGGAGTTTCTGGAGTGTATAAAATTGATTATAAGTCATAAGTGTTAAATTGGGACGAAAAGGTCATGAATAAGTAGCAATTAAGTTTTTATATATAAAAAATGAATAAGAAAGGCCTAAAATAATATAAAAACTAAAATAAGAGGTTGATATTTTAGAACAACTCAAACATACAGGAATTGTAGAACTTAAATATTTTAGTGATAATCTTACCTACATAGTAATTAAATTCTTATAAATAGAAAAAAAATGGATAAATTGTTAATAAAATTGGTATGATCTTAGAATTAGGAGAAAAAGGTAGTATGCTTTCATATTTGCTAACACTTAAAAGATTTGATGAACAAACTTCAAGATTTTATTTTCGTTAATTAATGTCAGCTTTAGTTTATATGAAAAAACATAACATTTGTCATTTAGATTTAAAACCAGATAATATTGTGTTTGACTCAGATTTTAATTTGAAAATTACAGATTTTGGATTTTCTAAATAAGTTTAAGGATCGATAAACGACTTCTTTGGAGGAACAAAATGTATGTTTACTATTTAAAATTTTAGCTTATATAGCACCTGAACTTTTGGATAGAATAGCCTATGATGGATCAAAAGTTGATGTTTTTGCTGCTGCATAAATATTATTTACAATGATGACTGGTTGTTTTGCTTTTCGAAATTGTTAAGAATAACCATATAATTTAATTTAATAGAATGATTATGCTTAATTTTGGAATTTTTAAAATAATTCACATTAAACACTATTTCCATAAGGATTTCCAGAAGATTTTAAGTATTTTATATTTTTCGATATTTTAAGAGATCTGATTAATAAGATGTTTGATCCTGATTTCAATAGAAGAATAACACCTGAAGAATGTTTGTAACATCCTTGGACAATGGGTTTAGAAGCTAATTTATATTAAATATAAGAATAATTCAATTAGGTATAGGAAACAATAAATCAATAATTGGAATAATAAGAAGAGGAATATCAACGTTAATAATAGAGGAGGAGAGATTAAGAAAGAGCAGAATAAGAAATGAGGAATTTATTGCAATAATCATAATAATCATATAAATCAGGAAATAGTTAGAAAAAGAATCCAATAATAGATAAAAAAAGATAGATAATGAAAAAATTCAAATTTACTTTTGAAAATAGAGTTTTAAAGAGGAGTCTGCCAACTAAAATGATTGATGAGATTTTAATTTATGATGACCCAAAAAATTTGTTTTGTTCTATAATTGAACATTTCGATAAATGTGGTAAAATTATCAATATACATGAAACTAAATACAAAGTAATAAAATTAAATATTTTAATTAGCTAAATGTGAATATTATGGAAAATGATGAAGAAAAACAAGAAATGCAGATTGAATTAAAAAAACTTGAAGGTGATAAGTTAAGAGTTGAAGTTCTCAATTTGGGAGATGACTTTATAAAGTTCAATGAAGAAGTTTAGAATCTTAAATAGTCAATTTAATAACAAAGAGATGAAGTAAAAATATAGCAAAAATGAATTTATTAAAAAAAATTACAACCACCATAATTTTAATAATATATTTTAAAATTAAAACACATTGTAAAATGTTGAATTAACAAAATAAATCTCATTTCAAATCAAAGTTTTGTGAAAACACTCTTTTAATTTGAAAATATCTTAATTCTTAATTATTTGATTATAAAATTTATATTTATCTTAAATAAAGTACATAAATTATCAAAAATAAAAATAAATAATTCAAAAATAAGAAAAGAAATGTAATAGGAGTAGCCAGGTAGTGAATGTGAAGGTTATATAATAATTAAATATTTGGGTTATGGAGCTTATGTAGTGTATAAAATTTATTATAAGTCATAAGTGTTAAATTGGGACGAAAAGGTCATGAATTAGTAGCCATTAAGTTCTTGAAGATCAAAAATGAATAAGAAAGGCCTAAAATAATATAAAAACTATAATAAGAGGTTTAAATTTTATAATAACTTTAACATCCAAGAATAATTTAACTTAAATATTTTAGTGATAATCTTACCTACAAAGTATTTAAATTCTTATAAATAGAAAAAAAATGGATAAATTGTTTATAAAATTGGTATGATTTTAGAATTAGGAGAAAAAGGTAGTATGCTTTCGTATTTGCTAACACTTAAAAGATTTGACGAACAAACTTCAAGATTTTATTTTCGTTAATTAATGTCAGCTTTAGTTTATATGAAAAAACATAACATTTGTCATTTAGATTTAAAACCAGATAATATTGTGTTTGACTCAGATTTTAATTTGAAAATCACAGAATTTGGATTTTCTAAATAAGTATAAGGATCGATAAACGACTTCTTTGGAGGAACAAAATGTATGTTTACTATTTAAAATTTTAGCTTATATAGCACCTGAACTTTTGGATAGAATAGCCTATGATGGATCAAAAGTTGATGTTTTTGCTGCTGCATAAATATTATTTACAATGATAACTGGTTGTTTTGCTTTTAAAAATTGTTAAGAATAACCATATAATTTAATTAAATAGAATGATTATGCCTAATTTTGGAATTTTTAAAATAATTCACATTAAACACTATTTCCATAAGGATTTCCAGATGATTTTAAGTATTTTATATTTTTCGATATTTTAAGAGATCTGATTAATAAGATGTTTGATCCTGATTTCAATAGAAGAATAACACCTGAAGAATGTTTGTAACATCCTTGGACAATGGGTGTAGAAGCTAAATTAAATTAAATACAAGATTAATTCAATAATGTGTAGGAAAGAATAAATCAATAATTGGAATTATAAAAAGAGGAATATAAACGTTAATAATAGAGGAGGAGAGATTAAGAAAGAGCAGAATAAGAAATGAAGAATTTATTGCAATAATCATAATAATCATATAAATGAGAAGAATGAGAAAGTAAAATTAAGTGATTATTATTTAAAATAAGAGTATATATAATCACTATATTGTTTTTAGTCATTTATTTCTGATTCTATATTAATTTATAATTGTTCATATAAAAAAGAGTGTTGTATATTTTAATAAAAAGCATGTTATAACTTGTTTCTAATGATTATCATTAGAATCACTAAATTTGGTTGAATTAAAGAATTCTAATTTATTTTCAAGCTGAATTTGCAGAATTAAGCTTAGACTCTAATTTAATGGCTTAATCAATTATTTTAGTTATTTAGTATTAAGAATTTTTCCAAAGAAAGAACGTAATTTAATGTAATTTGAAAATCGACAGTTTTTAATATTATTCTACTAATACTGATAATCTTCAAGTTATTTGATTGCAAAATTGAAACAAAATTACCATTTAAGTTTACAAAATATTCCTTCTATATCTGCCAAAAATACTAATTGAACAATTTTAAAAACCTTAAAATATGATTCCTCCAAGATTCTTTCGAAGATCTTTACAAATAAAATTAAAGATTTCGCTTTATGTAAACATAACACTTTCAAATTAAAAGTATATCAAAAATTAATTAAATAGTTTTGTGATTTGACTATTTAAGAAAATATAAAAATGTATACAGATGCTAAAGGATATACATATGTTTAACAAAAAAAAATACTTTGTTCTTTTTAGTGATTCTGAATATATTTATTTTAAATAGAATTAAAAAATAGTAGATTTACATAAATATTAACATTCTTTCAAAAATTCTTAAACTATAAAGCTTTTTGCCATCAGAGATATAAATTTCAATTGTTCCTATAGTACTTTATCATAGTNACATTAAACACTATTTCCATAAGGATTTCCAGATGATTTTAAGTATTTTATATTTTTCGATATTTTAAGAGATCTGATTAATAAGATGTTTGATCCTGATTTCAATAGAAGAATAACACCTGAAGAATGTTTGTAACATCCTTGGACAATGGGTGTAGAAGCTAAATTAAATTAAATACAAGATTAATTCAATAATGTGTAGGAAAGAATAAATCAATAATTGGAATTATAAAAAGAGGAATATAAACGTTAATAATAGAGGAGGAGAGATTAAGAAAGAGCAGAATAAGAAATGAAGAATTTATTGCAATAATCATAATAATCATATAAATGAGAAGAATGAGAAAGTAAAATTAAGTGATTATTATTTAAAATAAGAGTATATATAATCACTATATTGTTTTTAGTCATTTATTTCTGATTCTATATTAATTTATAATTGTTCATATAAAAAAGAGTGTTGTATATTTTAATAAAAAGCATGTTATAACTTGTTTCTAATGATTATCATTAGAATCACTAAATTTGGTTGAATTAAAGAATTCTAATTTATTTTCAAGCTGAATTTGCAGAATTAAGCTTAGACTCTAATTTAATGGCTTAATCAATTATTTTAGTTATTTAGTATTAAGAATTTTTCCAAAGAAAGAACGTAATTTAATGTAATTTGAAAATCGACAGTTTTTAATATTATTCTACTAATACTGATAATCTTCAAGTTATTTGATTGCAAAATTGAAACAAAATTACCATTTAAGTTTACAAAATATTCCTTCTATATCTGCCAAAAATACTAATTGAACAATTTTAAAAACCTTAAAATATGATTCCTCCAAGATTCTTTCGAAGATCTTTACAAATAAAATTAAAGATTTCGCTTTATGTAAACATAACACTTTCAAATTAAAAGTATATCAAAAATTAATTAAATAGTTTTGTGATTTGACTATTTAAGAAAATATAAAAATGTATACAGATGCTAAAGGATATACATATGTTTAACAAAAAAAAATACTTTGTTCTTTTTAGTGATTCTGAATATATTTATTTTAAATAGAATTAAAAAATAGTAGATTTACATAAATATTAACATTCTTTCAAAAATTCTTAAACTATAAAGCTTTTTGCCATCAGAGATATAAATTTCAATTGTTCCTATAGTACTTTATCATAGTCTATAATAGCAATTTATAATTTTAAGTTATTTAGCTTTTGAGAAACTTTCTAATTCTAGTTAAATTTTTTCTAAGGATTATCAATTTAGACTCTTTATTTAATAATTCTGATTTTAATTAAAAATAATGAATTGTTTAATATGAACTCATAAAGATCATGTTATATATTGATTTCTTACATAATAGCTTTTTCGTCTCAGAGTCTTGAAACTTTAAAATTAATTTTCAATTTTTTAATTAAAATTTTAAATAAATTTTGCATGAAAGATAGAACAAATAAAGTATTATTATAATTTAAATTTAATCAATTTAAAAAAAAATCTGACTTAATATAAAAAATAAAACAAGAATGTTACAAATAACAAAAGTTAAGTTAAAAATAGAAGTAATACAACATAGAATTTAATCTTAAAAACTTGACAACAAAATATTTGTAAATTTATTTAAAACTCTAATGAAGACAACTTGATTTTTTGAAAAATTTAATTTAGATAAGGTATATATAATCAATTATTTTCATTATCTAAAGAGTAATTTTCATGTTCTACTAGATAATATCTTTAAGGATAAATGTATAAAAATCTAATCAATATTTTTAATATGAAATAGTTTAAAATTGCATATTTGAATAAAATATCAGTTTTAATTAGTTTTGATTTTATCTTTGAATCTGTAAATTTTTTATTTTGGATTGAAAAAAATCAGCCAATTAAGAAGTAAATTTACTACATATAGTATTTTTCAAGAAACCTTTAAATAAAATTACACTATGAACTTTAATTATATGTATATTATATCATTTATAATTCTAAAATGTATTATGAGGCATTTATATAAAGAAGAGATTGCTTTATTGTAGGATTATAATTATTAAGTACTTTATAGAGTGTGATAAATTTAAATTATACAAAAAATCTAAGTAGAGGAAGGTTAAAATGATAATATTAATTTAATTAAATGACATCAAAAAAAATATTGATTTTGAATACATTCCTGTTCATCTTAATGGATTTGGCAACGATTTCAATCTTGCTTTTTGAATCAGTTTAAGAAGAGATAGGATAAATATTAATGATTTCATTGATAGTTGGATTTGGATTGTTTGTAATATTATAACAGATTCTTGTTTATACTGAGTGGAAATTGAATATAAAATACAAATTAAATTTGGTTTCATTTTTTGGAAAGATCTTTATTGTTTGGATTGTGGGTGTCAAATTGTGCACTAATCAATATCTAATGATTTTATTCTAAATATATATGACTTCAGAATGTTATAGAGGAAATTCATTATAATACTTGTTTATTTTTATGATGATTCTAAATTTATTCGAATTCAAAAAGTTTATAAATTTTGGATATGATTAACTCATAAACTCAATGTAAATTATTATATTGATTGTTCAACATTTTTATTAAGTAAAGAAATTAGATGATAAATTTCAATAATCATATGGACAAGTATCAACTGGAGGTGGATAGATATAATAAACCTTTGCAATGATACAAGAGTCTAGAAGAAGCATTCAAATTATAAATTCATTAAAATTGATGGAGGATGAACCATGGTTAGACCAGTAAGAATATTAAATCTAATTAGAAAATGGTTATAATATGAGAAGTACCTAGTATTGAGTAGAGATTTAAAGTTGAAATTTTATAGTTTTGATGTCAATATTTTGAGTAAATCTTAAGAACTAACAGAAGATTAGAATGAAATTGTTGATTAACTTTTAGATTAAGGAGTAAAGTTTATATCAAGACTAGACAATAGTCAAAACTCTCTCTTCTGTCAAAAAGGAGTTACTACATTGAGGTAAGTGTTAGAGAATTAGTTGTAAACATAGATTAATTACGAACATTATTATTAAACATTTCAGATGCAGAGTCATACATTAGATATACAAAAGTATTTAGTAAATGTTTTTGGTTTGATGGGTAGATCATAAATGTATTATGTAATGCACTTTTAACTTGTACCAAAACTAGCAATTGAGATAAACACTAATATATTCGATATGTGTAAATCCCTTTCTCATGAACTAGGAACTAATCTCAATTGTATTCAAAGTTTATCAGAAATAGCCTTACAAAAGTCATCTATCACTCAAGATATAAAAGACAACATTATTTAACCCATTTTCACTAATAGTTAATAATTAAATCTAATTATTTCCAATATAAGAGATTATAGTTCAATAGAAACTGATCAATTTTAATTGAGTCTTTAAACATTCAATATTCTAGATGAAATCAAATAAATTACTGACTTCTTTCAACTTACTTGTTAATAAAAAGGAATAAATTTGGTTTTACCAACTGAATCTTGTATTATTAATTCATTATTAGTTCCTATTTTTAATGATCGAGATCGATTTCGCTAAGTAATCTTTCAACTAGTTTCTAATGCTGTTCGTTTCACTATTACTGGAACTATCTAAATTTTGATCAAATAAAAAGATTTATCATATGAAATTATTGTTTCAGATACTGGAATAGGAATGGTTAGCAATTCTACTTTTAAATTAGGTTAGTTAAGAGGAGAATAATCTTAGAAGAATCTTAGAATAAAAAGTAATGCTGAGAGTATCAGAAAATAGTATAGGTTCAAGTCTAGGCCTATTTATTAGCAATTTATTAGTCAAAAAAATGAATGCTGATGAAGATTGCAAAATTCAATTCCATTCTAACAAAACAGGATCATCTTTCTATTTCTCCATTAAAAACATGTCCGAATTCAAAGATAATATTAATAAACTCTAATAAGTTAAATTTCATAGAACAATCGTAAAGTTCTAAACCATAAATTCTTACTATGAAAATATTAATGATATCTAAATAAAATTTGGTTAACCAACATTTAAATCTATTACTAGTGGATAATCCAATTAAGATGATGGCAATATTACTGTTTATTCAAAAGAAATTGAAGAAAATAAATAAACTCTTCAACCTCTCTAATCCCTTATACCATAACTATAAGATACTATTTAAGCTTATTCTCTTAAAAGCACATGTTGTTCAAGAGTTTTAATCGTTGATGATGAATATTTTAATATTATGGCATTGTAAATGTTAATGCAATAATATTCTGCCATTTGTGATAAAGCTTATAATGGAATGGAAGCTATTGAATAAATAAATGAAAAATTAATTAATCCTTGTTCAAAATGTTAAAACAGTTGTTATTAATTAATCTTCCTTGATATTAATATGCCAATTATGGGTGGAATTGAAACTGTTAAAATTATTAAAAGAATGATGAATAATAGAATAATTAAAAAGGTTTATGTTATTGCCAACACTGGATTTAGTGATTTGGAAACTAAGGAAAAAGCATATGATGCTGGTATAGACTTTTTTATGACTAAACCTTTAAATATTATGAATTTTAAGAGTATAGCATCCAAAATATTCCCAAAAGGATGAAATCAACTAATAATACTTCTAAATATTTATATTAATAAATCTATTTACAAATGATAGCTATTCCTTTTTAAATACATTCGTATTATAATGTTGATATTTTTTGTTTATTTTTGATGAAGTCGTTTCTATCAATCCTCTTTTGTTTTCAATTTTCTCTTAAATATTCAGTAACTACGTACCTCAAATTAAAAACATCTACTTTTTATTCAAATCCACCAGTTTACATTGAATTAATATTATTCTGATTAGAATTTCTTATTTTTCATCTACTATTTCTTGCTTGTAATCTTATAAATTATAAAATCTTAAGAATTAATTCCACAATTCCAAATATAAAAACCATTTTAGTAAATTATGAGTGACATTCAAAGTAAACTAAAAAGATTATAATAAATGAAATAACTCAAATGTTGTAATTCTCATTTTTATTTTAAAATATTAATTATTTGATTTTATTTATAAATCCAATAATAATTATGATAAAACATAAATATTTAATTTCTACTTTATTCTTTATAATATTATTAAGAATCTTTAAATTCCTGAATATAAATGATGAAACCATTTAAATTATTCATTTCATTAATGTAATCTTTTATTTCTTAATATATTTTTAATCATATATTTTTATAAATGAAATTTAATTCTTCAGTTTTGATGTTATTATCTTTTAATAAAATGCTCAAATAAAATTTCATAATATGCCTATTTATATTATCATAAAACATACACAATTCATTTAACATTAAATTTAAATTTGACTTCACTTTGGTAAGTTGAGTTGAAAATAATTCTTTGTTGAACTTAATCTGCTATTAGAATATCTTTTAGTTATGAAACTAAAATTATTAGCAAAGAATAATATAGGCTCTTAGATAGATTCATACTTACTTATTTTTAAATAATCCCACTTATTTATTATGAATATTGGTTTTATATTTTTTAGTCTTATAAGTAATAGATTTTAAGAAAATTAAAAAATAAGTTAATAAAATCTGTATTCTAAATTAGAATTTTCAATAAACCTGGAAATGTACATTTAATAAATCTAATTAAAATTAAAAAAAATTACTTTTATAATTTTTCAAATTCTAAAAAATCAAAACCTTATGCTTAGTTATAATAAGTTTTGTTATACTCTATATAATCAAATTTACCTTAAATCATAATGAATTAATATTATCTCTATAACTTCAAAAATCATTTGTGATAATTTTTTCATATTAACTTATAGAATTAATATTTCTCTTGGTTTTAGAATATGTAGAATAATTAAAATAAATATATTTATTATATGATAATATTCAATAATTATCTAGATTAACTTTGAAAAAAGAAAGAAATTTAAATATATATATATAATTTGGTTAAAATATATTTTCAAGTTAATTTTGATAGTTCTTATTCATTTAATGGTTATTTAGAAGGATTGTTCAACTTAGACAATTCTCGCTTTTTGCTATTAAATATTTAAAAAGGTTTTTTACTTAAAAGCTCTAATGGCTGCCAATATAATTACACCAATGATAATAGCTACTAAACCATATAGATGAGTTTTTGAACTTGAATCGATTGAAAAATTCTCGACAAACAATTACCCTTTGATAGATTCTGTTACCGCTACTATGGGACTACCATCTGGTAAAGCTTTTGAGTATTTTTATAGTAAGTTTATTTAATCTTAAGATATTGGGAGTGGATCTGGTAGTAAATAAACTATTTAATCACAATTCTCATATTCAAGATAATATGCCATATTTTCTAATTATTTTGCAAAATCCATTAATCTCATTTAAAAGTTTTTTTCTATTTAAAAGACTGGATTTTCTTTAAGATCATTATCTAATTCTACTGAAAATGCAAACACTGCTTTAGAAGGAGTAGAAGTTGCATTTATTTCTTTCATATTTAATTGAATTTCACATTTAACTTATTCATTTTTAGATTATTAATGTATGGGTGGACAATATATTTCAAAATTAGATGGTCCAAAAGTTAAACCACCAGGTACTTATTTAATTTAGATTTTTGATTTATCTTTGACTTCATAATCATCTCCAAATCCTATTACATATTCACCTTCTAATTTAACAGAGATTCTCTTGACTGCCTAATTGTAAATAATAGAGAATTAATAATACATAAACCCATTCTTCTTAATTTGGATAAGTGAGGTATGAATTTTCAATGCAATCTGCAAAGACTTGTTAAAAAGCTAAAAAGAATGTGAAGAGCATTTATGGAAAAATGAAAGTGTTTTTTTTATATAAAAAATATTTAATAATATTAAGTTTAGGTATTATTTTAATTTTAGTATAATGACAATAATAATAAATTGAAGAGTTTTATTAAATATAAATGTAATGATTTGATATAAAAGAATTAGTATTTGATTTTATAAAAATTAATCAGAATTTCTTTTTTTGAATTCCTAATTAGATATTTAGAATTATGTACTTTTTGATTAGACAGATTAAGGGGTATTTGACTATTAATTATTTGTAATTAAATAAATAATATATATAAATTAGTAATTAAAAAGATAGATAACAATGAAAGAAAAAGTTTATAGTGTAAAATGATAGAATGTTGAGGATTATTGTGGAAATAAAAATATTAAAGGACTTAAAAATTACATAAAAATCTTGAATTTAATAAAATAAAAAAATGAGTGCAAATGATCTATCTAAGCCTGAAAGTCTAGATAACTTAAGCTAACCATCTTCATAAGAGGGACAATAGAAGAAATAATATAAGGTTCATCGTTTGGGGAACAGGAAATAATTATCTAATTAAAATTATTACATAAAGGAACAGGTATCAAGCAGAGAGGAGAGAAAATTAAAATCGTATTTGTAGAGGATTGAAGAATAACAAAAATTAGAAGAGGTAAGTCACCTTTAACTTTAGTTTTTATTAAGGCAGCCTTATTGAAACGAAAGCGTTCCAAGGTATTTAAAATTTATTATTTAAGCCAAACCAAGAGACTAAGAGTAGTGAAACTTAAGAAGCTCCAAAATAAATTGATGAAGTCATGTATATACCATATATATAATATGAAGTATGCCAATATAAGCCACAGTGTTGTTGAATCCTTTGTTAGTGCCGTAGTAGTCTCAATTAGATGTGACAGCATAAACAAAGCTTCGTCTAAATCCCAAGCTCAAGATGAAAGTATCTTAATTTAAAATAATTTTCAAAGGAGAAACATCACATATTCCTTTATCTCTCTGATTGGTACGATAAGTGTGTTGACAATATGTAAAAACTGAATTCTGGAGCCACTTAGTCATATTCACCATAAAGATTGGGCAAATGTGAAGTGACTAATATATAATCCATTAATTAAGATGTGTATTAGGACACTCTCATTTTAATAAAAAATTTTAAGAATTAATATTAATAATAGAATGGAAATGATTCAAAAGAGTTGTTAAACAAATACTCTGATAAAAAGTTTTTGGAGACTATTTTGAGAGATAATAAATAATAAATAAATAAAAAAATTATAATGGAGAAGGTACAAATTTCAAATGGGAAGTTTAATTAGAAGAAGTATTGATATAAATTACAACTCATTTTATTAATTTAATAACAATTTATCTAAACTATTTACATTTTTATACATAAAGGAGAACAATTTAATAACTTACTCTTATTTTTAATTAATTTCATTAAATCAATTTATTATGGAAATATTAGATGTGTTCTTAGAAGTTTAAGTATCATATTGTAAATGAAGATATTATAGTCTATTTAAAAAAAGGAAAGTAACAATTTCTATTTGAATATTTAACTATGATTAAAATAATACATAGTAGATCTCTTTATGAACATTTATCATTTTTTTCTCTATTTCAATGAACCTACTCTTTTATGTAAATTAGTCCCAGATAATCCATTCTATAACCAAGCTTTGTAATCAATATTATCTTTTGAATTATATCCTACATTTGTAGGTGATGTGTTTTATCTATCCATGAAAAAATTATTTTAAGAAGTTATTCTTTTCAAACCAATTAATTTGGATTATTGAGGAATGACAGTTGTATTAATTTAAAAAGGTTAAACAAAAGAGGACTACCTATATATCTAAATAAATGAATTTACTGAGATTTAATTCGTTTTTATAAAGAATTAACTTGTTCTGTATTATTATTCTTTTATTTCTGATTTAATAAATTAGATCCTATTGATTAAGGTTTTGATAAAAAATTAGATTCAGGACTATTCTTTTTAAGATTATATTTTTAATTCAATTACATTTACATTTATGTAATCATCATAAAATGTTATTTTAGAACTTTACTTTATTCAATTTTCATTTATTTTTATTATGTTGCATCAAAATAAAATGACTTAAAAATTTTAATTTCTTTTTATAAACCAGATCTTCCAAGAAGCTTTTCCCTTGTTTCCAATTCTCCTTTTAGTAATTCATTTTAATCATAATGAAATTATAATTAATTTGGTTTAAATGGAGGATTAATTTTCTTTTATAGAATTTGAATCCAATCACATCCTTTAAACCAAGGATGTAACATCAATTCTTATAAACCATTATTTGCACCCAATCTACCTGAAGGTTTCTTACATAAGAGACCTCTAAGTAGATCTTTAATATCATCAGTTAAATTAAATTTCTATGGAAATGTTAATTCTTCACTCAAAATTGATTAATAAATTTCTTCAGTATCCCTAGAATAATAAGGAGGTAATCCTGTTACTAATTCATATAGAAGTGCACCTAAACAATAATGATCCACTTATATATTATGACCTACTTTCAATAACATTTCAGGTGCCATGTATTCAGGAGAACCACAAAAACTATATGCATAATCATCCTCAGTCATATTTGGTTTTGATAATCCAAAATCTGCAATTCTTATATGACCATCCATATCTATCAATATATTCTCTGGTTTTATATCTCTATAGACAACAGATATTGAATGTAAATAATATATTGCCAAACATATTTCTGCAAAATAAAATCTAGCTTAATCTTCAGTCATCCTCTTCACTTATTTCAATTACCAAAACAATTCTCCACCACTGCAAAACTCTAAAACAAAAACAATGAAGTTTTTAGACTCAAAGGCACATTCTAATTTATTTATAAAGGGATGATCCAATACAGTCATAATGTCTCTCTCATTTTAAACAATTCCTATATGATTAGTTTATCATCTACCTTATTTTTTACGTTAGATAATAAATTCCTTATCTATCAATTTCATCGCATAAAATCTACCATCTGATTTCTTTTTCACTAGATATACTCTCGAAAACCCTCCAATTCCTATACATTTAATAAAAATGAAATCCTTTAATGTTATTTAAGATCCTTAATTAGTTCCATAAAATGGTTGTAAATTTAATGTTTATCCACTAAATATATCCAAAGGTTTGTTTAACTACTATATATAAAAATCCATTGGTAAATTCTTATCTAAAGTATGGAATGATACAATCTCCATATCAAGACTTGTATTACCTGTACCACATTATATTTTTATATCTTCAGGTTAAGATCCAGTGGATGAATATGATTATACTGAATGCTTTTTCATTTCTAATTTCAAATACTCCATCAATTAACCTGTACTTTTTTAAGGATCTATTGTAAACTTATATTACTAATTCAAATAATGAACCACTACAACAATTTAATTTGCTACACTTACAAAACTCTAGTTTTTTATAGTCTATATAAATGATTTCTGAAGTTAATTAGAATTGGTTCTTCTAGTGTCAGTAGTAGCAATTGTCTTTAGATTATTAGATGTATCTGATATGTTATTCTGCTAACTAGATTTCTATGTAGATAATTGTTTATGACTAGTCATTAGTTTTAATAATTCATTCTTATATTATTTCCCTTATAAGAGCTATCCCTAAAATTTTTATAAATGTCTCAAATCAATCCCTTAAAACCCAGAACTTTAATTAGTTTTATGAGTTGGACTCTAACTAAGCAACCCACTTGGATTGAATGATTGACTTAATTTGTTGTTACTTTTACTTGCACAACTATGAATTACAATGATTAATACATTTTTAATTTATTTTATTGAACGATCTCCTATAACTATTATTAAGGACGAGTTAAATGCTGCATTTATATGTTATTAATAATTATTCGAATTTTAAATAACACTATATACTAAAATATAAACACATCAAACTTAAATAAATTATCAATTCTTTTTTCATCTCAATTATTTCTATTTCTCTATTTAAATACTTAAATTCAATAATATTCTAAACTCTAATATAAATCATTGGAGAATTTCTATTCTTTCTATTTAATTTTAGAGAACTTAAATGATACTTAATTGTTAGGTATAGTTATTAATTCCAAAATCAATTATTTTGAATAGATTGTTTCATATTAATAAAATAGATTAATTAGAGAACCTTATGAAATCAATATGAGGTTTTTATATTGTAAATAAATTTATAAAAAACTTTTTATTGAAATTTTGTCTTAGAAATTTATATCTAAATAATTCTTCAATCACTAAATTTGATAAATAATTGAACAATTAAATTAGAAAATTGTTTGAATCTAGATTCAATTCAAAATTTTCCAATATTTATATCACAAATATAATTATTTTATCAATGTTGGTATAAAATATTACGCTTACGATATTGTTTATATTAAAACATAAATTTGCGCTTCAAACTTAGAAATGATGTTGTTGGTTTATATTCACTTTGATTTAAATTTAATAGTTCTTTGTATTAATTAAGTTTCAAATATAGATTATATAAGATTCATTAATTTTTCATCTATCACTAAATTTAAAGCATCAATAGAAATTTTAATAAAATTTGAATTCTTTTTCTTTTTCTAATTTATCTTATCTAGTAACCTAATTATTAGATTAGTCAATATATCTATTCCGTTATATTTTCTTATTAATTACTTATAGTATAACTTATACTCTCTTAATAAAATTTAAAAATCAAAGCTGAAAGACAAGCAACATGTAAAATTTCTTAATCAGATTATAATTTAGAAATGTGATTATGAAAGTGAAAATATTTTATGGATTAAAATTGCTTTATTTTTGAATTTGATCAATAATTTTGTCTAATTATAAATAAGATTCTTGATGAACTTAATATTCTAATTGTAATTCAAAGTTCTTGGATTTAGTATAATCAATATTATAAATATTATTAATCTAATATATTGAAAAATCAAGGTTTGAATATTGATTAAGTCAATGCCAAAGCACTATAGGATAGGGAAAAGGCAAGGATGACTCCAAAAATTCCAACTAGTATTTTATATTATTCATCATTCAGGACTTTTCTTTAATTAATCATTTAATAAATATTATTAAAAATATTGATGAATAGATATACTTATTGTATTATATTTCAAATAATTTCTACAAATGCTTTTGGATGTTAAAAGACTGTAGCTGTTGGTTTGACGACTTCAGCATTTCTTGGAAGGACTGGTTATCTTTTGGTTGAAATATGTTTTTTTTATTTATTGGCTTCTGTTTTCTTTTTATCATTTTCTTAAACTCTCTTAACAAATTCTTCTCTGCATTTAGATGGTCTCAAATGATCAGCTCTGACATGGAATCTCTTTTCTACATATCTACCTCTGACTCTTCTTTATAATGAGACACCTATTCCTCTTGGATTGACATTGAAAACTCTAGCAGTACGTCCATGATAATATTAGAAAGGGACACCCTTATGTTATGCACCATCAACCAAAATATCAACAAAATCACCTAAGAATTCATGATAGTAAATATACCTCTTTTGAATGTTTAGAGTGTTTTACGAATGCTAATGTTTCCATGTCCTCTGAATGGTTTAGCAAATTTGCTTCTTGTACCTTTTTTCAAACCATAACTATGTGTCATTTATTGAAGATATTAATTTTTTTTTAAATTATTTATACTCACATAATTAGAAAGCCATTGAGGAAATTCAAATTTATTAATGTATGTTTTTGTAATATATATATCATTGAGCTGCGACTGGAGCTTAAACTTTGGGGGCATCCTTTTTTTAAGTTGTTTATTAAGCAGGTCGTTTTCTTTCAATGACACGAATTTTTCTGTCTTCAGAAGATCTGACTCTCACAATACGAGCATGGATAGCACATGATATGCAATACTATTCTGATTAATATAAACACTACTTAGAGTTTGTCAAACAATTTTGGAATTGACTATTATTATTTGGTATCATAAGCTGATGCTTCTAAGATATCCTTTTTTGATGATGCATCAACAATGTCTCTGACTGTAAATCTCTTGATGGCTTTATCTTTGCCAACTAATCTACAACAATTTGAGCATGTAACTGGTTTGACATGTCCTCTGTTTTTCTTTGAACGACCATTATTTCTTCTCTTTGATGGCATATGTATTTTTTATTTTTTAATAATTTATTTAAAATGATTTAATTTTTTTTCATATTAACATCACCAATACACATATCCAATTAATTAATTATAGTATATATCATTCCTAGTCAATCATATGAAATATAAATCATTAGATATTGAAATATATTAATAAAGGATTAACTTAAATATCAATCAATCCTTATAAATATATATATATAATATATTAATTAATTAAAAAAAGTCTAATTATTAATTATCTCTACACTATTATTATAATAATCCATTCATATAAATATTCATATTAATGTAGATTAATTATTAAAATTCTTATAAGATACTTATATTATAAGTATAAGAATTTATCTTTAAACATTAAACTCTTTAAAATTAATAAAATAAGTGAATTTCCACTATTAGACAATTAAAAATGATAAGCAAAAATAAATCTAATTATGAATTTACTTATCTCATTTAGATTATTTCTTAAATAAGTGTTTTATTTTAAAGACAAAATGAATTAACCTATTTTTTAGACATTTTTTTAATTTAATCATCATAGATTACAACAATTAATTTGAGATTAATTATTCATGTTTATTCTTATTAATGAGCCATAAACTTAATGCAATAGATATTAATATATTATTTGGATGAAATATTTAAATTATAATATAAAATGGCCGATACATTTTTATTGACTGAGGCTTAGATAACTCAAAAGAAACCTGTATAACTGAGTCCTCCGAAAGTAGAAACTGAAGCAGAGAAGAAAGAAAGACATTGGTAATAGATTTTGAATAAAATTCTATTCAATCCTCCTAATGATGATTATTATCAAAAATGGCCAATAAAACCAGGTTAATTTAAATTCATTAACATTTTATAGGAATATTTTTCTATAAGGCTTTAGCTTTAGGAAAATTACCAACAGAATAAATAAGAGTCAACATTCCTGAAAGTATAATGTGTTTTGAATAAACATATATTTTAATGTATACAGATCCAATTACAGGATAATTGATAAGAAAAACAGATATAGGATATTAGGATTTTGAGAATAAAGTATTAATCAATTAAATTAGGTTCATTAATATCATGAAGAATATTTGAAACGTCATGTAAAAGATGATAGATTTGAAAAGAGAACTAATGTATTTGAGAATTAGGATAGTCCATATATAATAAGTAGAGGTCAAACTGGATAGGATTGGAATATGTCTAAAGCTGTATATACATTCCGATAATAAAAAGAGAGAAAAGTTTAATTAGATAACAATAAATTAGAATAGCGATTTGTTATATCAAGAGTAATGAAAGCTACAATAGTTCGACTTGTATTCTATACTAAGAATTCAAAATCATCTCATGCTAATTATGGTTATCGAATAATGAATGTAATGGAATTATATGATCCAAATCCCAAAAAATCTATAACTAATAAAACTACAATCAATACAGAACAATAAAATTCATTTACTATTCAATAAATAAAGGGAGTTGGATTATATGAATATGAAAAGGTTTGTGATTAGATTGTCTCTTATTTAGAAAAGAATTATCCTGTTAGAATAAAAACAGGTGTCTTTGATTTTCTATAAGATCCAGAAGGTAGAATTTGGTTATTCAATTGTAAATAATTAATAATGGAAAATGCTATTTCAATGAGTGAAATTCAAGGAGTAGGATAAGGAAAGAAAACACTTGATTAATTGACTTGTTCAGTTTATTGTAAATTGTGTGGCATCATATTTAAGAAAGATGATGCTAGTAAAACACTTACTTATAAATTATTATGGGAATTAGTTTAACATTTAAAAAAGAGAAATAAATAATTGACAAATATAAAAGTATCTCATTTATCTACAAGACCTTGTAGAGTATGTGATGTATGTTATATGTTAATTGTTGGAGAACATGAATTAGTTGAAATTGAATAGAAATTTGCTATAGCTTAAAACATTCCATTAGGAGATGCTATTATAAGAGTTCCTATGGATAGTAAACCAAAACATAGACCAGCTCTATTGAATGAATAATTATATTAATGGAGATTACTCTTTTATTTAGAAATGGTTGATTTATAAGGTAAGAGATTAATAGATTTAAATGGTAATCCTGTTGGAGATCTAAAGAATATTGTATTACAATATCGTTTACATCAATCAAAATCATCATTTAAAACACATATCATTAAAGATGATAATTATTAAACTTTAAAATCAAATAAATAATAAACATCATAATCATAATAAAAATAACTTAGATTTAGTGGTATTGAAAGATCAGATTCTATTGATGCACCAGAAGGATAAGTAGATGATTAATTTGCATAAATTAATGATGAAAATTTAAAATTGAATGTTATAAGAGTACATTACTTTTTTAGTGAAACTACAGATATAGAAAAGTTCTTATCAGAAACAGAAATTAAAATGAGATTATGTTAAGGTTCAGAATGGGTTAATTATGTTGCAGAAGGATCTACTAAAACAATACATCACTTTAAAAATTCATAAATGGGAGGTCAAAGACATAGAGCTTAAGTTTTACTATTTTTTGCAAATGGTCATTATTGCATATTAAATTTATAAGTTGGATTGGTACTTATTGTTTATTACATTAGTTTTGTGATGGTTAATATAATACTGGTAAATTGAATCTATATAAATATAATAATGTATACTTTCCAGATGACAATTATTATAATTGCAATCCCTTTCCTCCTGAATGGATGGAAATATTTGATCCTTAGTATGTTAATATGCACAATACATTTGAAGAGTAAGTAAAAGAAATAGAAGCTTACTCTCCAAAATGTACAAAACATGAATTAAATCAAATGATAGATTTCAATAAATATAAGGAAACTACTAAATATAAGGCAGTTAAACCTAAAATTGATGCCAAAAAAAGAGATATTTAATCAGCAGCTCCTTAATATGGTTCAAATACTCAATAAGTATTACCAAAATTACCATAATCAGCTAAAAAATATTCAAATACAATGAGATAATTTGATGAATAACAATTATTGTAGCATTACACATTAGAAGAATAGGATATAGGAGAAATATTATTTGAAGAGAAGAAATAGAATAAGAAAATTAGTAAAGAGGATAGAGAATTTTATGAATAACACAATTTATATGATGAAGAAGCAGAGGATAGTTAAGAAGATTAAGAATTAAATTTGAGATTGAATAAACAAATTCAAAAATCAATGAAATAGTTGGATAATTAATCATAATAATCTAATTCTGTGAGACCAATAAGATCAGCATAATAATTACCACCAAAAGGACATAGATGATAATATATTATTATTAATATAAAAATGGTTTATTAGTGGACAAACTTTGTCTGGGAAACCAATGCATGGTGGTTAAGAAGAATCAGACCTGTATTTTTGTTTAAATATAATCAAGTTTGTTGTTTTGGGAGCATTTGCATTTACAGCATTCTATGGAGGCAGATATTATTTCTTTGGAAAATGGGCTTATTATAAACAAAGACAATTTACAGAAGCTGAACTTGTAGCATAAGCAGAAGTCAATAAGAGGTGTAATTCTTATATAAATGCTATATAGAAATTGGGGATATGGAGTTTGGTACAAACCAACATTGGAGAGAAGCAGAAAGAAATTATTGCAAGATGCATTGAAAGGTATAAGAGATAGATTAATTTTTTTGTAGATAAATATAGATATGCAATGACATGGGAAGAATTATTTTATGAGGATCCAAGACCAGTTGAAGAAATTCTTGAAGAAGAAAACTCTTGGGAAGAATATGAGATATGACAAGATTTAATATTCCTTATAATGTTATAGATATATATATATATATTATTTTCATATGAAAAGAATCCATATGCAATTTATATTTTTCATTCTTATTTTAGAGATGTGGTAATAGCTTAAGCCAATTTCACTAACTCACTTATATAACTATATATATATTTAATATTGTTTTATACGTCGAAGTTAATGATGATCTACTAACTAATGATGATTCAATCTTATTTCGCAATGCTACAATTTCATTTATTTGTACTGCATCAGACAAAAGTCTTCCTTATTTTTTCTATGATCCTTTTAATGATAATTATAGATTATCATTTGATCTTTAAAATAGTTTTCTTTATGAAGATTGAGATTTCGAATTTTGAGATTATTTTTCATTTGAATTGATCACAACATTCTAACCTAAATTACTTGAAATTCTTAAGATATTAGTTTAATTATAATTACATTTATTTCATCCCATATGCTCTATGAGGAGAATAGAGATTCTTTTAAGGAGTATAATCATCGTTAGAATTATAATTTAAAGTTGTCATACGTGATTAAGATAAATCTCGAATTCTTGCTTACAAATTATCAAAAGATGGCACTCCTTAACGATTTTCCTTTCTTTCATTAGAGATAAATTCTTACTTTACAGAATTAAAGTTTGATTGATTCAAATCATTATTCAAACTCAAATTCAATCTATCTTTAACGTGAGAACGATATGATTTTAAATCGAAATTGGCATCTAAGGGACGAGAGTAAGAATAATCATTATATGTTCTCATTGGTTATTTGTAATATTTAAATAATAAAAACAATTTTTTTCTTTAAGTTATTATAAAAATAATTGTTGTAATCAGAATTTTTTCAATTATCTGACAGAGATTGAATTTTTGAAATCATACAAAGAACTCAATTATGGCAAGATAGATTTTGGAGAACATTGAGTTGTATTTGGTTTAGGACGATTTGCAATATATTAACTAATAGGTCTATTGACTTATTTAACATAATAGACTCTTTCTAACTTTTTTTATCCCTTAGGAGAAGATAGAAAATGTGCAAAGGATTTACGATTCTAATGATTCTTAGGTTTAAATTGATAAAATTCTTCATCTGAATCATGTTCATGTAATACTTCAATATGATGTTATTATTGTTGTTTCAATTATCTTTAATTTAAATAATAACAATTACTTAATTCCTTCAGCAAGTAAATTAGCTACAGCAGAAGGTTTATGGATATGCACATTCTAATTGATGGCTTTTTTCATTTTATTTCTTTGTCGATCTCTTATTTTTTAGACAATTTTATATCTAATCATGAATAAAACACAATGAATATATTTTCTGAACTTTTTATATAGTCTCTTCCTTCGATTAAAGCTAATATGTATAAAATGAATTCAATTTACTTGCTTTCGAATGGAAATAACTGGAATGTCTTTTTTATAAATAAATTGTTCTTACCACAATTAATACAATTGCAGCTAGAATTTCTTATTGTTGTTGAAAAGTACTTTTTAAATCTTCTTGATTATCTTTCACTTAATTATGGAATTTCTTCAACTAATGGTATTCTATGCTTTGTAAAAAGAGACATTTTATCAAATAATCTAAATGGTCTATTGCTTTATTATTAAGAAATAATCTTTCGATGTTATGGTTTGATTGGTGATTGTAGTAATGATTTATTCATTTTATTAATAAATATAAATTGAATTAACTGGAATAATGAATTTGATATTAATTATCGCATTCATCTTTATAATAATCTCATTAATACTATTACTTAAATAAAGTATATTTAAATATTCAATATACTAAATACTCAACAAATGTTATTTTTTTTTTAAATTTATAGAATATATATATATAATAGTTTAAATTAACTTCAAAATAATTTTCTATTATTTTATCATCTATTTTATATCATTAAAAAATTCATTCAATTTATTTATATAATTATTCATAGTAAAATGGAAAAATATATTTATTTTTTTAATCATGTATTATTTTATATTCAATTTATAATTAATATAAATATGATTAATAAGAATTACTTTATTAAATCAGAATTAATACTTTAAGTGTAGTTAAAGTGAAAAATATTAATATAATATTTTGTAATTATTTTACAAATTTTCCGATAGAATGTTCTTTTGAGATTAAAAATTATATTCTTACGTGGAATTAATAAAATAAAAAAATAATTAATGAAGACAAGCATATTGGTTGTCATCTTACTCTCTTGCACATTTGCAAAATAATTGTATGATGTAAAAAAATCATATGTCACTCCTGTAAATGAAATAAATTTTGAAAAATAAATTAACAAGATAAGACAAACAACTAAATATGTTACTATAGTTCATTTCTATAAATATTCAGGTATATATGCGAATTTTATTGGTAGATGGAGAAAGTAGATCATTTGCACCAAAATATGATGAATTTACAAATGAATATAAAGGAATTTTCAGAATAGCCTCATGTGATTGTGACGAAGCTGAAAAGATTTGTTAGAAAGAGAGTGTCTCAAAATTCCCTACATTTAGAGTATATCCTCCATATCCTGTTCCTGCAATTGATTATGAGGGTCCTCTTGAAATTGATGGAATCTTGAAATTGGCTACAAAATACATCCATAACAATATTATTGAGATTACTGAAAATAACATCAATACATTTATTAATGAGAATCCTACAGTTCCTAAAGTGGTATTATTTAGTGAAAAGAAAGGATTCCCACTTGTTTACAAAGGATTAAGTGTAGAATTTGAGGTAAATAAATATATATAATGTTAAATAGAAAAAATTATCATTTGGTATAGTGAGATCATCAGAAAAGGCATTATTAGATAGATACAATATCAAAGCATTCCCTAAATTATTACTTATAAAAACTAATGAAAAAAAACCATATCCATATACAGGAGAATATAAATTTAAACCTATGTTTGATTTTTTGAATGTTCACAGTGAAGTATTTGTACCAGGAGGAGGATCATCTGCTGATAGTGCTGCAACAAAAGAATGGATGATGCAAGTTGTTCCATAATTACATTAAAGATCTGCAAATGATATCTGCTTAAAAGTTGAAGGTGTTATTTGTGTAATTTTAATGAATAATGGAGATAAACCGTAATTTATATAAATATATTTTATAGAAATAATGAATTAGTAGATGAATTAAAGAAATTGAATTAATAATATGAGAGACATATTAATAGAGGAACAGTTTTCAAATTTATGTGGTTAGATGTTAAGACAGAATCAAAAGTAATTCTATTTGATCATAATTATTATAGTGGGGTTAAGCAATAGAATTCTAAGGTGAACCAAAAATAGTTTTATTGAATCCAAGTAAAAGAAAGAGATTTGCAATTCATGATGGTGAAATGACATTTGAAGCAATATGTAAATTGATTAAAATATAATTATTATAGAGAGAACTTTAGAAAAATTGATCAGTGGAGATCTCAAATTTAAAAATTTAGGAGAATCATTACCTGATTTTGTGAAAATTGATTTGTGAATATTGTTAATTAGCTTATCATTCATATATATATATATTTTAAAAGATCTTATTTATCATATTATATATTTTAATGAAATTATTGATATTATTAATAGTATTATCAAGTGTTATAAGTAGAGAATATAGACCAATGGCTGGAGGTAGATTTAAGCCAGATTAAAATGATGAAGGATTGAGATAGGCAATAACATATGCAAAAGAACATTTTGAAAGTTTGAATTATTTATATAATAATTAGCATCTTGTGATGGAATGTCTGGATATAAATGGGATAAAATAATAGATGTGGAATAATAGATTGTTAATGGAAGCAATTACTATATTTCAGTATAGTTGAAAAATGGAGATTAAATAATAAATGTTTAAATTGTAGTTTATATGCCTGCATCTCCACCAGACATAACAATTACATCATGTTCTATTTTTTGAAATAAATCATTATTATAAAATAATTCAAATTATATATTGTTATTTTAATTTTGTTATTTTTTTGATTATATCTAAAAGAACACTTTAATATTGAATGAAAATCATATAAATGTAATTTAAGTTCTTAAATGTAAGTGTTATCTAAACATAATTCTTATGCTTAAAATAATTCTGAAAAATATTAATGTCTTTTAATTTAAAATCCATTCTAATTATTAATTTCATCATAATCTGAGTTTTATATGAGTGATATCTTTATATGAGTATATAATTTATATAAGAAACAAGGAATTTGTTTATTCATTATTAATTATGTTATTAATTATACTACTATTAATAAATGCATTTGCATTTGTGCATAAACAAGAGTAATACTTGATGGACTTATATAATAAAATGAATGCAATAAAGGAATTCTTATCTTAATTGGAATATTACACAGCATTAGAGAAGTTAGAAATCAGATCAAAAGAGAATATTGAATTTGAAGAGGAAAGTCTAGTAATATACAAAGAACATTATTAAGATGTAAACATAAAAAGATCATATTCTAGTTTATAAATTCTTTCAAATAATAATAGACATTTAATAAAAATGAATAGGAAGATATAAAATTGTTTTTAAGAGAAACATTTCCAGAAGTTGTAGAAAAAATAAAACGTATAATAGCAGATAAAGTAAATATATAATTAAAATTTAGGAAAAATTAATTGAAGGAGATATAAAAGAACTGGCTAAACTTAAACGTTAATAATAATAAGAAGATATAAGTTAAAGATTTGAAGAATTGAATTATCTACATAAGAAAATCTAAGAAGGTAGATTAATCAATAACGATTAGTTTTGGAATAGAATGATGAATAAATCATTTATAAAACCTTAGAATTATTGGAATCAAAGATTATGATAGGTTCTTTTAAATAGATGTAAAGTTAAGAGGTAGATTTCTTTATGAAGAGTGTTGATAAACTTTTCAGAGAAAAATAAAATTTAAATAAGAAATAAGAAGCAATCCAATTACTTAGTATAATGAGTAGTGTAATATCAGAATATCTTATTAAAATGATGAATGATTAAATTGAATCTTCTTTTGATTTATTAGATAAGGAACTCTTTTTTACAGAATCTAAAAATACTCATTTCAATGCAAAAGAATAATATATTAATTTATTAAGTAGATTAGATTGTAAAATTATTATTTTATTTTAAGAATTTCATTAATCTATTTGGAAACAAATGATGGACTTACCATAAAATAGCTATTAATTAGAAATAGCTGAAAAATAATTTGAATAAGCATTATAAATAGGAAATCTTGCTATATCATATCATACATAAATGAATGAAATGATAAAAGCAATGATAGAAAGGTTTTTGTAAAGATGAATTTAGTTTATATCATTAAACGATTTTCATCATCATCTCACAAAATTCTTCGAAACTAATTTAACCATCACCATTTCTATCTATTTCCTTTATCATATCCAACCAATATTTCTCATCAATACCAGTTAATGATGGTCCTAATACTTCTTTTATTTCAAGTTCTGATATAAATCCATTACCATCTTTATCAAATATTTAAAATGCCTTTTTTTTATTATAAAAATATTATTATTACTTCTTTCAATTTTTCTGTTTACATTGCTTTTCTTCTATCCATAGATGCTATTATAAATTCAGTGTAATCAATAGTTCCTGATCCATCCATATCAACCAATTCCATAATTTTTTATACCTCTTATAATGCTGTTTCATCATCCATATATTTTTTATATGTCTCTAATATTTCCTCCTTAGTCAGGATTCCATCTCCATTTTAATCCATCTCTTTAAAAGCTTACATCTTATGAATAATGATATAACTACTAATTGATTTTTTTCTTCTTTTGAAATCATTGTGGTTCCAATAAATATCAATGTTGCTTATTGTAATTTTTACTCTGCTCTGAAATTCATTAAATTCTTTAATCTACCTTATACAACTTATTTATCCAACTTTTCTTAATGTTATTATTAAAACCAATTATGTTCCAACACTTATTTTGCATTCATTCTCTTTTAAACATCATATTATAACATTTTTGTAACTAAATCTTTTGCTTGTTAACTAACTATATCCCATACTTCACCCTATCCAAATAAAAATATATCATTACTTCTAATGAATATTTCCCATTCAAAATACTTTTTTGAATCTCTGCATCTGTTCTACCATTAAATGGAGGTGTACCAGATAAAAGAATATATAATATTACTCCACAAGACCAAATATCACATTTCTCATTATAATTACGTCTCAAAACCTCTGGAGCCATATAATAAAGAGTTCCAAATTTTTCATTTATTTATTAGTTAGGTGAAAAGATTTTAGCAGTTCCCCAATCAACTACTTTTACATTATAATTTCCTTAACTAGTTATATCTAATAACACATTTTCTGGTTTCAAATCTCTATGAACAATATTTTAATTATGAGCATAAAGGATTGCTGACATTATTTATTTCATTATGTAAGAGGCTTCCTTTTCAGAAAAGCTTCCTTTTTCTATTATCTTGTCAAATAATTCACCACTAATTCATATGGTATCTCATACCCTGTACATAATTCGATGATAATGTAATAGTTTTTCTCATCCTGATAAAATTCATATAGTTTAAGTATGTGTGGATGGTCTAATTACTTATAAACATTTATTTCATTTATAAACTATTATTATAATTCTGCTGTTGATAATCTTGATTTGCTGATTACCTACAAATTTATTTCTAATCATACTTTCATTGCACGAATTGCTCTTGTTTTACGATGTGTGACTTTTCTTACTTATGAAAATGCTCCTACACCCAATACACCCTACATTTATATATTCAAATTACTCCTAGTTTATAATCATCAGTATATGAATTTTGTTTCTCAACAATGAATTGACTAAAGTTTAATTTTAGATGATTTTAATCCATTCCAATCACTTAAATATAAAATTACTTTTTATTATTATTATTTAATAAATCCCATTAAGGAAAATCATCATTTAACCCAATTTTTGATTTTTAAATCAATTCTAAATTTCTAAATTTTTGTCATTTTTTAATTTATTTCCAATTTTTTATACTCAACTAATCTATTCAAATTGACAAAGTTCGATCTTATATAACCATATTGTTAAGTCATATATATAAATGGAACTTTACTTAATTTTGATGTTTCAACAAATTAAATACATATATATTATAATCAAAACAGAATTTACCTACATCCATAAGAGACTATCCATTATTCAACTTTTATTATTGAATTCTTAAACCTTTGTTTAAATCTATTTTCATCTCTTTACATATTCAAGAATTTATTGATAAAACATTTCATCCATTCTAATTACCTATCTCCTTATTTCTCATTAACATATAATCTAATATTCTTATTTAATTATTCAACAAATATTTCTTATCCTAGAATCTCTAATATTAATCATCCTACACTCTATTTTCTGAATTCTTATAAATTAATTTCTTTATTTTTTCAATTCTTTATAAAAAACTTGCACTTCTCCTCTCTCTCTTCATCCCTAAATTCTTATAAATACAAAGATTTGTATTTGTTCCCCACATACAATTTATTATCTATTTCTATTTTCTCTATTAATGAATTGAAATCCTTATTTTTTAAATCGCTTCCTTCCTATAAATTTGATGACATTCATTCATTAAGTTGAAAATAAGTAAACCATTCTAGAAATAAAAATTCTCTAAACCTTTGTCTCTACTAGGCCTTTTTTATTAAACTTAAAAAAATTTAATTAATGCAAAGGATATTATGATAATATTTGAATTGTTAATTAATTAATTAATATTATTTTATAGCCATTCTCTATATGCTAAGTTTCTAGAATTTAAGAGTATTGTTAAATTTCTAAATATTTGATCGAAATTAAATAGATTGATTAATAGATGCTTATTAGAGTTATCCTAGATTTGATATTATCCTTTGTATTGTGTAATTTATTCTATATAATAAATTACTCTATACTCATCCAACTAGTTAATAAATATTAAGTTATTTATGCACAAAACTTAATTATAAAAATAAAATGAAAATAATAATAAATTCAGTGATATATTTTTTATTGAAATGATATTGAGAGAGTAAGAGTTTAGTTCTTGTAAATATTGAGTAATTAATTTTTATTTTTAAATATGAATTATTAAGACCCTACTATTTTGGCATTAAAATAATAGAATGTTGAATAGCAGAGATAAATAGAATAATTAATGGGGAGAGTCAATATGCTTATTAAATAATAACAATTATTGAGACCTCCAAATAAAAAATTAGAAATTGTATATAAGAAAAAAAAGATTCATGACGAAATAGTAGATGAAGTAATTTGAGCATAAAACAATTATTTATAGTTAAAATCAGCTAAGGAATCTCTTTATGATCAAAATAGTGAATAAAGGAAAAAGGAGGATAACTTTATTAAGAGGTTCTAACTCAATAAAGCAATTAAAACAGCCAAAGCTCAGGTTGAAAAGGAACGTGAGGAACAAGCAAAATATATGAAGAAGATTAGTAGTCTTCATAGAAAATCGATAGAAGAACAGAAGCAATAAATGTATTAGGAAAGGAGAACAAATAGGAATAAAGTCTAATTAAATGAATTTTAATCTAAATACAATTATTAAATATATTGGGATGAGAGAGTAAAGAAATTTGAATAAGAATAAAATAAAGTAAAGAATCAGTTATCTAAATCTATGATGGATTAAGAAAGTTTAATGAATTATTTGGAATAACAAGAAACACTATTAATGGGAAAATTACAATAAAGTAAGTCTTCTTAATAATTCTTATAATAAAAATTAGAAGATGCTCAAAGATTAAAAGCAAAAGAATTTGAATAAAAATATGGAAAGCCTAAAGAATCTAAATTTTAACAAATACTAGATATCAAAGCAAAATAATGAATATATATATATATATAGATTTAATTTCATATAAATATTCCAAATGTTAATATTGTGATAATCTAATTTATATTAATATTTAATTGTGTTAAATTTAATTTTTAGGAATTTTGAAATAGTAAATATTATCTATATTTAGTTATTTGTTTAATCATATTTTAATAGTTTTTTATTTCATTATCAAATCTTATATGATTATATGGTTATTAAATAAATTAAATGAACGAATTGTTTAATTAATAGCAATAATAATAAAATTTAATCTTATTGGATAGTTTTTATTATTTTGAATCTCTACTTTTTATATTTAGGATATAAAATTTTGCAAATATATAAAAATATTTAAAGGAGAAAACAAAATATATAATATTTCTTTACTAAACTTGCCAAAAGACTTAAATTGAATTGATTTCAAGAATATAGAGATAGTAAAAATTATTAGATTTCTCAAAAAGATTCATAAACTTAATTATTATGAATTTAATGTAAATATATGATGTATATTTTTTATTATTATTATTATTTTATATTTAATATTCATTTTCTAACCTATGATTTGAATGCTAACAAATCATTTTCCAATTAAACTTTATCCAATTTCAATTATTCTCTTTCTTTAGTTCTTAATTCAAAATCTTTCTTTAATTTATCTAAGTCTGTTTATAATTATTTATTCTATTTTTCTGAACTTGTCCATTTATCATTCATTAATCCAATTTATGATACTTTTGCTTCCAATTATCCTTATGTTTATTTAAGTTTTGATAATTCATTTACATTCTAATCAAATTATTATTTTAATTGATTAAATTAATCTTCTTTAGTTTTTAATGAACTTTGTAATACAGCAATTTAATCCTTTAATTTTTACAATTCTTAATCTTTCTTATCTCTATCTTTAGTTAGATTTGCTAAATCTTTTTGAGTTTAAGCTAATATATAATATAATTAATGATACCTAATTGTTATTCAAGCACTTTTAATTTATCCATTAATACTTTTTTATCTTATAATTATTATTCTAATCCTGCAATAGTTTATTTTAATTTATCACTTTCATTACCTTTTTATTCAAATGTTTATTTAATTCTTGTAAATTCTTATTCAGTAGTTTATGTTTATTTCTTAAAATCATTAAATTACTTTTCGATCAATCTAATTCTATTTAATTCAATTTCACTTGTACTAAATTTTTATGATAATACATCATTTTCAGTTACCTTTTCCTTATATAATTATTATAAACGATCAATTTCTTTTAATAGTTCTTATATCTTTCTATCTGCCTCAGGTAATCTATCCTTAAATCCTTATAAAATATTAATTTCCTATTAAGACTTATTCAATTATCTTGTTAATTCATCCAATTATCTAAGATAATCTTTGATTTAATCTTCATAATTCTTGCATTTCTCATTTACTGATTATAATTAAACAAGTTATTAATTCAAAATCAATATTTAAGAATTTAATTATTAAACTTCTAATACTCTTTCTATTAATTTCTTATTTAAATCATCATAATCCTTTAATTTTTCATCTAATTTCTATTAAATTTCTGTTATTTATTTCTCAAATATAGTAATTTCAGCTTTCAATTTTAAGATCTAACTCTTTAGATCTTCAATTTCTTTATTTCTTTTTTCAAGTATAAGTTTCAATCTATCAATTTCTTAGGCCAAAAACACTGTTTTAGATTCAAGATCACCTATCTTTTTTTCTAATAATTCATTTTCCTTTAAAACTTAATCATAATTCTATCTGTAATCTTTTAATTCTTCATTTAATGTAGTTATTTCATTTTCTTATTATTGAATCTTTCTATCTGCTTCTTCTAAATCCTTTTCAGCCATATCAAGACTATGATCTCTTTCTTATAGCATTTATTATAATTTCTCTATTTCCTTACGATAATCATCAATTTATGCTTATAATTATTAAATTAAGAATTCCAATTCTCTTATTCTAGATTCTGCATTAGAAAGGTCATTGGCTAATCTATTCAACTCTTAATCCTTTTAAGCAATTATATCTTCTGCTCTTTATAAATCTGATTCTAATCTTCTAATGATACTTTCCTATTCCTTAATAAAATTGTCTTATCCTGAACTATTATTCTTCAAATTAGAATTCTCATTCTCTAATTATCCATATCTATTTCTCCAAGTATCAAGATCTGATTAATATTATCTCAATTATGAATTAAGATCATTAATTTAAGATTCATAATTTCTGATAGCTGTATTATATTTACCTTCCAAATCTCCATATTTTAATCTCCAATCATCTATCTCTCTTTACATTTAATCAATAATCTATCTTAATCTATTTATCTCATCTTCTAAATTCCTTACTACTCCATTTAATCTATCTATTTCACTTTAAGCTTATCTATATTAATTTTCTAGACTTGTATATTTTGATGTCCATTCATCAATTGTATTTCTCAATTCTAATTATAATCTATTAATGTCATTCTCTCTATCTCTCAATAAACCATTAAGTCTTTCTGTCTCACCTCCAGATGAAGATTTGTAAGTTGAAAATTACATTTCTAGAGCACTGTACTTATTTCTCCAATCATCTAAATCACGTTTATATCTTTCTATTTCTGAATCACGATCTCTTAATTGATTTTTCAATTAATCTAATTCAGATTGATATTAAGCTATTTTTGAATCATAATCTCTTCCCTTAACTTCCCATTCTCTAATTCTATTTTGATAATCAGATATCTGAGTTTCATAACTCTTAATTTTAACTAGATAATCTTATATCTAAGCTTCCAATTCCTTAATTCTTTTATTCAATCTATCTACTTCAGATGATGAATTCCCTTTCAAATTCTTTATCTCATTAAGATAATTCTCAATTTCCAATTTCAATCTCTTTATCTCACTCTCATAGTTAGATTTCTCTGTATTCCAAGATGACTTCATATTATTTATTTCAGACGTGTACTTACTCTCTTAATCTTTCAATTATCGTTCCAAATCCTTAATTCTCTACTCTGCTTATGATAACTTACTGGCCAATGAATTGTCCACTTATCCCAATTTTGATTTGTATTGGTTGATTTCATCTTCCAATGACTTAATTCTCACTGTTTGCTAATCAATAGTTGTCCTATAAGATTACTCATTTCTCTTACTTAAACTGTTAGACTTCAAGATTGTACTTCTCTTGAAGAGTACTGTATTCACTTTGCAATTTCGAGTAGTTACTTTACAACTCATTGATAATGGTTCTTTGATCTGAGTTTTCTCTTTACAGTCTGTCTACTTCTAAAGCAAGTAAGAAGCACACAACTTCAGGCTTCTCTCCAAGCCATTTTCGTTCCTTTGAAGGAGGAGGTACATTCACAACCTCCTACTAAGCCTTCACTCTATTTGATATAAATGATGGATAAAGTACAGTACGGATTTACGCTGAGTGCTGCTTCTTTGGGGTACTTCAGTTGTACTGGTACTTGAATATTATGAAGTGTTTGTGGTAGCTCCGCCAATTCCAGAAGAACGCACCGTAGATGATATGCTACTTGAATATCTTGATGAATAAGACATTAATAAAATTTATTAAACTCTTTTTTATTAAACTTAATGTAAAACAACTCCCCTATAAAACGACAATGAATTTATAATCACAAATCAAACTGAATACAAAATTTATGAAAAAGATGAAGAAATTTTAATTGAAAATTATTTGACTTTACTTATTCCAGCTTAAATTATATAATATGAAATATAAAGTTAAGTAAACTGAACTCAAAATTTGCAGAAGTGCTGTTAAAAACAATTAAATCACAATATTTTTCATTATAAAATAAAGAAGAAATCAACTAATATTAAAAAAAGCTTCAGTGTTTCATCATTAGTATCACCATAAGAAGGCTGACACTTTCATTAATGAAATATCGATCATAAACAATATTTTATAAAACATATTGGAACTAGAAAAAATAGTTGAGTGTTTATTTTTTGGCTATATTTTTGTGTACAAAATCTTAACTCATTAATCACACAGGAAAGACATCAATATCCATAACAAATCAAACAATATAATGGAAAAAGTCTTACTAAAACTTAAAAGTAATTAGATTTATGAGTATAGATCATTAATTCAGTATATATTAATGAGAGTATCTAGAAATATATGAATAAACAATGAAAGACCTAGATAGTATAAAAATTAGAATGTTAAAAATCTCAATACTATAAGTTTGAGTAAAAGTAAATTACTTATATATCAACTTACTGATTTGAAATATAAAGGATTATAATGTAAAAAAAATAGATTTTGAAATTAAGTTATTCTGAAATGAATTTGTTTGAATCATTTATTATATTTTTGGAAGACATAAATTTATAAGTTTAAAATTTATATTAAAATTTTATAAACAAATAATAAATTTGAGGATAGGTCTCTCTCCTTTATAAATATTAAGGTTCTTTTGGTTGAGACTTAAATAACTAGATAGAATGAAGTTTCATTTATCAGATGCTTTTATGATTAGAGAGATATTTACATAAAAAGAAAAAATAATTTAAGGAGATTTTGTAATAATTAGAAGGAAACCATATATATGGTAACATTGAATCATTGAATTTAATTAAGAATTAAAAGATAATCATTGATCTGGAGAAAGAGTTCAGTGTAATTAAGACAAGTAGAGGGATACATCAACATTTAAGATATTAATATGAGCATAGACTTTATTTGGAACAATTTAACATTAAGAAATTTAGATGAAGATGTATATTTTACAATATTTGAAGAGAGATTAAAGAATGAATTAAATATTGAAATTATTATTAGATTTTTTTTTGAAATGTTGATTGATGATAAGAATATGATTAGATTTAAATTTATTATTATTTAATCATCTCATAATTGAGTTGATGGATGAATTTAGAAGATATTGATAAGGCTAATTTTATTTATTTATTTCACTATTGTATTTCAAGGGTTACTTTTTCAAATGGATATTTGATTGGTTATTATTTGTATATTTTCTATAATGCTTACAATACAATTGTTCCTAATTCCTTATCATTTCCTTCTCTTTTCTTTTTTCTTAATGTTTACAATAGACCCCATAAACATCTTGGTTCATTTGGATTTTTAGATAACACAAAACAATAATAATTTTTAGCTTAAGTGTAATTTTGATTGCAATAATTGATCTTTTAATTTAAATATTAAAATATTACTTCTGCTAATTTAATTACTAAATGTAAATCCTGAGTATTAAGTAATAAAACTTCTTCAAGACAAAATTAAGCTTTAGAGTAATTCAAATGCTCTAAATATATATCAGATAATTCAAGCCATGCTTCGGCATCATTGGGAAATGAAGTGAGAAAATTATTTAACATAGCTATTGTCTAATCTATATTATTTTATCTCTTTAACAAATATAATGATAAATTACTCTTAACAATGCTATTTTTCTTTTTCTTGTATTTTGATCCATCAAATTTTCAGATAGCATCTTTTCATATACTAAAGAAGCATTATCATCATCTTAATTAGCTTCCAACAAATATCCTTTTAATCTCTAAACTTTTTCAGCTGTAGGGAATTTCTTTAGCAAAACTTCGAGTACTTACTATTGTCTTTAAACATATTTACATCACTTATTTTAATCAATTACATATCTATTGAAAGGTAAAACAATTCTTGAAGGAGTACTAAATATTCTGAACTTGAGGGTCTGAATTGTCTAATCAATTTATAAATCACAATTGAAAGACCATCAACAATACGAATGTTACCATTTTTCATTTTATGAAACAACTACTTTAAATTCTTCATGCTTTCCAATTATTCAATCACTAATTGATGTTCCTCCATTAAATATATAAATATATTTTAAAATATTTATGTTAAATCAATAAAATTTCACTATTTTCTTAATGTAAAAATAATTAACATTTCTTTATAATATTCATAAAAATAATAGGATTACTAACAATAGATTATACTTGTACCATAACTTTTGAACTTTCATACATTGAAAATTATAATTATTACATTATTTAATTCTTTTAATATAATTATCTCAAATAGATATTTATTTTATGATTAATTTCATCTATGAGAATTGCTATAAAATATTTAATATTTTTTAAGATCTCCAAAAGACCTAAAAGTTGTTAATAATCAATAATTAATTTTTTATCTTAAAACATTTTAGTATATATAAAAATATCATAATAATAATTGATGTGTAGAGACTAAAAGTCTGTTTTTAAAACTTCTATATATTCTATTACCTAATTCCTAGTGTAATCCCAAATTCAATAGACCTATTGCATTAGGAATACAGTGTTGTATTTCTTTTAAATGATATTTGATAGTTGTATTTTTGCAATTTTTCATACTTTCAAAATATAACCAAAATTTTTTTCTCTTTTCTTAATAAAATATTGAAATGTAGATTTGTGTAGGCCTCATTGTAAATACCATCCTCTTTAACAATGTATATTAATAAGACTAATATAATAAATATTAATAATTTACTTTGAAAGAAGAGTATTATTCATAATTGGCATTCACTTTAATTACTTATGGACATTTTTCATCTCCTTATACATCTTAAACAATAAATTTAAAGGGATTCAATTTTAGTTATTTTTTTAATTTATTTAACATATATACTGAACACTTTTAGATATCAGATTCTATAAATTCATATTGATCTAAACTACAATCATTCAATTTTAAATTCTAAAGGTTCCTTCTTTCATCATTATAATAACTGTATAATACTTTCCTTAGCATCAATTTAAAATTTACTATTTTAGGTTGTTCAAAAAGAGTAATTCTTTAATACAATTGAAAATTCTAACTCTCATTTAATCTGATTGGTATATATGGTTTCAACATATTAAAAGGTTTTTTAACATTTTCAACAAATACTTCAAATAAGGCATTTACTTCATTACCTAAATATACTACTTATGTATATAAATTCTCTCTCAATACTCCTTTAAATGTATCAAGATTGAGTATAAATCTATTTTATTGATTTTTAGTAATTTTAACTTTGTCTATAAGAGATTCCCAAATTTTAATTTCAAAAGTAGAAATCATATCAAGAGTATTTTTTCTTACAAGAATTTAATTAAAAAATAAATCTTTATCACTTGAATATAGATTTTCCAAACTATCTTAATTGGATACACGAGGACTATGTCTATAAAAAAGACTTTTATCTGTTTTCTATTAGAATTATGATGTTGGTAATGATAATCTCATAGTTTGAGCAATAGAATTTTAAACTGAAAATTACTTAGAGAATTATTTTTTCATAAAGAGAGGAGGTTAAGTTGAAGATCTGGCATTTTATCTACTTTAATCACTAAAGGAATCAAGTATTTTTGGAGTATCATCATTAGGTTTTTCTAAAAATTCATCTTCATTATTAATAGAGACTTTGCTTTCAGTTAGTTTTTACAATTCAGATTGAGGAATAGCTCTAGCTTGACTACGCATTTCACTATAAAAATCTTCAAATTCATCTGGATGATTGACAGCCATTTCATAAATTTTGTTCATTTCAGAGAATTTCCATCTATTAATATAAAATTAATCAATAGTTTCTTTGGTGACTAAACATGATGGGAATATAGATTCTAAAAAGACAGGATTCATATTTTAGAAATCATTTGATGAAATATAACAACTGAAATTCCTACATGTTTATGGTATATACAATCCTATTTAAAATTTATTGAGAGATAAATAAGATATAGTGATGATGACATACATGTTATTTACAATTTTTGTAGTTTTGTAAATAAATTTCTATCCTCTAAATATTGGTGTTAACATAGTAGTATTTTTTAATACTTTATTTGCTTCTTCTGGCATTTATAAATTATCAATTTATACATCCATAATTTAAGCTTAAGACTTTTTTCTAAGAGTAGGATCACTAATTAAAATAGATAATTTTGGATGAGAAGATCTAGCATGTTTTTATTCTTCAAGAATATTACTTCCATATGTTACTTCAGTGAAAGTATTATGAAGATCATATTTAGATTGACTTGCAATATATGATAAAGGAATTTTAATTCCATGATAAGTATTTGTTCTATAACATACTAAATATGCAGTCAATATTTTAATGATTTCATGTAATACTTTATTTTAAAAACAATTATGTGATGTTACTTTATTACAAATACTTTTAATATCAGCAAAATCCAAAACCAATTTAAATATTTTTGTTCTACTTTCTTAAGGAGTAATTTAAAAGTAAAAATATGTATGATCATTGATTGATTGATCAGCATAAAATTCATTAAATTAATATACTTCACATTCTACAAATACTTTACCTATATTACTTACTTTACTTTAAGCATTAAATGTTTTACGATGAAAATAAGTTTTCATGAAATATCTTAAACGACTTGAAGATATTAAAGTCAATTTCAATTATTATTTGAAATAATAAAATAGAATTGTTTATTTTAATAATCTATGATTTTCATTATTTATGAATTACAAAGGATCAATTATATACATTAATAAAAATTAATCTAAAGCACTAAATTTATCTCTATTCCTTTCTTCTAAACTTATAAATTATCTATTAAATTATAAAGCTCTCCCTATTAATTTCCTTTATAATTTAGCTTATGATTTAATTTAATATCCTATCAATTATGGTTTAATGAAAATATGAAGCATCTTCTCAATATCTTAAATTGATTTTATAGTACGAAAATAATATAAATGTTGATTAGGATTATAAATAATGATCTTCAACAAAAGTTTCTAATGTCTTATTAATTCATGCATATTCTTTTTAAGTACAAGTAAATCTTACTTTGCTTATTAATCACTAAGATACAAAAGCTTTGTGTCTAAAATTTTAACTTCTCTAAAATTGATTTCCACTTTCAAATTAAGATTCTCTTCAAAATAATAAAATTTATTTTTATTAATATTGAATTTAGATCTATAAGTAAGAAAAGATTTGCTATCAATTACTTCTTCATTAGATTGTTTAATACCAGTTTCTATTTTCAATTACATGCCCTCTTCAGTTTCAGTTCTATTTTATTCTTATAATAATTCAAATGAAACTCTTCTTTCAGTAGTATTAAGATATTTAATTTAAGTAGGAGGCAGAATTTGATTACTATATAATTACTAATGGATTTCATTATGTATGAATTCATCATAATGATTAATTCTTCTAACATATCTATCTAACATAATTTATGTATGTCTATAATTCTATTGTTTTAATTCTTCAATTAAGGATAGTTTCTAAGATCTACTTTCTTTCTCATTTAATTATTCCAATATTTACAATTTCTTTTGACGATTAGGCAATCTAATATCTAAATCTATTTAAATCATTTATTTAATTATATTCCCATTTTTATTATCAATTATCAAATATGTAGAACCTTCTTCATAGAGAATATAACCAGTTTTAATACAATTATCTTACTTTATTGTTACATTCATCATTATAAATTTATCAGGATATTCAGGTAGAAATTATTCAGGTTCTGGTTGAATGATTAAACCTCTAGGTGGAAAGTAAGTAGATTTATAATTGAATTCATTTTTTAATTCAATTGTAGGTCCTTCTTATGGTTAATAATCTTCAAAATCAGCTAAATTAGCAAATTAGAATTCAGGTAGATAATCATTAAGAAATTATATATCTGATTGTGATCTATCTCTACTTTAATCATCTAAACTTTATTTTGAAATAGGAGGTTCAAAATTAAACTCTTCTTTTTTAGTTAAATCTAATTTATGTTTCTTTGAAAATTCCAAAAAATGACTACCATGTGTTTTTCTTTAAACAGTATTACGAATTAATGCTTATGAGGATATAATAGAATCAAATCTAGGACTAGCCATTGTATTTCTATTATGAATAACAGAATACTATTTCTTAGGATTTCTTAATGGAATTTCTTATATAATATCTTTTTCTGAAATATTCTCAATTGATTTAAAATTATTAGAAAAATGTTTTTAATCAGTTGGAGATTAAGATGTGATTCCTCCTTTAGAATATTCAGATTTATTATCATCAGATTCTTAAATTACTATACTCTATTCATGAGATTACTTAATTTCATCAGTAAAGAGTTATTGTCTTCTGTGTCTAGATGATGATGATATAGTTGGTAATTCTTAAGTTTGACGTTCAATTATTTTGATTGGTTCCACTTTCAATTATCTTAGAATCATTTATCTTTTGTTCTCCTTTTCAATTTATTTATTTTTGTAATAAGATCTTATATCAATTATATCATGTTATAATTAATGTTATATTACATCTTTCATTGAAACTATTTTGTAACCAACTACTGATCTAATCAAATAATAATGATTTTTTAAAGCATATAAAAGTTTACTTACTATTTCATGTGCATTATCAATACTTGAAAATACAATTGCTCTACATTTATTAGATTAATGTAATGCTTATTATTTACAATAAATATTTAATAAACCATTAAAATTTTATAGACGATCTTTGGAAAACCATCTTTAATATTCATCCAAATAACTAGCAAAATTATTAATTTTGAAATTAAGTGTATATTATTATTTATCATTAGATAATCTAAAATAAACTATTAATTGTAATGCCTTAATTGATTAAACATCGGTAAATATATTCATAATGTATTGCAGTTAATTTTCTAATTGAAATTTACTAAAAATATATACAAATTTCACTCGGAGATATATCATTTTATATTTCTTCATCATCATCTTCTGAATCTTAATTTTAAGAGTTGGCATCACTAAATGCTCTGACCCATATATTTGATAGTTTCCAAATTTTAATTTCTGAATCAAAAAATAATTTAGATAAGAAATATAATTCTGATTCAGGTAAATTATAAAATTCTTTAATAATTTAAACTAACTATGATAATTATGTAACATACAGTTTTGGCTTTATTAGAACTACTTTATTCAGAATCAGTATTTTTGATTTCTCTAACAATAGAATCAAATCCAAAGTTTCTTCTCCTTACTGAATTCTTCATTTCTTTAACAGATAATTTCATTTAATTCCTTCCTGTCTATTAACTTTCAACCTTGTCACTAATTTATGTAGCATTATTTGGTCTAGGAAGATTAATAGGAGTTAAATCAATAGTTTATACAGATTTTATCTTCTTTATAATCTTACTATATCTTTTATAACAAGATTAAATGATAGAAGCTGCCAAATTCAACTAATCCATTGTATATTTATTTAATAAATCAGCAAAATGATTCTCACTTTATTCTGACATTTCTGTTAAGACATTCTAGAGTATTGGCAACTATTATGTTTATTATTATTATTATTATTAGATTAAAAGGGATTCTGTAGTTGGAACATGCAAATCATCCATTTATTATTAGAAATTTTAATCTTAGATGGTTTGCAACTTATGTATTTTTTATTCACTTTATTGAGAATCAGATTTAATATGGATTATTTATGTACTTTATTTATTTAAAATACGTGGAATTAATCTATTAGATACAAATTTCTTTTTGCTTATATTTTTAATAGGTTAAATTGATTCAGTTTGTTTATTATCATTCTTCTTTTTTTATAATATATATTCAGATTTAATTTATGGTCTAGTTAACAATAAATCATCTACTGTATCCTTCTTCAATTCTGTTGTATATAATTGTTATCTATATAAATCTATTATATATATTTACTTTAATTAATCCATATGATTATCCAATTAATAGAGACTAGTCCTTTAAGATAAGGTTGCATTGGATAATCTAGGAGAGAATAATCTATCTTAAGGTAAAAGAGATTGATTGTAAGTGGAGACAGCTCTAGATGAGGATTTCTTATTTTTTATTTGATATTGCTTATATTTATTGTTGGATTCATCTTATTTTTATTAAAATGATATTGTTCTCAATTTATCTTCATATTCTATTCTAACTTTTTTAACATATTCTGGCATCTAATATTTAGTTGTATGTTAAGATAATTGTCCTACAATTTATTAATAAGATTTAACTTACTGAATTATATGATGCTTAAATAAATAAATAAAATAAATATACATTAAAATTTTTATTTGGTTTAAGTGTAACTACTTTTTTGAGTAGATCTTATCCAACATCCTTTTATAGATCCTCCTTAAATTATTAAAAGTCCACCTTCTCTTTTCCCATAATCATCTCAAATTCCATTTTCTAACTCAATTTCTCATATTTATCTCTTGCTTTAATTGTTGCTGGTGCATCCATTCCATAAATTAACTCAAAAATTTACCACGATTTATACAGATTACGAAGTGCTTCCTTTTCAAAGCCAACCTTGAATTATGATTTACCAATATAATAAAAAGCTTTAGCCAACATCAAAAACCATTTTTTGAATTCTTAATGAAATTCGTCCTTGGTTAGATTTCTTAAAGAGTCAAAAGTGATACCCAAACGATTCAAAATTTCTACATATTTATTACATTAATCCAACATATCATCTTTTCTATGCATCATTCTACATACTTCACATCCATGAAATAGTAACTAGACATATATTTTTAAAACATTTTAATCATCCTCATTAATATTTACTCTTTTTGTGTATGCAAATTTTTCCATAAAAGGCAATACTTCTTTTATATTCATCCAAGCTTTTTGATATTGATTTTGTTACTCATACAATTAAACAATCTACAATATTGCATTACCTCTTGCACGTACAAAATTGGCTGTATAAAATATTCCACTAGTAATTGAAATGGGTGTTGTGATCTATTTGAAATGATAATTTATCTACTTCTTTTGCTCTATTAAAGAACATTTCTGCTTAAGGATTGTTATCAGATTTTAATAAAGTTCTTCCATCTCTTATCAAAGTATTTGCAAATTCAACTGCTGCATTAACAACAACAGGAGATTCCCATCCATTCTAAGATAGTGTCTATAAGTATTATCTCTCAAGCCTTTATAAATTCAGGAGCTGTCCAGATTACATATTAAATTATTATTAAACAAGAGTATTAATTTTAGTAACTTATGTTTTAATCTTTATTTCTAGGTTATTCTCTATAAATATTAAGATTAAACAATTAATTTATATAACATAATAAGATTGAATAAATAAGTCTTAAAAAACATTTTGATAATTTATAAGGTTTGAATTCTTATCTAGATATAATACTATTTATAAGAATTATCAAGTATATAATACGTTAACAACTTTGTATACTTTCAAATGAAATGAATAAGAATTTCTTTAGATAAATAGAAACAAATATTTAATATACAAATTTGAATTTAAAATATCATTATAAAATCTGTGCAAATGTTTTAATAACTTATTATATAGATTTACTTTACAGAAGGAGAAATAATTGCTTCAAAATAATAACCATTGAATAATAATATATATTTGACCAGAATAAAAAGTTCCAATATTGTATATCATATTTAATACTTTAGTAAGTATTATAATATTTTATAATTATATTGGTATATATTAATTATCATAAATGAATTTATAATAAACATGCATCTCGACCAAATTAAATCTTACAATACACTTGTTTTAAAAAAACCATTATTGAAATAACTTTTAGAATACACTAGTTTTTATATTTATAGATAAATAGAATTATACTCTAATTTATATGCTAAGTTTTTTCCTCAATAATATTATTATTTAGAAACAAAATAATAAACTAAAAAAGATCTTGTTTCAAATACATATATAAAAAGAACTAAATTCATTATTTGTTACTTTTTATTTTATATTATTTTATCAAATATAAAATTAGGATTTTTTTTAAATAAATGGAATAACTCAATAGTTTAGAAAATCTTTTAGAATCAAGATTAACCTCTAAAGTCTTACTCATTTTGATCATTCTACTTTATAACTGTATTGGTTAAGGACATAAAAACATAAAATTAAACTAAAATTACTAACTCATTTTATTTTTAATTTTAACTTGAATCTAACATTGCTAATTTCAATCAAAATAATCATAATATATTTCAATATGAATTTAATTTACATAAATTAATTATAAGATAGTCTAAGATATACAGTAACCTCATTCTAATGTAACATTAAGTGATAGTTTATTTCATTACTTAATAAGTCAAATTTCAGCAAATAATTTAAATAGCTACAAATAAATATTAAAAAAATGATATTGTAATAAAATAAAATGGACTAATATATTATTCAAATTTAATACTTTTATTTGCTCTTTGATTTATCATTTTGGTAAATATAACTATTAAAGAGTATATAAGAGACTTCATGATATATGAATTAATGTATAACATTAATTTTAATTTGTTTTTTTAAGAATAAGAACAATTCTCTACACAACAAATATTTGATTAGTAAAATCTATATAAAATAAATATTAAAAGATAGACTTCTTATGTTAAATAAGTTCAAGTTAGAAGGAATTCTTTTGAAATTCAATCTAATTTTCTGTTATTCTTTATGATTTTAATTAAATTCAAGAAAAACTTAAAAACATAATTTATGAAATAAGAATATTATCATTATATAATTGTTAATTCTATTGTAGGTAGCATAGTTACAATCAATAGAATAGAGATTTGTAGGTTTTTAATCATAAAGATAATTCATTTTAGTTTATATGATCTTTTTTCAGATTTAGGTAATCCTAAAAATGAATAAAATTCAATTAAGTAATTTTAGTAATGTGTTATTATAAGAATTATGGGATTGTTTATTGTTAATGTTGTTGGAGTTTTGTACTTTAACTCAAGAATTTGATAATAATAATAATATTATAACAACCCATAATTCAAGGAATCAAATTATGATAGCTTGTTAATACTGTGAGTTTGATTAAGTGTAAGCAGATCCTATCCTCGGATTATTTAGATATAGTGGATAATTCGGAAAAAGGTCCTTGCGAAAGTGAGCTCATCTTACAACTTACCCCCTTGAAGGAATACAATAATTTAAGGGAATTTAGTAAGATGACATTAAAATTCATATTATTTTTTTCAATTCATAGATTTACCCTTCATACTAAATTATGCATAGGGTATCATTGCTAGGTGATGTGTACTTCTAGAGAACAGGACATTTGATTTTAAGAAATATCTGTCTAAAAACTAAGATGACCATGTCTTCTATGTATATAACTCCTACGCATATGAACCTCTCATCAAATCTTTTTTTGATGACAACTGATAAATTTTCAGAAATGCCCAAACCTGGACAATAATTGTTTTTTACATTGCATTTCTTAAACAGAAACTTAAGCTGCTAAACCTTGCATGATTTTCAGAACTAAATAGCATTTATCCTTCATGGTGATAGCTCCAATAAAAAAATTTTGGCATTGCCTTAATTACATGAAAGCATACTATAATTATTTGTGAATTTCTAAATACATCATATTTCTATTCCCTACTATTTCTATAACTCTTAAATTAATATTTTTTTCATGATGTTTTCTGAGTACAAGACATTTTTGATTAAGCAAAGTTATTTAAAAGATCTCACTATTTTTAAATTTAGCAACATCTCTAATGTCTTCAAGTTCATCAACAATTAATTCATCTGTAAATTATGTTTATAAAGGTTAGGTAATTAATTCTTCTTATTCTTTATCTCTAAAAAGACATCCTCCCATTTATATTTTAATAAAGTTATGTATAACTTGTTAATTAAATTTATGGCTTCAAATTACGCACTTCTGACTGAATCTATGGATTATTTTGTGTATTCGTTTGACATTAATTAATTATATGAAAATATTAGACGACATCAAATAACAAGTGGAGAAAGAAATGTTAAAATTTGATCCACGATTAGCTGAAAAGAAGTATTTAAAAGTAACTCAATCAATAAAGGATTTATTTTTAAAAGCTGTTGTAAAAGAAAAGTAAACTATTAAAGCAGTAACAACTTATAATAATCCTTAGGCTGCTCATTCTATTGGGATTAATTATTCTTCTGCTAAAGCAATTTGGGCTGAATTTAGAAATAAGAATTAGAAGAAGAAGAAAAAAAACAAAGAAGATTCAGATTAGAAAAATTAATTAGTTAAGAGATGTTCTTATAAAATTTTGAATGGATGTAATAAAATTAAAAAATTTTTTATGGAAATCAAATCATCTGTCTCATAGAACTTAAGCTCAACTCATTTAATCAATTTGGAATCACATATATGAATTTAAATTATTTTATCTTTTTTTTTATGCTTACATTATAATATTTATCAATTATACTAATCAACATCAAATTTAATTGAAATAATTAATTATAATACAGATCTCAGTTTACATATCACAACCAATAGATAATAAAAAGTATTTTTAATTAAAATTTATACTATTTGTTTGGAATTAAACTTGTATTAAAATGAAATAATACATGAATAATATGTCTTCTTTACATTAAGATAAAAAAAAAGATGAAAGAGATAATGATGATAGCTATTATTGTTGCTTCTATAAAAAAAGAATATAGGTTCAATAAATTTCAAAGAATTCAAATTCAATGAACTACTCTATTCTAAATAAAAATATTATTAATTTAGAGTCCTTATAAGAAGTTTAATTTCTATTAGAAACTTATCCAGAAAGACAAGCACTTTTAAATAGTCTTAGATACAAAGTAATTAATCTAGATAAATATCCCTTAATACTTGTATATAAAAAAGAATCATTACAACCAGACTTATAGGTAGGAGAAGATGAAGTAACACTCATTTTATCATATCCAGAATATGAAGTTGAATATACGCCACTTATTATTCATTCAAAAATAATGGAAAATATTGATTATAAAAAGGAAAGTGATTAAAGTGAAATATATTTCAGCGGTATTTTCTAACATCTTAATACTAATATTTGTGATAATGTAATTGTGATTCCATTTAGTCCATCCTTAATGATCATTGATCCTGTTTTCAATGAACTCAAATTAGAATGTAGATAAGCATTATTCAACCTATTAATTCCATTTATACCTATTTTAGATAAAGTATCCATTATTCTTCCAAACATTGTACCATTAAATAGTATAATGTCAATTGTTGAACCACTGATAAGTTTGAGAATTAAAATGATGCCCTACTCAAATTATACAACACTCATTGTAAATTGTATTTAAGAGAACAATCGCTTTGATGATTTTAAATAATACAGAATTACTTTTGATCTTAAATATTATCACAAAAAAGTTAACCAATTTGTGAAATAGAAATTAAGTACTGATCATAACATTGATAATTTGCCTGTTCAATTCTTGGCTCAATTATTATGGACCAATAAACCTTTGTCAAACTAACAGTTCTTAGAACAAACTTAAAGTATTTCGTAAAGAAAATCAGACCCTATCTAATAGACTTCACCGGTCACTCCAATTTATAATTATGAGAGCAATTACAAATTTGAATTAGAAGGGTCATCTCTCAAAAAAGATAAAGAATCATATTGAATTTAATTAACTTTATGACTTTATTAACTAATCCATTCTCTAAATTCTCTGTTCTCTATAACCAAATAACTTGAATAATTAAAGTACTAATTAAATGATTAGATCATTAGTATGTAAGATTTTGAATATTTGAAATAAAATATACATTCTTTTTTTATAAAATAAACTGTAACATAAAATTAAGAGACATTTTTCTAATATTCTCATCTCATAGTTTAATATTTTATTATGTATTATAGACTTAAATGTGACTAAAATATATTACATATTAGATATTAGATTCTATAGAAATAACATTCAAAGTATACTAATATGTTAGTTTAATCAGATTATCCCCTTGAGATGACTTTAGGGAAGTAAATTGAAATACATAAAGGGAATAAATACTTAGAGGGTTTCTGAAATAATAAAAAAGTATTAAAAACATATTATTATAATAATAACGAGAATAAAAATAAAATAAAATAAAAACCAAAAAGTATATTAAAAAATTATTAGACTATCTAAGAGTTTAGTGGTCCAATTAGCAGAATACTTATTATGGATAGTAGAGCTATGTTTTAGAGGTATTATTTGCAATATATACCATATACAATATTATAAATGAAATTAAATTATGAATAATATTAATGAATTAACTACTTATAGAAGCAGAAGCCATTACTCTCCTTCATAATTATCATCCAGTTCTGGTTTTCTTAATTAGTAATATGATGAATTTGTAAATAAGATTTATGGTAAAACAAGACAAATAAAAATTCATCATCTTATTCCTAAACAAACAAATAAAGTTTTTGAAATACAAACTCCTTAATTTGAAGATGCAATATATAAAAAAATGGATGATTACATAAAAAATGAAAAGCTCAGTCGAAGAGAAACAAGGATTCAAGAAAGAATAATAGAAAAAGAAGTCATATAATAATATAAGGAAAGATAACATCCTTTTAAATTATTGATCCCTGATTAAAGTTATATCAAGATACTATAGTCTTGTTAAAATTATATGCCAAAATTTAAGTTTGCTAGATTTAATAGTCCTAACAACCAAGAGAATAATGAAAAATTGTTACTCAAAGTTAGTGAATTACTTTAATAGAGAAAATAGAGATCTGATATTTATAAAAAATAATTAGAATATGAAAGGAAGAAAAATAAGAAGATTTTAAGATAAAATTTCAGTACTGAAAAAACTTAAAGAGTACCTAGTCCGTTGAAATTAAATAATATTGAATAAATAATTTAGAAATGCAAAGAATAAAGTGAAGGTTGTAGTTCAGAAATAAAAGAGATTAATAAAAATAAATAATAATTAAATAAAAATTATTAATTAATAAAAGACTAATATAATGATATATTCAATTAATGATGAATCTTTTTAATCTTAAATCCTACTCTAAATCCACTATTATTTAAACATTATTATTTTATGGGAATTCTATAAATTAAGGACTTATGATATTAGAAGTTTAAACATATAAATTTAAAATTTATTAAGTCATAGATATTATAATGCAAATAAAACTTAAAAATTGTTCTTTTTAAAATTATACTTACATTTTCCATGGTTAATACTTATCAATTAAAGTATTAATAAGTACAAATATCTTTTATAATTCTAAATATCCTTCAATAAATAAATTTTTATCTAAAAATGCCTTAATATTTTTATATAATTCCAGAAATGTTTATTTGGTATATAATAATTGATCCTCTAATAAATGTTATTATAATATTAATAGATTTGGTGATATTATCTTTGGTCTGAATAATCTAAATAATATATTATTAAATTGATCAATATAAGTATTCCAACATTTCTCTAATTTATGTTCTTCAAATGAAACATCCATATTTTAAGGACCTTAAGTAAGAAAGTATAATCTAATTTGATCTTAGTTATATTTTTTTAATAATTAAAATGGATCAATAACATTTCCAAGTGATTTAGACATTTTCATCTTAATTATTATATTAAATTTACATTATTTCTAATCCAATGATTATGAACAATTAATTCAGTTGTAGATTCATTATTGATTCCTTTTAAAAAACAAGGCCAATATAATGCATGAAATCTTACTATATCTTTGCCTATCACATGCATGTAATGATGTTACTCTTCTTATAAATAACCTAATAAAGCATCCAACCATACATAAATCAATTAATTAGTATCATTAGGAACCTCAATTCCCCAATATTATCTCTATTTAGGTCTGCTGATACAAATACTATTAATTATCAACTGTTTTAATTCATTTTAATACCTAGATGGTGCTTTTTTAATGCAAATCTCTAAATAATCTTTATCAACTTTGAAAAAGTAATTATCTTCTTCCAAATATTGATCAGTTTTATGATTCACAAATTATTCTTCTACTTAACAATAATATCCTTTATAAATGTCTTTCATAATAAATCCATTATTTTAGAGTAGATTCCAATATTTTTAAACTTTAATAATATGTTAAGGATTAGTAGTTCTGACAAATTGATCATACTTAATAAATGAATTAGCTAATTATTTAAATTGATCTGAAATGGAATCACAATATTATTAGAGTGGTTGATTTTTGACACTTCTGTAAACTTTCAATCCATGTTCATCAGTTCCTGTCAGCAATTCTACAGATTTATACTTAGAAATAGCATCTGCATATATCATTGAATAAAGATGACCTATATGTGGTTATGCATTGACATAGAACAAAGGTGTAGTTATTATTTATTTTATCATAAAAAAATTAAATAAATTTTATATAATTATAATATACATAATCCTAAGCATCCTATTTATATATTTTTTATGTTGATCATATTCTATGATTAATACAACCATAAATTTAATCCAAACATTATCCATGATAATAGAATCATTAATTTTGTAAATATATTTGTTCTATCATCTTTTAAAATCACTATTAAAATAATCATCAAAAACGATAATTCAAATAACATATTTATAAAAATATTACTAAATGAAGCTAAAATTATTCCAAATATGTAAGGTATAATACTTGATTGTCTTTCCTAAACTTGAGGATTTAATTAGCAATCTTGACTCTATAATTCTAAAGGTTTATGATAATAATCTGGAACTCCAATTGTATATGTATTGTGTGATTACTCTTATCTATTATGATGATTATTTTATCCATCATTTAATTCATTAGCAATCTCATTATTGTATGGTATCTTAATCTATCTCAAATCCTGTAATTACAATGAATAATCTTCTAATTCATCTTCAAATTTCTTGATATATGATATAACAAGAGTACGAGCTTAATTTAATTAAAGATTCAATAATTTCTAATCTAAAACTTTAATTTCATAAGTAATTTCAATTTCCAATAATTCCCCATTCTCTTTCTAAGTTAATAATTCAGTCACATTTTTATTAAATTATAAGGAATATGTTGGTATTACAATAGTAGTATTCATCTAATTTTAACTATCTGTATTCAAAGACAATAGAATACTATCACCAACATCTAAAATATCAATTGTTTGATTTAATTAGAATTGTAAATTATAACTTGGTTTATAATCACTTTCAAATTCATAGTAATCCTCTATCTTCATGTAAAATGCATATTATCCAACCATAAACTTGTTATGCACTTACAAATTCAATATTGATGCTGAATGTAATATTAATCTCATAGGAGTTCTATGATTATTATTATTAATCAATTATGTATTTTTTAATCTCTCATCTATTGCTACTAAATTATCCTGTTCCTCTATTAATTATTATTTTGAATTTGCTATTTTCTGACTCAATAACTAAATTGCATCCCTGTAAACCTTCTCAAATTACTGAAGTGTACATTACTTATGCTATAATACTAATTGAGCTATTTACATCTTGCAAACATTTATTATACAATTAACTTATCAATTAGCGATCTATGGCTATGTTTGAATGACTCTAAAGTAATTCAATAAGTTCTTGTTGTTAATATGAAAGCATTTTTTATTAAATTACTATATATTTTATTAAATTACAATATATTTTTATTTATATTATATTGAAAAATTGTTTATTATAATCTCTATCAAACAATTAATATTGTTATGTGTTCTACTTTAATTGAATATCAAATATAAATAATAAAATTTTTTATTATTTAACTTTTTCAAAGTAAAGTGAATTAGAACTCTATACAAGTTTTTTTAACTTTTTATGAGCTATATTTATATTACATTGTATATTACAAACCCAATTTGTGTTTAAGTATTTAGATTAATATATTTATTTTAATAACCCATAATAAATGAATTAAATTGTTTAGCAAAATAACTATAAATAAAATCGATTTTTTGTATATATATGAGATTGCCACAGTTTAATTTCCTCATTATGAACTCAAACTGTCCATCTCGTAAATACAAAAAAGATCTTGCTAAATAGGTTACAAATTTCGATAATCAAATGAGACATTTGTGCCGCAAGTAAGAAATATTCTTTTTTTTTTTTTATTAATATTCATTTAATAATTCAAATTTATATAATTTAAGATTTTGGTAAATATCAAATAGATGTACTTAAATTTAGTAAATTTATTAATAAAAATAGAGGACAATCTATCAAATGATAATAATTTTAATTAAATTTAAACATCATCATAGTCCTTCTTATTATTATTATGAATATGCTAACATTATATCAACATTTGAAATTTATTATTATGTTTATGGTAATTCTATTCCTTTATTCACACTAATCTATTATTGATGATAAATTAAATTGTTGGCTATCGTATCTAAATCAAGCTTAAGTATTTCAATAGTGTCTTAAGAATATGTTGCTTAATTGTTTCTTATAAAATTGGATTTGTTTTTAAGAAGGCAACAAAGGTATTCCTCAATTTTAAAAATGAAATTCTAAGTTATATTATACAATCTTACAAATCTACAAGGTGATCCTTAAGTTATAAAAGCATCTAACAATCCTAGAGAAGTAGAAACAATTGGACTTACTGGATCAATAAACAAAATAAAGATTATATTCATTATAAATGGAATGAATTTGTTGATGATTTTAAGGTCAAAAAAAAATAAATTAGTTTCTTAAAGTGGTTTCAAATAGCATCTTACTTATAGAATTAGTATTACTTAATTGTACTCATGTAAAAAAACATATTCCATAAACCATTTGAAGGATGTATATAGCATATAACATATGTATTCATTTCTATGTAATAGAATAGTGTTATTATAGACTATAATAATGAGAGAATATTTTATTACATCAATAATAAAGGTCTTAATGATTAATTCTATCAAAAATAAAGCAGTTCCTTAGGCTCTCTCCCTTTCAGCAAATAAATTCTAGGTAAATATAAAACTCAACAGAAAACTTTGAATCGAAGCTTTATAAATGACGAATTTTACTACTAAAGAGGAATGATGGAAATAACCTCCATATTTATGTTTTAGATATAACTTCGTAAGGAAAAAAGGAAAGTAAATTTGAAACATTCCCAGAAGTAAAAGCATCTGTCAAAAGTATAATGAAGGATAACACATATAAACTTAAAGATCCTATAGCCATTGTTATTTTAATTTAAAATATTTTTATATATAAAATTTCTATTTTTCATTTGTTTCATTTCGAATCATCTTATTAAAATTAATCACTAAATTGATATTCATAAATCTCTTACTTATTATCAATTACAATATTATCAAAATTAGTACTACCTCCAATTTATATTCCTTTTCCTTAATATTCTTCAACCTATCTTACAGGCAATTATTATTGTTATGTGGAAGGATTACCTTATAAATTTTATGTCATAACAAAGAAATCTTATCTGGACGATGCTTTTTTAAATAAAAAACTATTCTCTAATCTTTGAATAAAATGCTATTATAGGTTTGATAATTTATAATTTACTTGACTAGGTCTGAAAATCATAAAGTTAAAGTAATAGGATTCAACATAAGCAAGAATTAGTGCTGCAATAGGGTCGAAACTTTGACTCATCATAAATCCAATCATTACAAGACCATATGGAATATATTTTGAAGGTAGTACACAAGGAAAGAAGAAAAGACTTCTTAATTATTCAGGATTTGCAAAACACCTAAATTAATTATAAATTTTACTATAAACTTATGTAAACAACATACACATTCCATAGACCTTTTGAAGGATAGTTGTTATTTTATATTATCAATGATAAAATTAAGAATATGACCTTTTAAATATAGAAATATAAAATTACTTAAATCAAGAAACTTTTGAAAAAGAAATCAAGTAAAAATACTACTGTTCCTATTGTTTTTTCTAGATCTGATAGGTTCATACAAATAAAGAGAGGCATTATTATTAATCCAAATAAGTCTATTATATATAATTTTAAATATACTTTCTATAAATTGAGTAAAGAATAATCTCCATATTTGATATCCTTAAAAAACTTTTAATGGCTAATCTATGAAACAATTGGTAAATAAGTCATTAAACAAAAGGTTGATTAGATATACAACAAATGTTATTATAGTCACTAATTTGATGCCAAAGGGAATTTGATTGATGAAATCCTATAATGATTATTATCCTTATGGTAAAGATTAAAGATTCATGAATAGTGTTATTTTATTAAAATTAATATTAAGTAATTAAGAGATTAATATACTTGAATATATATAAATAATATATCAATTATCATACTACTAAAATTAATTAATTTTTATTTATCATGTAATCTATTCAAAGCAATAGCAATTCAATACAACCAACAATGGGAAGAGATAGATATGGTTAATCTCTATCAATAGCCTTGCCAATTTCACCTGTGAAGAAACTTGATGTAACTAATGTGACATTAAGAAAATATGATCGTTATATAGGGAATCAAGAAACTATAGCTTGGGAGAAACATTTGTTATGCGAAATTGGAGTATTTGATTGTTCCATTCTTTTAAGGATGAAGATTTAAACTTTATAAAAGATTTTTACTTAGAAGAGAAATCATATAAAGATGAAGAGTTTTACTTCAGATACATTGATTCAATCAGAAACAAATACTTGACTGGAGCTAAGGAAGCTTACACATTAGCAAAAGACATTTGCAAATAATTGGTGGCTGAAGATCTAATAAATACTTAGAGATTAAAAAAGAACCGTAAATAAGTGACTTAAAGAATTAGGCAAACATTAGGAACCTTCAAATAGACTAAAAATGAAGATATCTTAAGATGGGTACAATCAATAATTAATTAAAATAGAAAACAGGATTGAAGAAATTATTTCATGAGATGAGAGATGCTATATAACATATTTTAGATGCAGGAGGTGAAAAAGAATTCTTTAGATTGGAAGAATTAATAAAATAGAAATAACATATAACAGAAGAATTTTTAAAGGGACTTCCAATGAGAAATGTTTAAGAAATCAACAAATATATATAATCAATAAGATTGTACTTGTCAAAAAAAACAGATGAATTTTAATAACACAAGTTAGAACATGGAGATGATTTTCATTTTGATGAAAAAACTATTAGGGAATTATCTAGATCTTCTTTGGAAGACACTGCTTCATGTTATTCAGATCGTTTAACAGAGATTAGAGCACATTCTAAGAGAGAGAAATAAAAGGAAGCTGAGAAGAAGATAGAAAAGTTTTATGATTTGAATTAATTGAAAAATAAATGGAAAACTACTAATGTAGATTAATTGAAAGGAACAATTAGAAGAGTTTTGGTTAAGGAAACATTATCTGAAGCTGAACATATTCGTGCAAGAGCGTTTAGATTAGAATAAGAAAAAAAAGGAATTTAGATCTTAAAAATAGAATAACCAAAGAAAAAGCATTTATAAACAGCTTAATAAAGAATTTAAGAAAGGAAAGAGAAATAAGATAAAAGATCAGTGGCTGAATTATAAAGAAAACATACTTTAACTAGAGAAGAAATGAAGACAGAATAATTGAAATAAGAGTTTTTTACAAAATATAATCCAAAATCAAGTATAGGAGAACAATTTTGTGTAGCTGTTGGCTATAATAATTTATTTTGAATCATAATAAAACAACTATTAAAAATGCCATAATTTTTATAAACTACATAAAATCTTGTCTTAAAATTTCGTGATGTTGCCATAGATCAACTAGACATATTTGGTCAACCTCCTAATTTCAGAGTGTTGAATAAATAAAAATATAATTCCATGGTTGGATTAATAACTACTATACTTATTGGAGGTGTCACTCTAATTTATCTAACAAATGAATTAGTCACTATGTTAGGCAAGGCCGAGCCTTCAGTTGTATCCTCAGAAATCTAAGTGTTTGATACTTAAGTATAGTAGAGTCATTTTAAATTAGACATTCCCTTTGTTAAATGATAACTTTACCTTAGCCATTTCTGCAACGAATAGTGCAGGAAATCAACTTAATGGTTAGGGAATATATTATAATATTTCAATCTTTCATTGTATTAGGAGCAGAAACAAAAATGAGACAACCGGATTAGTTGTGGTCACTGTATAGTAATTATTTTATCAATATCTTATAAGATGTTCACTTCTTCCAACAGAGACCTGTAATATGTCACATTTTGTAACTGAATAATAAAATGATTATTTTAGTAGAATGAGATTAGGTGCCATGCAATGTATTAATCGAGAGTATCTTAAATTAAATCCACCAGTAAATCTAATTTCTTAATTTACAAGCCATTACAAGGACAATTAAATGCTATGGTCTATCAATATTTGAAAATATAATTGACTGTTTGCCATAACTCAACTGAATATTAAAAATGTGCATCTCCAGAAGAAATCAAATCAATATTAATGTCAGGACATTATGTTGTTTATACAAGTGATTACTTAACGTAACTAAATAACCCAAGCGAACCTTATAAATAAATTATTAATAGTGAATTTTCAGGTTTCTCTGTATCAACATCTAAAATTATAAAACAATATTTTAGAATCATAGAGACTACCAGTGATGATGGTTGGCTTTTGTAGAATATACATGTTAAAGAAAATCTCAAATAATAAGAATGGAGAGAAACAACAGAGTTATATAATGAAGAATATATAGTAGAACATTACATAGCTTTAGATTATAGACAAACAAATTATAATAGAAATTATGTTAAGATATAGACTGTTTTAAGTAGATTAGGAGGGATATGGTAGATATTTATAATCATAGTGGCTTCTATAATTAGACCTATTGTTAATACACTTATGAATTTGGATATAGCTAATAAAGTTTTTAGGTTTTAATTATTAGAAGATGAAAAGGATCTTAAAACTAAAAACAATAGTCAAATGACTGATACTAAAATGAATGATGATAAAATTACAATATATAATTGGAAATGTCAAAATCATAAATTATCAAGTAATATCAGTTCTAAAATGTTCATTTTATTTGGATGTAAAAATTAAAAAAAATTATTATTTAATAATGCTAAAAACTAAATTATGCAAAGTTTAGACATCATTAATTTAATTAAAAAACTATAAGAAATTGATCTAATTAAATAGATCATATTTACTAAAGAATAATAACTCCTATTTAATATTATACCAAATCCTCTTATCTAATTGAATAATGACTTAGAAAATAATAATTTAAAAATTAATAATATTGATTTTATTAAACATATTAATTAAATTTCCTAACACAATAACAAATACTATACATATTTGGAATCATATCATAAAATGATTAATACTAAAGATAAGAATCTTTTCGATGATAAAATCATTCAATTATTGGATAAACAAACTCTAACTTTCTTTGATAAATAAATTGGGTAAATGAATGTTTCATAAATCTCTAAATCCCCTGCCTTTTTAGAAAGCAAAGATGAAGACATCAATGAACCAATACCATTATTACCGAAATGATATCGTTATTGATTACTTAATTTATTTTAATTAAAACAAATTGTTTAATCAAAAAGGAGTTTATTTAGCTATTTTATATAATATATTCAGTACGAAATTGTATAGATATTTTGAATATTAATATGTAAACATAGATTCAAGTTAGACACTTCTAGAGGTGTTAGATGAAGGTTTAAGTTAATGAAAAGATTTCTGGAGATAGATTTATAGAATGGATTAGTTAATTCAATTCATCTAGTTTCTCATTAGGTTTATAAGACATAGTTTCTTATTCAATTCTTGTATCACAGCCCCTAATATATAAATCTTAATTTTACAATTAATATAGGTCTTTGTATTTGTCTCTCAAATGTTTGTAATACCTGTTTTTTACCATACTATATGATTTATTAGGAAAATAAAGAGCTATTTTGACAAATTTAGGTCCGAATTCTTGAACCAATCTCAGAATTCTGTCATCTTCATCTTAAGTAAATTAAGACAGCGAGTGATTTTTACCCTATTTATCCTTTTACTTATTTTTCTTTTTCTATTTACGATTGATATTGTATTAAATCCTTTTCTGACCAGTTTAAATCATGTAATCTCTGTTGGCATAAAAACCATATTGTTTAATTGATGAACATCTCTTCTCTCTCTACATTTGTTCCATAATATAAATAATAAATGGAAAATAAATTTTGGATTTGAATGACACTCCAGATTAAGATTTTGTTTTTAAAAATATAAGAAAACTTGATTATATATATATATATTAATGTCAATTAATCAAATTTATCAAAAATACTTTTATTATGACAAATAATGGATCAAATATTGAAAATACTAAGTAATAAAAAATTATTTTATTTCTTCTTACACTATGTGTTTTTTTAAATACTCATAACTGTATTAATTAAATAAATATTGTGTGTTGTTTTTTCTTCTAAGCTCTTAGGAGAATATGATTCTATTGTTATTAAATAGTCCTATTCATAATATTTTGAATCACCATTAGATCAAATTAATATATATTAATTCTAATTAAATCACTATAATTGATAAAAAATTTGCATAAGATTTTCAAAAGGCAAATAAAGAATTTGTATAAATAAGCTAATAGATAAACTTTAGTTGATAACTTTACATAAAAATTAGAAAATCTTAATAATAGAGTATTCTCTTTGATCGATAATTTATATTTAGATTATCGTCATTATAAATATGATCATATATTATTTAAATCTTTTATCATATTTCTGAACTTCAAATATGAAGTATTATTTTGATATTATAAATAAGATTATTGTTTTTTTTAAATAGAAGCATATAAATTTATATAATAATCAAAAATTTTAGATATCATTTATTAATTTATCAATTACTTTTTACAAATTATTCTTTTTTATTGAGATATTGCTATTTAGTATAAAACTTTTAATAGTATTGTTATTACTTAATTAAGTAAAATATTCTCTTTAAAATAGTCTTTTATCAAAAGTCAATACATTCAAAGGTCCTAAAGGTTCACTTTATTTTTATACATGTCCCCATAAGTGTTTGTATTTAAGTAGTGCATCTTTAAATCTAATAGGATGAAATTCTAAATTTTTAGGTTCAGCTAATTTTTCTAATTCAAAATCATCTTCACTATCAGTATCAATTTAACCACTAGATTATTTTTATCGAATTTTGTATTCAATCATCCTAACAACAGCTTATCGAACTTTATTTTCAATTGGCATAGGTTCTCCATCCATAAATTTTTCATGAAAAGCCTTAGCTAATTATTACTCTTTAGTGTAATAAAATATCTTGCCTATTTAATCATAGGCATTTAATTCATAATTAGATTCATTAAATAATAATGTATATTTGATGAGTTTCTTAGAATAATTTAAAGCCTTCATGAAGTTATGAATCAGAAGTGAAAGTTCTACTAGATGTTTATAAGCAATAATTTTGTAACGATAAACTCGATTTGAATTGCAAAATACTAAGTATTTTTACCAAATTAAGATAGCTTTATCATATTAAAACTACTTTTCTAATATGTATGCATATGTGAAAACTGCGACATTGTATAAATTACCAATTTTAGATTGTCTTAAATATCTTAAATTGAAATAATAAATACTTTAATACAAATGTGAATCTCTCCTCTAAATCATTTATATCATTTAAATCGATTTGAGACAAAATTTTTAATGATTACTACTTTCTATTATTATATGGAGAATTGTCATCATCATTTATTTTAAATAGTTTATCATGATCTCTTAGAAAATTATAATCTTCTTGATAAATGGATTGCATTTTATTTTCTTTCTTTTTTACCTAAGGTAAAGTAGTCTATGCCCAGTTCCCAACAGTTCCTAAAGTAGATTCATCTACTTTCTTGAGTGATATCATAGAAGTTGCCCTAGTAGATCTACTAAAGTAAGTATGCTTAGTCTTGGGATTGAATAAATTTATTTTCATAATAATAAAGTATTTGATATTAATCATTTAATATAGTAATTTTCTTCATCTCCTTTTTTCATTATGGAACCCTACATTTTAGATGAATTCATTCTTGATTATTACATGATTGATTAATTCTTCATTGTTTTATCAAGTCTTGTAATTTCTTAATTTTATTAACTGCTCAATTCTTTTCTTACATTCTAATATTTTTATAATAATCTATTTTTATATCTTATAATACTTCTCTAATTCTTAAGATCTAATCTTTCTTTATTCTTCTTATCCTGAAATAATTCTCTATTGTAAAGCATTTAGTTCAGTATTTTACTTTTGTTTAAGTTGAATAATAAGATTTTTGATCTTACATGATCTTGACTGACTCCATCTTTCATATTCATCTCTTTCCATTGATAATATTCTTTATTAAGTTATATGAGCCTCTTAATAACTAAATATTATATTTATATACTTTTCTTATTTTGCTAAAGATTCTTCAGTTTTTCTTAAACTTAATAATTCTGCTGAATCTTTTGGTTTAACAGGAATTGAGTTTTCTAATTCATCAGTAAATTATTTCAATTCTTCATCATGTCTTTATAGAACCTATTCTTTAACTCTTTAAGCTTCTTGATCAAATTCAGACATTTTCTAATCCCAGAATTCGTTAAATTGATTGAATTCTTCAAAATGAGCATTCTCAATTTCTTATTTTTCATTGATATGTCTATCTTTTACTTCTATCTTATTTTTTTAATCCAAATCTTTTTTCAATTCCCCTAATCTTTTTTTTGCTTAATCTGCCTCCAAATATTTTCCTGCTTTCTCACAACTCTTTTAATGATCATATAATATTTATCTAATAATAACAATAAAATCATTACATATATTCTTCTAAGTCTCCTGTTTAAATAGGTAAGTTGTTTGTACCTTTTTTGACTGTTGATCTTGAATTATTCATAAAATATATTTATTTTTTTCTGTTAAATTATAATTATATAGATCTATATTTATACGTCAAAATATTGTATTTTTTAAATCAATAACAATTGTCTAAAATTAAAAATAGAAATTCAATTAATTGATTCTACAATAATATAATATCATTTATTAAGATTATCTATAATACAATTGAATCTAAGTTTATATATATATTATACAATATGTATTTGATTTTACCATTAATACAAATTTAATATTATATACAATAATAATTATTATCTATACTAAAATTATTATGATTTATAGTAACAGCTAAACTTAACTATATGGATAAAGAGTAACATAAACACCTCTTAATAAATAAAATAGAGCTTAAGATCAATCAACTATCTCATAATATTAATCTCCTTCTCTAAGATAGGCTATGTCACCAAAAGCAGCCAGGGAATATCTGAATAGCTTAAAAAGCTTCATATATTAATAATAATAAACAAAACCAATATTAGATAAAATAACTACATTTTCTACATAAGAAATATTGTATTAACAGCCATATTTATATTTCCCAGTAACAAACAGATTTAATGATGATATTAAATTGATGACTCAAAATAAAATTGAAGTTAGAAAATTAAATGATGATGGTACCATTCATTCATTAAGATATTATTACTTAAAATAAGCTGTCTTGGATAATTCAAATAATATTCCATAATCATAATAAATAATGATTGTAGGATAAAAGTAAAGTGGCAAAAAGAAATTATTCCAAGAACTAATCAAACGATTTATGCCTAAAAACTTCAAAATATCCTTACAAACTGAATCAGGAGAGAAGACCATCAATCTCTAATTGAATGATGATATAAAATAAACTATTAAAAGTATACTAATAGGAGTGAAACATTATTAATTGATTGCTTAAGGAGAATAAATTATGATAGCTTGTAGAGGGTTGGAAGGTTTCAAGAGAGACAAGAAAGATAAGGGAATCCTAATTATGTGTGTAAAACCAGGTAAAGAGTAGAAATCAGATTGTATCAAGACATTTAAATTCTTAGAAGAAATTTACAAAAATTGATTATAAATGTAATAATTATATCAATAAAAATGGGTACTTGTTAGTTAAAAAATTGCAGATGCGTGTGTTAATAAAATAGATTAGCATGTCAATGTGGAAGTTAAAATACTATTTTACTAGAAGAATAAGCAAGAGAGATTCGTAGAAGAATAAGTTAAGATTAGATGGTAAAACAGTTTAAACTATATAGAAAAGATCAAATAGATTTTCTAATAATAAAAGTAAAACTGGATCTCCTGCTCAATCTAATTCAAGTGATTCATAAAATAAAACTAAATTTTCAACTAATCTAAAAGCATCAAATAGATCTCCTAATTCAACTGAAAGGTATTTGATGTCTGATTAATGCAATATTCCTACAGAAAGTAGTCAATAAAAGAAAATAAGAAAACCTAAAATTAGAAATTTAAAATTTAATCGAAGCTTAACCTACTTTAGTTAAGAAGTCCTTGTATTCAACTTTTAAGAAGTTATTGATTAAACATAAAGTTAAAAAGAAATTAAAATAGATTCTCCTCAATTTTAAACTCTTAAGAATACTTTAGAAAATAAATAAACTTTAGATTAAATTTAATCCTTTAAAGATCCAACAATAACTATGAAAACACCAACAACTACTGGAGCAGAATTATCTAATATTGCAACATAATCTGCTCCATTTTTCATTCAATAACCATCCATTTCTAGAGAAAGTTCTCCATCTAAATAATCACATCCAATCACTTAAGTAAGTATGGAACCTCATCTGAACAAATAATCATTATCTGTAATAACAGATTAACAGTAATTAAAAAATAGATCACATACAGCTGATTTGTCAGATGATCAAAAGAGTGTCACTCCAAGAAGTGTATTAAAATAATAACAAAAAAACAATGATTCATTTCGAACCTAATAATAAGAAAAACGTAAAGTTAGATTTGATCTACCTAATTCACATTATATCAAGGAAAGAATAAAATAATAACAGAGATTCTTCAATTGAATTTAATTTATTATTATGTAAATTTTAATTTATCTGGAGTTCTTTTATATTAACTAAATATAAAACAAAAATTCATTACTTTTTTTCAAATTATTTTTTATACATCAGAAAACCTATAATAATTACATAAATTTACTAATATTATTATTTTATGTTAATTATTTTGGAGTTGCAATGTTTTATCTAAAATTTGTAAATTAATCAGTTTCATCATTTTATGCATTTCTAGTTCTATGTGAATCCTTTATAATTAACATATTAATACAAGATCAGTAAATTCAGTTTATAACTTTTCACTCTAAAAATCTATATTTGATAATCCACTAATTGTTTTTGCTTATTAATCCTATTATGTATCAATTTTCATCATCATACTATCATCTTCCATAGTTCTTTGAGTTACTTAAGTCTATAGAGTAGGTTAAGTTTATTTCTTTTTTATGATCTTAACTTTTTTCAAAGATCCAAATATTCTACCTAACTATTCCTCAGGTTTCTCAAATTAAGTACTTTCAAAGGCTTAAATACCAATATTCTTTGTATGAGATTTATTCAATTAATCAGATTTTTTTACTGAATCCATCTATACTAAGAATTCATCAGATTTTATTGATTTTGGAGACATTTCTGGTTCTTTTTTACCAATCTCAATTTTATTAAATTAATTTGCTATATTTTTAAGTTCCTATTCATCAGATGTATGCTTTTCTGAATCCACAAATCTGAAATTGACTTCAGAAGTTGATAATCTAAATTCTTGATTTCTGTCTTCATAATCATAACGATTTTCAAATTAGGGAGTAGGTTATTTAATATTAGGAGAATTCTATTAAGAAAACAATTATTAATTTTAAGGATTCCTAGGTGTTTTGCATGGTTGAAATATTATGTTTGCATTATAATAATGATTGTTATTTTCTTTGTCTTAAATCCTTAATTTAGTAGCTATTAAAGGTGATTTATTAGGTGGTGACATTCTTTTCTGTGGATATATAATTGCTTTTGGTTATTAGTACTTATATTGATCTATACACTTGAATTATTTCATATATTTCTATTCATTTGGACTGAATTGTTAATTAACAACAACACATTTTCTTCCTTAAGGAGACTTACTATAGCATTATTACTAATAAGTTGGGACTACTCTTTTAGTCTAACATTATAAGTAATTGGGAAATTAATTCATTATGTTTTAACGGTTGTCTTATATAATTATTAATTAATCAATATTCATCCATTATATTGCCAAGTTCTAATAAGAGGTCTTTTACATCAACATTAAGCTACTACTAATTGTCTTCATTATCAAATTCTGGGATTTCAGGTTGTACATTTTCATTCAATGTTTTATCTTACTATTCATTTAAAAATTGAACCTAAAATATAAAATTTTATTTATACCTCTTCTAGAAGTATATCATCAATTAAGGCATCAAAGATTTCTTTGAAATAAACATTATACATATTCAACATTGGAGTTGCCAATTTATTGATCAAATTAGTATTACGACACATTTCCTTTGTAGGATAATAAGGTTTTTTAGTTTATTATTAAATTTACTCTACCTCTCTTTTTAATTACTTCAATTCTTTTATATGATTTTTGTATTCTTTTTTGTCTATTTGATTTTATGCATTAATGACTCCACATATATGCAAATATCTATTCTTCTCTTTATCTTTCTTTGATATTTCTTCTTCTTTTGGTTAGAGTATAAATTCTTTATAATATTGTTATCTGACATCTTCAGTATGAATTGGTGGCTGAGATTAATCTTCAAAAATAGTATTAAATTGATGTGAAGGTAATTATTTCTTTTCTTCGTATTAATAATATTTGACTTTATCTATTAATTGTCTATGTTAAGCTTTAGCAACTGAAATGAAAGGAAGTTAAGTAGTTTTAGTGTAATTAAAGGAACTCATTTGTTCTAGATATTTTGTTTTTGTTTATACGTATTCATAAGGATGTGGTTCAATTTATTTCAATTCTTCTGTTGTAAATAAAATAGACATAATAATAATTATAATAATAATAAATACTAATTAGTATTGAAATTTCATTCTATTTATCTTTTTAATTTAACAGATTCCTTCTTTCTAAGAGTTATTACACTTAATCATCTTACTCTTGCAAAGCTTTATGATAATCAAATTAGATAGATCACTAGTTGTGTATTCTTGTAACTCTTTATGACTCATAACCATAATATTCTAATAATTGATTAACTTACAATTTTTAATCTTGTTCTTTGATTTATATTTAAGTTAAATTTGTATTTCTTATTATTTCTAAGATATCTGAACAATCATTAATTTTTAAGAAGGAGGAAATGGATGGATTTTTATTGTAATTTTAAATATGAGATGTCTTCTTAAGAGCAGTTTCATGTTTTAATTCTTAATAAACAAAATTTTAAGCATTGATTAACATTTCATAATTACTAGGTTATATTTTATTTAATCAAAAAACTTATTACTTTTAATTGATTTAAAGTATTATACACCAATCTACATTATAAAATATTAAATTACTTTATATAATTCCATAATTTATTAACAACTTCAATAGCAACATTATTAAATTCAATTTCCATCTTTATAAATAATATATTCTCAGCAAACAATATTAGTATATTTTTTGAATGTTCCCAAAATAATGATTTATCATCTTCTTTTGTCGATCTTTCTTTATATCCTTTTCTTGAATTCATAGGTATAAATGTATAATATTTCTTATTATAAAAATAAATTAAAATATATTATTGATCCATAACTAAAATTCCAATGTAAACATTATTTTCAATTAAATTCTGCTATTTAATATATCTTACATTTCATTACAATAAGAGTAATATTTTGAAACAAATAAATAATTATTAAACATATACACAACTATAAAACATTACATGTCCTTTAAACTTCTTCTCATTCTCCTTTGCAACAAGAACAAAGTAAACCCCACATACTCTATCTATTTTTTGCCTTTTATTTTATCATAAGATGCTTCTAAGGAGTCAATGACATAAATATTTTATTAAAACATTTCTAAACATTTTCTCCTGTCTTAGCAGAAACATAAAACACTGGATATTTAGTTGATATATCTGAAGTCATACTCAAATCTTAAATATCTATTTTATTCCCCAAAATAAAAGTTGGTATTGTTCTTAATTCATTTTCTAATAAATGACACCAATTTGCTATTTGTTCTTAATATTTATCTTATGAAGCATCAAAGCAGATAATAGCTGCATCAATTTAACTTAAAATTCTATTTAAAATTTGTCTATAGGCTTCGCAACCACTAGTATCATAGAGTTTAAATGTATAGTTGATATTTTTGAAATCAAGAATTCTTTGATAAAAATCAATTCCTATAGTTTCTTATGTTTCATATAGAAACTCTTCACCCTTTAAACATCTTATAAGTGATGACTTTCCACTCCTAGAATCTCCTATCAAGGCTACCTTAAATTGTTTATTCATGGATTTAATATTAAATGTGATATAAATTTAAGAATTAAAAAAACTATTTAAATTATATCATGATACACACTATTAGTATAAATACTTAACCTATTATTATTTAGTGAAATTATATTATAATTATTATTACAAATACTATGTAATTATACATACTATTATTCAATTTTATTAAATAAATTTAGGAAATTTTAATTGCAACAATGTTGTATTTCAAATGAATTTTATTTTCTATCAAATAATTTTCAATTTAATTTGAATCTCATTTAAATTATTACAAATTAGTTAATAATATAATATACTCTGTTAAGTTTATATTAATAAAAGGTTAAACAAGTAATTCAATATTTTTATAAAGATTTTAACTCTTAATTTTGAAAAAAAAAGTAAGAATTTCAAATAATAATTAAAAATAACATATTAATTTACTTATAGGTATGTTTATTGAAAAGAGATTAGGATAATTTTGTTTAAAAATAATAATTAATTTAATTAAGAATATAAATTAGGAATGTCATTCAGATTACAAGTCACAGATCCTGTAAAAGATAAAATATCAATGTTAGAAGTTGAATAAACACTTACTGTATTAGACTTAAAAGCATTAATAGAAGTTGAAGTAACCTTTTTTTTCTTAAATCTAAGTTCTAAATTGCTGTGGCTCGATAATAATTGATTTATGGAGGAAGATTAATGAATGATAATGATACTCTTTCAAAATATAATATGCAAAATGATGATCTTGTTCTTATTGAAAGAAAACCTAAATAGCAAAGAACTCCATTAGAATTAGAAGCCATAAAATTTATAAAGCATTTCTAATAAAATCCCCATTTAATTGAAGCCATCAGAATCAAAGATCCTAAACTAGCAGAATCAATAGAAAAAAAGAAACTAGCAGGTGTCATGGAATATATTTAAAATTAAGTATTATTTTTTATTCATTTAGTAATAAAAAAAATTCTAAGAATAATAAGAATATATAAGAAAGATGTAATAATTGGAATAGGATCCTCTAAATCCTGAAAATTAGAAACTAATTGAAGAGATGATTAACAAAAAAAATATTGAAGAAAATCGAGAATATGCTGAAGAATACATTCCAGAAAGTTTTGGAACTGTTACTATGTTATATATTGAATTGTCAATTAATCGTCATCCAGTATAGGCCTTTGTTGATAGTGGGGCATAAAGTACAATTATGTCAAAAGCTTGTGCAGAGAGATGTGGAATAATGAGATTGGTTGATACTCGTTTTTAAGGTATTGCTTAAGGAGTAGGAACATAAAAGATTATTGGAAGAATTCATGTAGTTGAAATGTAGATACTAGATCAAGTAATTTAATCTTTTTCTAATCATTAGTTTTTACCATGTTCTTTGACTATTTTAGATGGAGATGGAATTGATTTTTTGTTTGGATTAGATATGCTCAAAAGATATTAAGTAATATTGAATACATAATTATTAGTGTAATATCAATTTGAAGGATAATTGCTTAATATTTCCAAATGAAAAATTGAGTGTACCATTTCTTCCAGAAGGTTAAATTAATAAAAGAATAAGTATTTAATAAGAATAGGAGATATTAAAAAGATAAAATAGTGACTCATAAATATAAGAAGAATAACCTATCAAAAACTAAAATTAGCCATAATAATAATAACAATAATAATAGTAATAATAATAATAATAATAATAACCATAATAATAATAATAACCATAATAATAATAATAATAATAACCTAATGCAAATAAAACTAATTCTAGATATCCAGAATCCTCAATTTAAGCAATTATTAATCTTGGGGTTACTAGAGCCGAAGCAATAGTTGTATTAGATTAAACAAATGGTAATATAGAATTAGCAGCTTCTATAATTATGTAGTAAAAGTATGGTTTTAATTGATAAGTTCATCGTAATTATGCTTCAATTATATTTAATTATGCTTTTAAATTTATTATTTATTTTTCATAATTTCTTGCAACTTGCTTTCTTTTAACTTTCTAATACCTCTGCTTTATTTTTTGCTTGTTTTACTTCTTAAAACATCATTTTTTTAGGTTGATTATTTTTTATTAGTAATTATTCTATGTTTCAATTTGATCCTTAATTGAGAAATTGTTTTTAATTTCAGTAGGTTCTATATACATATTCAAGCTTTTAAGTTATAATTAATTTTTTCTAATTATTTCATCATTTTTTTCAAATGAATCTTAATAAATCTCTTTAATTCTTTCCACATCATCTTCTACTTAAGCCTTCAGATCATGAGATTTATATCTAAATAAAATTGAAATTCTTCCTTCTCATTCCTTTGATCTTCTGGATGTAAAAGAAGAATGCCAAAATTAGTCTTCGATGCAAAATATTTTTAAAACTTAACCGTAAATACTAATTATATAATTCCAAATAGAATTGAATGTTCAAGAAATTTTTGTTTTTCTTAACTTTACAAGTTAATAGAGTCTTGAAATGGCATTTTTTAAGAGTTACACGATTTCCATTAAAAGGATAGTAAATTAAAAAAGTTCTTTTTAATTAGTGATGGGCATTTGTTAATTAAACTTCTAAATTTTTTAGTTTTCCCCTTTTTTAAATATATTAATATTTATTGATTTAGAAAACAATAAGAAATTGCCTTAATTTAATAAAACACAATTTTTATGAATTAATTTCAATTTTATACTTTAAAATAATTATCAATAATTAAAAATTAGACAATTTTTATTTTAATTGAGTAATAAACATAAAAATCATTATTGTTTGGATCTTAAAGAATGCAAAAACATGTATGCAAATGTTCTTATTATAAGGAAAAAAGCAATTAAAATTCCTACTGATTCCCATTAACCCACATTAAATCCTAAGTTATCATTTGGATCACCGAAATCATAGGATCTACTTTGAAATTCATTTCTGGCTATGGCTTCAAAGGAATACTTAATTGGACTTACATATTAAATCCATCCAATCCAATCATAAAATTGTTTTGGATTTGCATAAAAACCAGAAAAAGCAAATAATGGCAATAAAGCCAATGGTACAAATCCAGTTGCAGCTTTGATATCATTAAAAGCACACCCTGCCATTAAACCAATACTGTTGCCATTCAAACATGTCAAAACTGCAATAAATATATGGGTAATTACAATTCCACTATTCATATGATTTAAACCCACCATCCAATATAATATTAGTTCTTAAATTATTGGAGTGATAAGACAAAATGGTATTTCTACAAATGATTTTCCCATAAAATAAGAAAATGTTGTATAAAGTTTTGAGTTCTCTTCTCTTAAGAAAACATCTCTTTCAGTAGCAAACTATAATACTACAGGAAATAAGGAACTAAAAGTCATATTCATACACAAGAAAAACAATAAGCCTGCCATACTTGAATAATCTATATAATTTCCCTAAACAGATCCAATTCCATAATATGATCCTCCTATGAGAAGTCCCATAAATAATGCCATTCCAAATCTCTATCTAATTAATAATTTATCTCGAAAATAAGATTTAAGTGCTCTTTTTGCTATAAGATTTATTTAATATAATGTTGAAGTTTCTACTTTTTTGAATTATATTTCAGATTTTGAAGATGATTCTATTTCTTTTTGTACTTTTGGAGCCCATTAATTATCATATTCCTTAAAATATGTAGTATAATTATCCACATTAATTTGACTCTCCTAATGCATTATACTAATCATGTAATCTAAAGGATTACTATGATCTGGACAACTAAATCCTATTCCTTTAAAATAATTAATTAAATTTGATCTTGGTCCTTAGTATATGAATTTTCCTTAAACAAGTAACATAATTCTATCAAAAAGTAAATAAATATCAGATGATGGTTAATGTATTGTAAATACTATTGTTCTATCCTATTCATGAGCTAAAAGAGTCAATTCATGTCTAGAATAATAAATTTAAATTACATAATTTGGAATGCTGTGAATGAGTCCAATCCAGAAGTAGGTTCATCAAGTAGAATACAACTTGGATTAGTAACAAGTTCAAATCCAATTGAGGTTCTCTTCTTTTCTCCTCCTGAAATTCCTTTAAGATTTGGTCCTCCTATAATTGCATTCTAACATCTTTCTAATTTCATAGTTTTTATAGTATCTTCAACTCTACTTATCTTTAGTTCTGGATCAGTGTATTTTAAATTGGCTACAAATTCAAAAGCTTCTCTAGGTGACAATGTCTCAAATAAAACATCATTTTGCATAACATAAGCAGCAAAATTAGAAAATGTTTCAGAATTGTATTCTATATTGTTAACTAATACTTTTCCAGTCAATTTAACAGTTTTAGTATTAGAGATTCTTGCAGAAAGAATGTTTAAGAGTGAAGTTTTTCCAGCCCCAGATGCTCCTAATATTGCAGTAACTTCTCCTCCTTTACAAAAGCCATCCAAATTTTTTAATATTTATCTTTATTCTTTAAATTAAAACAAAGTTATTACATCCTTTAATACCAACTACTGAATAATTTATATTTTTGAATGCTAAATCCACTACCTTTTTTGCTCTAAGACTTTTAGAACTTATAACAGTGTCATTTAATCTTACGATTTCTGTTTATTGCTGAATTGTGATTTCTTACATTAATATTAGTGTTAGAATACTTCATTTTGTTAAAAATTAGCTGCTAGAATTCTCTAATTCCAAAATAATATTTAATTAATGTAATATAAATAATTTTTTAATTAATTTATAATTATATATATTCTATGATTATATTATTATTTTTAAGAAAAAGTAATTAATCGGACATTCTCATTAGAAATTAAATTTTAAATTATAATCTTTTTATTTTTTTTTTATGCTAGATATTGTTTTCTCTGTTATACAAATAATGAATTAGCTTTTACAGCAATATATTACTCAGGGTTTTATATTCTTTGTATTATTATAATAGTGGATGGAGTATAAAAATATAAAGTATAATATTGAAGAGAGAAAAAATTATTTTTTTAGGAATAAGAGAAATCATGATTAATAAAATATCAAATTTTTTAATGAAGTAAGATATTAATAAATTCTTTTTCTGTAATGAACTCTTGAGCATTGCATTCCTCAAGAATTTATTCCCATAATTCTTAATCTAAAGTTCCAATCATTTATTCTAATTCTTATTTAGAGATCTTGCCATCATCATTTGCATCAAAAACTTTAAATGCTGCCTTGACCTTCTATAAAGATACCAACTTCTCTTAATTCATAGCTGCCATCAAGAATTCTAAATATATAAATAAATCATATAAACCTGAAAAATCTACTTAACCACTTTGATTCAAATCTATCAATTGCAAAATTTTAATAACTTCTTATTCTGCTTTCTCCTTATCTTAATAGATTGTATTGTATCCTTCTATTAATTCTTCCCTTGATAATATTCCATCATTATTCTTATCGAGACTTTGGAATGTTTTAAGTAATTCATCTTATTCTAATTGATTTGTCATTTAACAAGCAATATATGATAAAACAGCCTAAGAAAAAATGGATTTAGCCTAATAAATAATAAAGAATACTTAAAATTTTTAGAGATTCTAAAGTACTCTCAAATTAACATTGAGGTTTGTAGTAGTTTATGAGCAATGCTTTACAATCCAGGCATCACTCAAAGCCTATTTGGCTGATATTCTGAAATTTGGATTTACATGCAACATTCTATTAATTAGATTCTTGGCTTCTTTCGATATTTAATTCCAATCGTCAGCTGCACTTATAATAAGAAATTAAGACATTACCATCAAATTCATATTTACNTAATTTTTTAATTAATTTATAATTATATATATTCTATGATTATATTATTATTTTTAAGAAAAAGTAATTAATCGGACATTCTCATTAGAAATTAAATTTTAAATTATAATCTTTTTATTTTTTTTTTATGCTAGATATTGTTTTCTCTGTTATACAAATAATGAATTAGCTTTTACAGCAATATATTACTCAGGGTTTTATATTCTTTGTATTATTATAATAGTGGATGGAGTATAAAAATATAAAGTATAATATTGAAGAGAGAAAAAATTATTTTTTTAGGAATAAGAGAAATCATGATTAATAAAATATCAAATTTTTTAATGAAGTAAGATATTAATAAATTCTTTTTCTGTAATGAACTCTTGAGCATTGCATTCCTCAAGAATTTATTCCCATAATTCTTAATCTAAAGTTCCAATCATTTATTCTAATTCTTATTTAGAGATCTTGCCATCATCATTTGCATCAAAAACTTTAAATGCTGCCTTGACCTTCTATAAAGATACCAACTTCTCTTAATTCATAGCTGCCATCAAGAATTCTAAATATATAAATAAATCATATAAACCTGAAAAATCTACTTAACCACTTTGATTCAAATCTATCAATTGCAAAATTTTAATAACTTCTTATTCTGCTTTCTCCTTATCTTAATAGATTGTATTGTATCCTTCTATTAATTCTTCCCTTGATAATATTCCATCATTATTCTTATCGAGACTTTGGAATGTTTTAAGTAATTCATCTTATTCTAATTGATTTGTCATTTAACAAGCAATATATGATAAAACAGCCTAAGAAAAAATGGATTTAGCCTAATAAATAATAAAGAATACTTAAAATTTTTAGAGATTCTAAAGTACTCTCAAATTAACATTGAGGTTTGTAGTAGTTTATGAGCAATGCTTTACAATCCAGGCATCACTCAAAGCCTATTTGGCTGATATTCTGAAATTTGGATTTACATGCAACATTCTATTAATTAGATTCTTGGCTTCTTTCGATATTTAATTCCAATCGTCAGCTGCACTTATAATAAGAAATTAAGACATTACCATCAAATTCATATTTACCTTCTCCTACCTTCTTCATTATTTCCTTTTCTGTTTTACCAATGAATGGAGGATATCCACATAACAAAATATATAATATAACACCACATGACCAGATATCACATTTTTCATTATAGTCTTGTTTTAATACTTCTGGGGCAATGTAATAAGGCTAAAAAAAGTAATTATATCAAATAAATTCTTACTGTTCCTAGTTTTTTAGTCATCTTTTTAGAAGGATCATATTTTCTGGAAGTTCCAAAATCGATAATTTTCAAGGTTGAAGTTGAGGAATCATTAACAAACAAGATATTTTCAGGTTTTAAATCTCTATGTACAATTTTCTATTCATGACAATACATGACAGCAGAGAGAATTTGTCTCATATATTCAGCTGCTTTCTTTTCATTAAAGATAGTCATAGCTTTGATTCTCTCAAAGAGTTCACCTCCACTCAAATACTCAGTAACTAAATAGTAATTCTGTGCATCTTAATACAATTCATACAGTTTCACTATATGAGGATGATCTAAGTTCTTGAGTATATTCATTTCAGCAAACAACCTTTATTATTCTTCTTGAATTAAAGAAGACTTTTTGATTTATTTCATAGCTCTTATTAATCCTATTTAATAAATGATTTTGAGTTTATACCAGTTGTTTTATGAGTAACTTTCCACACTTTTCCATAAGCACCAGCTCCTAATGTTGATCCAGTTGAGTAAAATTTTCCAATACTGCCCTATTTTAAACTTACAAACACATCTGCTCCCAATTTAACTGTACCAAGTGAAGTAAGTGTCTTTCTCTTAAAAGGAGTAGATTAAGACCTATTATTATAGCCTTCTTTAATTTATTGATCTGATGTATTAGCTATATTATTAGTTGATTTGGGATCTTGAGCAACAGTTACTTAAGATAAATCCTATTATAGTTTCTCTTTCTCAAGTTCATTAACTTGACTAATATTTTCACTAATTGGAGGAAGACCCATTTCATTCTCTTTTTTTAACTCTAATATTTCATCGTTATTGCATGGCATTTGATTAGTGAATGGAAGACTATGTATTGATTGTTTAAACAAAGAACTGTTTTTGATACTGTCATTGACTATCTCATAATTAAGAGATTTGCTTTATCCATTACAACATTATGAGCCCATAATAAAGAATAATTTTAATAAAAATCAACTATAATCTTCTTAGTGTTTTGAGATCTTTCAAATAAATAGATTAAACCTAAATAGAAAATTTCAAATATAAATTTATCTATATAAGAATACTAATTGGCAGTAGATAAATGTATAAGAGTGATTTATCAAAAATATTGTAAATCACTGGTTGAAAATTTGTTAGACAATTTTTTAATGAAAAACTTGATAATCTTTGAAATAATGATTAATAATGAAATAGTTTGAATAAATGAGAATGTAATATATGTGATTGGATTTTTAATATTCATAATTTTGATGAAATAGCCAATTAAATTAATTTATAATTCTAAATTTGATATTTAGCAGAACACAAATTCAAAGAGATAATAAATAATAAAATGGCAAAAGGAGGAAAGAGTAGAAGTTAAAGTAAATCAGGAAAAAGTAAATTCAATGATAACTAATTTATTAGAGAGTGGATCAGCTACTAAAAATATTAAGAAATAAGTTTAGGCAGCATCACCTGCAAAAGTTGATGTTGCAACAACAGCACCACTAAAAACTCCAGTTGCATCTGCAAAGAAGGATTCTGCAAAAAAATCTACTCAAAAGAGTACATAAAAAAGCACTTAAAAATCAGTAAAAAAGAGTGCAGTTAAGAATTCAACTAAGAAAGGAAGTGCATAAAAAGGAAAAAGTGGAAAGAAAGCATAATGATTAATATAATATATATATATATTATTATATTATTATATAATGTCACTTAAAGATTTCAAGATTATGTCAAAATTAGGTTTTGTTTGCTTATATGATAGGTGAGGGAGCATATTCAATTGTCTATAAGGTGAAAAGATAAGAAGACAATTCAGATTATGCCTTAAAAAAGGTGAATCTAACAAATTTGAGTGATAAAGAGAAATAAAATGCTTTAAATGAAGTTAGAATATTGGCATCCATTAAAAATCCATATATAATTAGCTATAAGGAAGCTTTCATTGATGTTAATAGTAATTCATTATGGTAATAAAATTTGATAATAATAAAACAGTATTGTTATGGAACTTGCAGATAATGGAGATTTGTTTTAATAAATTTAGAAATGTGCCAAAACTAATACAATTATGAGTGAAAATGATATTTTAAAAATTACATTTTAAATTGCAAGTGGTTTAAAAGCATTACATGATTTGAAAATATTTCATAGAGACTTAAAAAGTGCAAATGTTTTTTTATAATCAAATGGAGATGTCAAATTGGGAGATATGAATGTTTCAAAGGTAGCTAAAAAGGGATTACTTTATACACAAACAGGAACACCATATTATGCAAGTCCTGAAGTATGGAAAGATTAACCTTATGATCAGAAATCAGATATCTGGTCATTAGGATGTGTAACATATGAGATGGCTGCTCTAAAACCTCCATTTAGAGCTGAAGATATGGAAGGACTCTACAAGAAAGTTATTAGAGGTAATTTAAAGACTATATATAGGCTTATATCCAAAACTTCCATCTTAATATTCTTAAGATTTATAGAATGTTATCCGAATGATGTTATAAGTATAAACAAATTTAAGACCAACATCTTATGCTATAACAGAACTACCTTATTTTAATAAATTTAAAACATATACAATTGATGATTAAAGCAAATTGTTAAATACTATCATATTCCCTAAAAATTAAATTTCTTTTGCAAATATGTTACCTAAAGCTAATTACAATAATCCTAAATACAAAACAGAGACTCATTAACATAGTGACACTTAGGAAACCATATAAAGAAATAGATAAGCAACTATTGGAGCTGGTTCTCATTAATCTTCACCTAATCCTACAAGAATTTCTTAATATTTGGCAGAATAGGAAATGCTTTTAAGTATTTATATATTAATTAAAGAATAATAGTATTCAGTAAATTATGCAGGTAAAAATAAGAAAGCACATAATTATTCTGATAGGAATGTGATTGCAAAAATATTACTTGAATATTAGAAGGAAGTTCCAATTTATAAATAAATTAAATAAAGATACAGAAAATTATCACAAGAGGAAACTCCCTATTTATATTAGAAGAGATTAGGTTAACTACCAGTTTTAGAAGATCATTCTCCAAATTAGAAACGAAATCCTCGTAATTAGAGTATGCCAACTTCCAATTTACCTATTATATGATTAAGGATATATATATTAATTTTTGCTAAATTATTTGATATTTATTTATTGTTATGCTGAGTTTTCTATTTAATAACATTAATTTAAATATTAATAATTGTTCTCATTAATATTTTTTTTAACGATCTTAAATTTATGTAAGAGTTGGATTTCTTGAGGATTCAGAGGGAAAGTTAGAAGTTTTTAGAGATCGATAATATCTTCAACAGATTGGCATCTAATTTTGTGGAAAAAATATTTGCTTTATTCAAAGAGATTTTCCAATAAGAACACGCATATACTATTTAAGTGAGTTAAACTTAACATTCTAGGAATTATTGAAATTGGCAATCTAAAAGGAGATTCCCTTAAAAGATTTTAAGTTAGCAGAACATTACAAATTGAATTCAAATATTTTTAAAGCAAATTTACAAATGATTGTAAATGTAGTAATCGATGACATTTGGAGTGCCTATAATAAATAAATTGTACTTGATGAAAAGAGCATAGCAGAACCAAGACAATTAACTCAAATTGATGAAGAATCAGCTATTGAATAATGTTAAAGTTTGAGTGAAACTTCATTTATAAAAGATAAAAAGGATGTAGAAATATAAAAGTAAGTTTAATCTGCTAGATCTCCACTTGCTAAATTATTAGCTGGAGACAAATCTCCATAATTTATATCAATAGCTAGTTCTCCTAGACATTCTCGTGATAACAGTTAAAATATGCCTATAAAATAATAAAAATAGGTTATTCAGAATTCTAAAAAGAAAAATTCATCATTAATTAAGAATAAAAGCATGGATCTTAAAAATTTAGTAACAGAAGGAATTCTTTAACCAAAATCAACAAATAGATAGTAGTTAAGTTTAAGTAATTTACATCTATTGATGTAGAAAATGTAAGGATAAAAAGAGAATTTAAAATGATTTTATAATTCATTAATACTAAATAAATATTTTTACACAAAATAATAATGGACCAAGATTTGAATGAGAATTTAATAAAGTTGAGCTAACTTTTGAGATAATAAAATGTAAAAAAACCTACATATAATCCATCTAAATATTCAAATTTACATCTTATGTTAGCAAGATCAGTTAGTATTAGCACTGAATCATCGTCTAGAATGATTTAAATGAAAACTAATTTCAATACATAAAATACTAGCAAAGCTCAATTGAATAAATAATAAAAGTAAATCCTTATAATATTATGAACTCCAGATATTTTGTCAGTAGAAGAATGTCATTGGCAAAATAATTAAAAACTTGTGATTCCTATTTATAAAAACGCAAAATCGAGAGTCAATTCATTAAAACTGATAATCTTTGCGGATTAAAAAAGGTATTCGAAATCGGAAAGACGATTCTCTGATTATAATATTGATCATAAATATATTAATTTGTCATAAATAGATACACAATGGATTTAATTGTAATACCATGCACATTATAAAAGAGAACTCCAAAAAGACTGAGTACTTCAAATTAAGAATCTATTCGTTTAGACAGAACATTGCCTACTAAATTTAGAAATCCAAAATTCTCAACAAATTCTCCTAAAATCAGACACCATTCCTAAGCAGATAAAAAATATAGAGACAATAGTATAGTATAAGATCTATTTGAAAATGCATATATAACTAAGAAAATTTAATATAATGTGTCTTAAATTGAGAATTACCAACAACCTTCTCTTAAACTAGGTAAAAAAATGTTGAAGTAGAAAAATGGATTAATTATATTTAAACCTATTCCAAAAGACACACAACTAAAATCAATTTATTAAAGTTCTGAAAAATCAACTATCTTAAATAATCCAAGAAGAAGAGAGTCAAGATTAAAGAAGATTATTGAAAATGAAATAATGAATTCTAGTTAGGAGAAAGAATAATAGTTTAGTGATAGAAATTGTCGTATCATCCTTAATGATTTATGGTATGACTTCTCATATTTTCAATGAATTTAATAATTTAATTACTTATTCTGATTACATAGATAGGAAATATATATATATATATATTATTATTTGAAAATCTTGATTAGGAGATGTAAGATGTAAATTATGATAATATCATAAATAGAAAAAAGAACAAAGCAAGTTTGAAAATTTTCTTATTCGATTTAAAGCTTTAATAGAATCATATTAAACTATAACACCAGAACCAGAAGAATAACCAAAACAATAAGTAACAAAACAAAAAAAACAAAAAAGACAAAAAGATCCATTAGCACCTAAGATGCCTAAATCAGCCTTCATCTTTTATTTTTAGGATAAAAGAGAGAAATTTTAATAACAATATCCAAGTCTTATTTAATGCTATGCTAGATCTACAGTTTTAAGAAATCACCAAATTAATTGCAAATGAATGGAAAGATTTACCAAAAGAAATATAATAGGTACTTAAACTTAATTTTAATATATAGTCATATCATGATAAAGCCTTTAATGATAGAAGTCGTTATTCATAAGAAAGTTAACTCTATTGCACATAAACAGGCAAAAAATTCAATGGAAAAAGTTTAACTAAAACCAATAAATAAAGTGCAAAAAATGAAAAAATCTAATAAAAAGTAGATTAAGATGAAGAAAATGATTCTTTTGGTGCAGACATAGGTTAAGAATGATATCTATAAAATAATACATCTGAAATAATTAATGGTCAAAATAATTATAGATTTTATTTATCTTCACATTATTTCCATTAATTTCTTTATATAAATCTATTAAGCATAATATTTATGAATTAAATCATTAAACAATAAATAAAATATTATACAGAAATATCATGTTAATTATTTTTAATTAATCAAGAATAAATAGATTTCCAAAATTATTATTCTTTTTATCCTCTTTTTTTTTAATTATAAAATAAAATAAAATAATTCCTGTATCTTATTAATTATTATTTATAGATGTACCAATAAAAAATAAGGTTTTATAATGATATTATTATTAATATAGTATTTATATTTGAATCAATAATTGTAATATAATTGCTCTTACTGAATAATTTGATAGATTTCTGATATGAATTTGTATTAATTAATATTTTGTTATAATTAAATAATCACTATTTAATAATATAAATAATTAAAAAAATGCAAACTAATTAAAATGATGAGTTTTATCTCAGATATTAGTACAATTTTAAGAAGTATTATATAGTGTTGGACATAAGGGTGTTTATGGACATGAATTCCTTGAATTTGAGTTTAGGAGTGATGGAAGATTACGATATGCAAATAATTCTAACTATAAATAAGATGTATTAATAAGAAAGGAGTGTTTTGTTTCAGAGTCAGTTATTTCAGAGTTCAAAAGAATAATTGAAGAATCAGAAATAATAAAGTAAGAATTGAATATTATTTTAATAAGAGAAAATGATTCAAAATGGCCAGCACCAGATAAAATTGGTAGATAGGAATTAGAAATTAAATTAGGTAATGCACACATTTCATTTACTACATCAAAACTTGGATCAATACATGATGTTTAAAGTAGTTAAGATCCAGATGGTTTAAGAGTTTTCTTTTATTTAATTCAGGATTTGAAATGCTTTGTATTTTCATTAATTGGACTTCATTTTAGAGTATTCATCTATTTAATTATAATAGATAAAACCTGTGAATTGAAATATTGTTATATGTTAATTATATATATATATATCTATATATTTTATTACTGTTAATAACTTTCTTAAATGAATAGTTTCTCTTTTGATTCTTATAAAATAATATATAAATAAATATTTATAACTTATTTTTACAAATAAATCTCATCATACCTTAACTAGTCCAAATAGGCTACTATGCATAGGTAATTTACAGACTCTACTTTTTTCTTCTTCTTTTCTATTCTAAATTTGAATATATTCTCTTTGATCATCCCCAACATACAATTGTCTTGGTCTACTAATTCTTTGCACTTTCTCTGACATCATTTCCATCCATTAACAAATCCATCCAATACTCCTTTAAACTGCAAACATAACAGTAAANTTATTAATTATTATTTATAGATGTACCAATAAAAAATAAGGTTTTATAATGATATTATTATTAATATAGTATTTATATTTGAATCAATAATTGTAATATAATTGCTCTTACTGAATAATTTGATAGATTTCTGATATGAATTTGTATTAATTAATATTTTGTTATAATTAAATAATCACTATTTAATAATATAAATAATTAAAAAAATGCAAACTAATTAAAATGATGAGTTTTATCTCAGATATTAGTACAATTTTAAGAAGTATTATATAGTGTTGGACATAAGGGTGTTTATGGACATGAATTCCTTGAATTTGAGTTTAGGAGTGATGGAAGATTACGATATGCAAATAATTCTAACTATAAATAAGATGTATTAATAAGAAAGGAGTGTTTTGTTTCAGAGTCAGTTATTTCAGAGTTCAAAAGAATAATTGAAGAATCAGAAATAATAAAGTAAGAATTGAATATTATTTTAATAAGAGAAAATGATTCAAAATGGCCAGCACCAGATAAAATTGGTAGATAGGAATTAGAAATTAAATTAGGTAATGCACACATTTCATTTACTACATCAAAACTTGGATCAATACATGATGTTTAAAGTAGTTAAGATCCAGATGGTTTAAGAGTTTTCTTTTATTTAATTCAGGATTTGAAATGCTTTGTATTTTCATTAATTGGACTTCATTTTAGAGTATTCATCTATTTAATTATAATAGATAAAACCTGTGAATTGAAATATTGTTATATGTTAATTATATATATATATATCTATATATTTTATTACTGTTAATAACTTTCTTAAATGAATAGTTTCTCTTTTGATTCTTATAAAATAATATATAAATAAATATTTATAACTTATTTTTACAAATAAATCTCATCATACCTTAACTAGTCCAAATAGGCTACTATGCATAGGTAATTTACAGACTCTACTTTTTTCTTCTTCTTTTCTATTCTAAATTTGAATATATTCTCTTTGATCATCCCCAACATACAATTGTCTTGGTCTACTAATTCTTTGCACTTTCTCTGACATCATTTCCATCCATTAACAAATCCATCCAATACTCCTTTAAACTGCAAACATAACAGTAAACATTGAAGTTGGAATACTCAAAGCTTCATAAACAATCCCAGTATAGAAATCCACATTTGGATACAATTTTCTTTGGATAAAATAATCATCTTTTAAAGCTGTTTATTCTAATAAAATGGCCAACTATAATTTTAATAAGATAAACAATACTTCTAAAATATCATTTGCTCTTTAAGTCTTCTGTAAAACATTGTAACACATTTCCTACATTACTTTTGCTCTTGGATCATAATTTTTATATACTCTGTGTCCAAATCCCATCAATCTAAAAGAATTATCTTTAGATTTAGCTTTCTAAAGATATAGAGGTATATTTTCTTTGTTTCCTATTTCCTTCAGCATATTCAATACTGCTTCATTTGCACCTCCATGATATGGTCCCCATAAAGCTGTAATTCCAGCAGCAATACATGCAAATGGATTTGCCAATGAGGATCCAGCTATTCTTACAGTGGAAGTAGATGCATTTTATTCATGATCTGCATGCAACATAAATATAGTATCTAATGCTTTAACAATAACTTTATCAACATTAAACTCATTCATAGGAGTTGAGAACATCTTATAATTTATTGTATGTAATTACCATATATAAGAAATTCTCAATAAATGAATACTTTTTATTTGGATATATTATAGGTAATCCCAAAGCTGTTCTATATGCATATGCTGCAAGGGTTGGCATCTTTGCTACTAATTTTATTGCTATATACTCTCTATCCCTTGGATCATTGACATCAAAATCTTTGTGCATAAAAGCACTCAATGCACCAACTACACCAACCATAATTGCCATTGGATGACTGTCAGATGCAAAACCTTTATAAAATTCAATCAGTTTCTCATTTATCATCATTTCACTCACCATAGTCTCTTCAAATAATTATAATTCCTTTTAAGATGGAAGATGTCCATATATGAATAAATAACACACTTCTATATAAGAAGAATATTTGGCTAATGTCTCTATTGGATAACCTCTATATAATAATTCTCCCTTATCACCATCTATATAGGTCATAGTTGACATGCATCTAAATTAATATTATTATTAATTTTATACGCTCCAGTTGATGAGAATCCAGGATCTAAAGTAAAATATCCTGTTTTTGAGTATAATTATGTAATATCTATCATTGGAGGACCTTTAGTCCCTTTATAAACTGGTAGTTGAACAGTTTTTCCATTAGGTAAGGTGAGGGTTGCAAAATCTTATGGAAGTGGACTGATTGGAACAGTTTTTTCCATCTTTGATTTTTGAGAATCTATAGTTTCTTGATACCATTTTTTCGGAGATTGCGACATTTGAATATAAGATAACTTAAATAATTAATTTTAATACGCATCATAATTGGTTATATTTGATTTAGTATGTTATAAAATGTTTATTTCATTTCATATGCCATTTCAATGTAATTATCAAAATTAATCATTTTTATCTATATTTCCTTCTTTCTTCAGCAATGTCTTCCCAATGATTCCAAGCCTTCATTCCATACATAGCAATATCATCTCTGGCTCCACATGTAACATAATTACCATCCTAATCAAATATACATAGATGTGGTATTGTTTATGGCTTGCAAATTCTTGTCAAATAACTTATAGCCATCTTTTCAGACCATGGAATTGCCAACCAAGGCATTTTTTAATAATATTTCATGAAATCTCTTTCATTCTCATCATGAGTAACTAACACAATCTCAAAAGTTTTTGATTTTCTTATTTCATCATAAAAATTTTTTAACATCCCTGTAAATTATCGACAAGGAGGACACCAACTTGCAGAAAAGTATAATCCCCAAAATTAATATTTTGAAAAATCAGGTTTTGGTTTGATTTCATTCCCTTCCTGTAAATTTTCAGATAAAAACTAAGAGAAATTTTTCATTAAATTATGACTTCAATTATATTTAATTTTATTCATCATTTTTTTATCATTTTTATAATAAAATTTCAATTTTATTAACCAAAAACTATGATTGAAATAGAATAAGAGTATTTAAAGATTAGTATGTATAGAATGATTGCATTTAATATGTTAATTCACTAAGTTTTTATAAAATTAATTAAGTATAAATGATCATCAAATTCAATCTGAAAAATGTATAGAAGTTGAAATTAACATATGGACAAAGAAGATTTATGGGATTAAATAATAAGAAGACTAATCGGACAAAATAATATCTATTAAGTATTTAATATATTTGATAATTGAATCTGTTATAAGTTGAAAATTTACTTTACATAAATATTTCATATATTCCTATACTGTCTTAAAGTAGAATTAATTAATCTAATTGATATAATCTTTAATTTTAAATGTTTGATTTTAAGAATGGAAACATATTTGATATTAATTATAATAATCTCATAAATATAACTCTTTTATCAGCAATAAATTGAATTACACATTAGACAAATATTAAATTGCATTAATGATATTTATTTTAGTAATACTTAAATTATATTTATAATGTACTCAAGAAAATTAATATTTTGAAGTCAAAAAAATCTAATTATCATAATTTAATGACATTTTACAATTAATTACTAATCATTATAATAATATGTATTAGATGATTTTAAAGATTATTAAAAATGGATTTATTTTTATTAAATCAATCAATCATTTTTGTAGATATTATTTTATTTATTATATTGCCTCATAATCTTATGGTACATTTTTACTATTTGTAAATTTAAATCTCGAGTTGCTATTGCTATCTCCATCCACTATGATTAAGAAATAGATATACTTTTGAGAATGACAGCTTCTACTCTTTTTTCTATGTCGATGGGCTTTTATTATTAAAAAGTTTATGGCAATTCTTATTTTTATTATGTTTCTTTTATTTCTTCCCATTAAACATTTATTTATTATTATTGTTATTAAATTGGTTCAACAACTCTTTCTTTTATCATATTATCCAATATATTTTATGTGGTTGGAAATACTGATTTTTGTAGGGCATTTTTGTAATTGATTTTAGTGTAAAACTTTTTAAAGTTTGCTTAAGCTAGTTTTTATGAATAAGAAAATAACCACTTGGAGTTATTCATTTCTTCCTAAATATTATTAGATGTACATACTTTTTTTAACACTTGTGTAGAGTCTTTGTCTTTAGGGTGTTGATGCAAGTATACACAATCCTTGATTTTACATTACTGACCCTTTAAGAAGTTTGTACAATATTTGGTGGTTCCAAAGGAAGCCTTTACTTATCTGTCGTGTAAGGGAAATTTTTCACATGCCAAAACAAATATATATTAATTATTTTTACTAAGATTGCTAAAGATGCTTCTTATTCATTTCGATAAGTTATATAAGCAGCATGAGATGGGGGATTGAAGGTGTTACTTTGTATCACAATTAATTTTTAGATTTAACCATATTGACCGAAATATTCCAGTTTTTTCAATTGCTCAGATAACAATATGAGATTACATCTTCTTTAGCAATATTAGGTGCTAAACCAATCACATAAATCAAATTTTTGCAAATGATTCTGATTTCAGCTAATAATGATTTGTTTTGTAGATTGATTTCTTTGAAAGAATAGAGTGTTTTTGGTTTAGGTGATTCACAACTGTCCCAATCTTCTGGGTCTGAACATTCACAGTCACTTAAATTGCAATATTGACAAATCTCTGATTAATTTGTTTAATTTTTCATTCTTTAATTTTATATTACAAACAAAAACTCTAAACATCATACATTTTCTTTAATAATATTGTAAATATTTTTATTTACTTTTTTTATTATATTCCTAGACACTTATTAATTATTAATACAAATATTAAAGTTGAGGCAATTATTTAAAGGATTTTAATTTATATACTCACTTTCAAAATAGATAAACTAAAATAAATGAAATAATATTAAAAAGGTACAAGAATTTATATATTTCTTTTGAGTTATAAGAAATATTCAAAATCAAATTATTATTAAAATACTATAATCAAAAAGTTAATAAATAAGAATACTTTTATATCAATAGATAAATTAAATATTTTTATATACTATATATAATCTCTCTTAAAAATGAGTATAATTTATAATATATTGGAGTGTACAAAGAGAATTTAAATTGAGAAATTGAGAGAGTTTATTTATCATCTTAGTTTAATTGTTTATTGAATTAATATCTAATCTTTAATATGACATTTAAGAAATAAAAAATGTATGTTGGAAAGATGTTATATTTATGAAATAAAACTATATAATTAATGAGTTTAGGCAAATGGCGTAGATGGTTATCGCGCTGCATTTACACTGCAGAGGTCCCGAGATCGATACTCGGTTTGCCTATATTTTTTTTTTAATATTAATAATATTTAATGTATTCAGATAATAACAATGCTCATTCAGAGATTAGAATCAGATAACTGTTATACTTTAAATAGCCACCTTAAAGTATATTTAATAACAACATTTTTTAGCTACTTTACCAACCAATCGAAGTACTATGAAACTTCAGACTCTAGAACATAAATTAGGAAGGACTAATAAAAATTTTACAGGCTATTCAAAAAGTTAAAGTGACACTAGACCATTTTTTGAAAATTTTATGGAAAAAACAGATCAAATAACAACTTTTGGATTCAAGTATCCTTTTAATGTAGAAGATTTTTAAAATACTAATGCATAAATTCATTTTTTAGAAGTTTTCACTCATTCATAACAATTAATATAAGTAAGGATTTAGAAAGATTATAATAGAATTATATTTCAGATAGCAAACGTACTTTGGCTTAATTGAAAGAATAATCAAAGCAAATAAAAGATGAAATGGAGTAAATGAAAGAGAAAACGGAGAAGAAAATTGAATAATTAGAAGATTAATTTAATGAGGCAGTGTAAGTAAAACAAAGATAATTGAAGGAAGATTATGTTGCCTATTCAACGGAGTCTTATAGATTGAACAAGGAAATTAGTAAATTGACAAAGGATAAATTACACATGGAAGAATAATCAATACAATTATTGCAAAAAATAATCAAATTAGAGAAATAAATGTAAGGAGTAGAAATGGATTTAATGTGTGAAAATGAATAAGAATTATAATCGTAATTAAGAGGGACATTTCATAACACGAAAAGCATAACACACTGATCATTAATCATATTTAAATAGTTATGCCTAACTTCTTTAAATCCTCTATTTTTTTCTTTACTCTAAATAAATTCATTAGATTTTAGCCTAAATAAATTGTTTTAATATGTATTTAGGTCTATTTTTATATTAATTACTAAATTGAATCTAAAAACCTTTCTGTAATCACATTAGATTATAGATGCAATATTTAACAATGTAATTCTAATAATTTACATGCTCCAGTATCACTAATTTTGTTTCTCATTAATTTCAAAATCTTTAATTTTTTATTTTTTATAAATTCTTCTAATAGAATCATTCCATCATCTCCTAAATCTATATATATATATATATTATATATATTACCTTATTAAGAGAGATCTAAAGTATCTCCATTACAATTTAATAGAATTGATTCTACTTTTGTATTAAATTTCTTTTTAGTAGGTCTTTTAGGAGACATTGAAGATTGTCTTCTAAGTTTAGGAGATATCAAAATATCTGATGATTTTTTTTCTAAATTAGGACTAATAGCATTTTATGAAATGTTGTTAGATGAAGGTTATGATTAGAGAGCAGATTGAGATTGATATAAAGGTTGAGGATTTAATAAATTATGTGTCAAAAATTCATTATGAGGAGGTCTATCATCAATATCCTTTAAAAAACTTTGATCAATCATAGATACATCTCTCAAGATATTAGGATCATCAAAAAATGATTATTGTACTTAAGGATAATTGTATTCAAAATTTCCCATTAAATCTTTACTTAAATGCACTTAAGGAGTAATTTATCCTTGAGTTACTTCTTACAATCTTGTTTAAAATTTTTTCATAAAATCTTCTAATTCTTCAATAATTTATTTTGCTTAAGTATTTGAAGTATCCTTTTAGAGTAAGAAGAAAGCTATTTCTCCTTTTTCAGTCAAAGATGCAAATTAATTGATACGTTCTTAAGAACTAATATAATTATATAAGAATTACGCTAGCATCCATAAGTCTGCTTTTTCAACTACTTAATTGACATATTGTTGTTCCCTTTTGATTAATTGATCTTCTACTTATTTATATTTTTATTCAATCTCTTCAACTACTTTACGCTACTTCATCATTAATTGAGTAATCATTTCCTTAAATTTTATAGAGATATAAGTATACTTTGAATTATTCTTCAGCTAAGGTTTGTTGTTACTTGATGCAAACCCTTATTTAGTCGCGTATCTTTTTGTTGATAATTGGTTATTTTAGAGATTTAATTTTGGATTGAATTTGCTACATCAAATCTACAGTTTCTTCAAGGGAATGCTAGATTTCTGAAATAACTTCCTATTTTAAAAAATAGATTAGATTTCTATACATCTATATTTCTAACATTATGATGCTTATGTCCACCAAATAAAGCACAATTTACACATATTTTATTATGATCTTCTAAACATACTAATTCAATCTTCTTGTTATGTTCTTTACAGAGAGATGTAGATTCCATGATTTCAAAGAAATTTTCACATTTTGAGAGTCTTACAGTTTCACCTAACTCTGTAGAATCTATTTATGAGTTCTTTAGACTAGATTTGTTGATTATTTTCAAAATGGCTTAATTGACTGGGTAGAGATTCAAATCTTGTGGTTAAACAATTCTTAGAAATTAGAGCTACTGCTTTACCCATCTTCTGGACATATTATTTTAGTTTGTTCTCTAAGACAATGCATGCACATAGAATGACCACATTTTGGTAGCATTTATGGTGTACGATCATATATATCAAATGAAATCTCACAACGAGGACAGTTTAATTCTTAATGCATTAATTAAATAATAAATAAGATTTAAAATGGCCAATTCTCAAGAGAAGATGTAATAGGATTATATTTGGATCAGAGATCAATCAACTGGTGATGCTGATGTAAAAATGCGTACATTTGGATAACATTATCTTTATTATCATGCTCCAAATAAAAGAGAACGATTGGAAATGATTTGGAGATCTATGGGAAAGGCATATGATTGGGAAATGGAGAAATTTAGAGTACTACCCATATTAACAATTAGATGCAAAAAAAATTCATTGATCGTGGTAATAAAAGGAGATTCTTTAAAAACTTTTTCAGATTCATTAAAAACCCTTTTGGCTATATTTATTGGAAGACTTATAGAATCAGATAACCTAAAGGTAGAATCATTACAACAATGCTCGGTCTTGGAGTAATTGGAACATTATATAAATATAAATTGGAATCAAGTATCTGTTCACTCTATCCTACTTAGACCAAATACAAAAAAGAGAATATTATTTATTGACAGCTGGTAAGAACTCAGAGGGAAGTGGACTAATTAATACTGGTTACAATAATGATAAGTTTATATTTTATAGCATATTTATAGATTGGCTCGTTAAGGAATGCCACTTACCTAGATGTTTTACTCTTATTTATTGGCCAAAGATATCGTTGTCTCAAGATCAAGAGATTAAAATTATAGAAAATACTTTGAAATGAGAAAAAAGTATTAAATCAAAGAATGAGACCAAAATATATACATATAAATAATAATAAATTGTATAATCAAACAAATATATATATATCTTTTCTCTCCATTTTCAATCTGTACTAATATTGTCATAATCTTTTATGTATTCACAATTATTCATATCTACTCGATTCAAATAACTTAAAGCATCAATTATTGTGATTCTTTATTCTGGATTATGCTATAACATCCTCTCAACTAAATATCTCAAAATTGGATTTTCAATATTTTGTGTATATTCTATACAAAATACATATTCCTCATTTAATCTATATATATCTTCTAAATCAGTTCCTTCAAAAAATCTACAATTGTGAATCCTATTAATTATAAAATTTAAATCTTTTACATTTCCCATAATAGAACTCCCAATCCAAATATATCAATCCTTTCATCTTATAAACTTTAAGTCTTCATCATTTCAGGTGCCATATATCCAGGTGTTCCACAAACTCTATTAGTTTAATTTATGAAATCTGTCTTTGTCACAGCTATTCCAAAATCAATCAATTTCAAAGTTTCTAAATTATCAGATTCTGCAAATAAAACGTTTTCTTATTTCAAGTCTCTATATACATACCCTTCTTTGTGTATATAATTAATACAATGTAATAATTACTAAAATAAAATAGATATTTACTTTTAAAATTAAAATGATTTCTTAGTCCTTTAGAATTCTCTACCTCAACAATTCTCTAAGTGATTTTCCTTCCAAATATTCCATCACTATATAAAAATGTTTACTCTCCACATAATATTCTTTCATCTTAACTATCTTTGGATGTTTTAAAGTCTACAATGCTTTAACTTCTATCATAAAGTCCTAATCAAATCTATCAAATATTTACTTCATAATTGTTTGTACGTCCTATCTTCAGAGATTTACATGCTACATATTCACCACTTAAACGATTCTTATATTTAAATACCTATAATAAATAACAACAAAATTTACATGTCCATAAGTTCCTCTGCCACAAAATGATATCATCTAATATATTTTGTGTATATTTCGATAAGAAATTTTTGCATCCAGAAACTATTTGAATAGTTCTAAATGAATTTGATCCATCTCGAAATATTCCAATTAACCATTCACTAAAATTCCAAACCCAATTAATTTTGATTAACATTTCGACAATTTCCATTCAATAAATGAATTACCATGTAGTTTTATAGTGTGTTGAACCATTTTCTTGGGCTAAACATAAATATTAAAGTTTCTACATTGGATAATCTTATACGATCAGATAGAAACTCAACTTAAAATGAGTCATGGAAAAGTAGATTTTTCTTAATACAAATCATAAATAATAGTTTTAGAAATAATTAATAGTTTTAGAAAATTTACTTAAATCATAAAATGAAATTTCCTAATATTATAAAGAATATTTGAAATTCCTGTCTAATAAATAAAAATAAATTTAATTAATTAATACTTAATTACCTTTTAAGCAAATATATTTTAGAAGTAATAATTATTCTGATAAAAAAATTTATTATTATTTATATAAATTAATCTTTATTTATGATGTTCATATTATAAAGAAAGAATAATATATAATTAAATTTATTGAGAATGATAAAATAGAAATTTAAGTTGGAGATTCTCTCTTGTATTTATTTAAAAATAGAAGGTCTATTTTTAATATATATATTTAATGTTATTCATTTTTTTTCTAATTCTGCTATTCTAGCTTTTAATTGGGCATTTTCTGTACGTAATTGATTCTAGAATAATATGTAAATTATTACTTCTGATTGAATCAATTCATCAATAGCCTTTGTCAAATGACCAATTCTATAAGCATATCTTCTATTTTGATCTTACAATGTAGCTATTTCTCCTTAATTCTTGAAATTAATTAATGAATTTACCTCAGAACCTGCTCCAACCTTTTTTAATTACTCATTGAATTCATTTCTTAAATCATAGAGTTGTTAGAGTAATTCTTATTATGTTGCTGCCATTATTATTATTATTTTTTTTAATTTATATATTAGTCATTAAAATTATTTAAGTATAATAAATAGTTCATCAATTTAGTTTATATTTGTGTAATCTTTGAAAGAACTTTGTGTATTATTATAATATTAACTATATAATATTATCTAGGTTATAAAATCAAAATGACTGAAAAGATTAATATGATATTTGTTAATTTTTGAACCTGTTTTTAGAATCTAAGTATATAATCTAAAAGAAAGTGAATTCATTTTGTACAAAGAAAATAAATAAATATTTTTTAAGGATATTCTTATTCATTGAATAAAATCTGAAATTATAATTGTAATTTTCAAATTCAAACTATGATTTCTCTAAAAATAATATTTGTAATAACTTATAGTATTAGATTAATAAAAGAATTAAATATATATATAGAAGATAATTATGATTAAAAGGATTATATTTAATATGATGATGAAATTAAAATATGATGTTGAGATAATTGAAAAAAAAATTGAATTAATTTTGATGATTGTAGATTAACACTATTAGATCAAGAATCTATATTCAAATTAATGAATATTTTATAATTTCAATAAAATTAGCATATTTTTTTTGTTGATGTATAAGAAATTAGGAGTAGTATTGATTATTTGTTTAATATTAATATATATAATATGGCTTATAATAGTGATTTCTAGGATTAAGGGCAATTTGATTAGGAAGAGTTTGCAATGAGAATGCCAGTTAAGAATCACTTACAGAGATTGGATGTAAATAGGTTTATTAGTTGTAGTAATTGTTACAGTAATTGATGGATGAATTAGAGTTGGTGAAGAAAGAGAAGGAACAATTGCGTAATAATTTGATAGAGTTATCATAAATAACATCAGATTCATTTGATGATTCGAATAAATATTTGAATGAGGAATATCGAAGATTAATGCAGGAGTTTCATGAGTAGAATGCATTACAATTAGAATAGCATTAATTCTTAAAACAATAAGTGGATTAAATTAATTAAGATAGAATCAAATTGCAATAAAATACTATTGTACTAGAGGATAGAATTCAAGATTCAGAAAAAGAATTGGGATTTGTTTGATTATAAATAAATGAAATTTAAACTAGCAATAATCTTTAACTTATTAATCTTACTTAATACATTTACTATATCAAATACAATAATGCAAATTCGAAAAATTTCAATCATAAACAGATTGTTAGAATCAATTTAACAATTATATATGAAATTCAGAAAAATGCGTCATCAATTCTAATAAATCTGATATGGTTAATTTATAATGACATATTGTAATGCATTTACAGAATCTGAATGTCTATCGATAGTTTTTTGTGCATGAATAAATAAAGTTTGTGAACAATTCTCAAATTGTTCTTAATATTACTATTCAGAGTATAACAGACTGTTAATAGGTTTCAAAGTAATGTTCATGAAATGGATTTGATTGTATAGATATAAGTAATTGGGCTGATTACAAAAATGAGACAGGATGATTTAAAAATTAAAAGAATGTCTTATGTAATTGAAATATTGATAAATGTTAAGATTTTACGAAATATAACTAATTTACTATAATACAATAATCAGATAGTAGAAAAAATTATTGAAATTTCAGTAGGAGAATAATGTTGAAAGTATAGATAATTATGAAATTAAAAATTGGTATCTTAATTTAAATGGAATAAATCATAAATATAATAATATATTTGATTAGATGATAAATGTGTCTCTCTATTATGTTTAAATTCACCTTTTACATATATTATAAATTTGTTAATTCATAATTGATTGTACAACATAACAAAATGGATGATGTATATATATAATATAATGTTCAAATTAGAGGTTGCCAATGTTATAAATATCCATAATATAAACTATTTATATAATTAGATATAGTATTTGTTATGATTAAGCATTTATAAAAGTACATAATATATTACTACATTAAATAAAATTTGATGTATTGATATGATTGAAAATATAATTTATATATAATATTTTGATAACTCAATAAAATATTTTTATAATATTTATTAAATGATTATTCAATAAGATCATTATTGATGCTTTAAAAAATAATTGTTTAATTAAATAATTTATGACTAAACCTACTTCATGTAGTATATTGAATATTAATAGACAATGTATAGAAAAGGATTTATTCATTTTTATACTTTTGATTATGATATAATTTATTTTATAATATTGAATTAATAATGATTTGAATACATATTAAATATTTATAATATTATTCATTCTCCTTAAAGATAGAATACCCATTATGGTAAATCACCACAGGAAATTATTAATCTTCCATTGTTGCTAGTATTAGGTACTGCTTTGTAGGTGATATTTATGCTCAATACTTTTTTACCCTAAAAATTCTAAACATTATTCTTACATCAACTTTGATAGGGGACTTAACTGAAGAAGTAAATGCAGGATTGTCAATTCTCAAAGTGAACTCTTAAGCCTCAAAGAAAGGATTCTTAAATTCAATAGCAGGTGGTTTAGCACCTGATAATTTATATGGACCTTTAGGTTATGGAGTTATTCCTTATCCTATCAATAGACATTGATATTCTTTAAAATAAAAATAATATATTTACCTCCACCATCAGGTGATGTTACTACTAAAATACCTCTACTTTCATTTAAACTGCTAGGTTCATACTTTACACTTATCTAACATTCAACACCATCAAATGATTCTGATTAAGGTGCTTAGAATTGGACTTATTCACAAATAAAATCTGTTGTCTAGGCAGGTGCACCTTTAGCTTTTGGATCTATGTTCACAGGAAGAGGTTTTCCATTTGGACCCAATTTTGTTGCATAACATGTATACATTGTAGGTTTCTTGGTGTAATTCATAAATTTAAATGGCAAGACCATTTCAGTTCCCAAAGAAGCTTTGAAATAGAGTGATCTTGACACATTCTATTGTAATCCCTATAATTTAAGAGGATAGACAAATTCTCCTAATTAAATGGATTTAATTGTTATTTTTGATTAAATATCTTATACTATTAAAGGTCTATATGCTATTTCAAGACCAAATTCAGATTTAGGTGGGATTACAAATTATTGAGGATTGAATGAGATACTATCTGTTTCAGCTATAAGTTAATCTTTCTTAAATTCAACAGGTTAATTGATAGGATTTTCAATAGTAATCAACTTTGTAGCAACTTCCCTAACTATAGATGCTAATTCAATTTTAGGTAATTAATCTGGTGGTTGAATGCTTAAATTCTAAAAATATAAATATTAATAAATACTATTTTAAAGAATACAAATTCTTAAGTGATAGCATTTCTAAAATAGACTGTCACTTTATTTTATGATTATTTAAGTCCATAAATAGTGAGTTTATATTCCTTAGTACCTTCACTAGATACTTCAAAAGTATTGGCTCCATTAAGAATAATAGAAGGATCTTCAGGTTCTAATGTCCATGAGACTTCAAATCTTTGACTAGTTTTCAACCAGTTTTTCACTTACAATACTTAGGTTGTATTCTTTTTAGCTTTCATTGTTGTATCAACAGTTTATGGTAATGGTGGCAAACTCTTACCAAATAGATTATAGAGAAGTGCCTATCCATCAGGTAATGGGAAAAAGAGTGATCCTTCATGTTAATCTTATAAATTTTGTATTTAAGGATTAGAAGTCATAGTTAAAGGTTTGTAAATAACTTCATATTCAGCTTATCCATTGGCTGGAACTTCTACATATTCTTTACCTTCAAAATAATCTTTAAATTAAGGTAATAAAGCTGATACAGAAGCTTTGACTTTCCATGGTTTAGGTGTTGGATTTTTGACAACAACTTTTTTAGAAGTAGGTACTCTTACAACAGTTTCAAATTTAACTTCTTAGATTTATTCTTTTGGTTATTCTATACATTTGCCTAATAGATTTAAATATAATGGATCTGAATTTTAGATCAAACATTTCACCTTATCAAATCTAATATCATTATCAATAGCATTTGGATGGAATGTAATTTAAAATTATAAATCTTCATGTGCTGGTAATGTTCCTGATAATGGAGTAATAGTAAAATAATTTTTACAAAATGAAGTATCCCATTAGAATTTAGCAGCAACATCTCCCAAATTACTTAATTATACATTCTTTGTAAGTCTTGAATTAATAACAACTCCACCAAATCCTATAGTATCCTCCATCAATTTTAATTCTATTCCATGACAGGCTCCTTATACTGTTAATAGTTTTCTCACTTCATTATTTTCAACTATCTTAAAGAATAAATCAGTCTTGAAAGAATGTAATCTCTATTATGGCTTAAAAGTTAAAGTAATTTCTTTTCTCTCTCTTGGATTAATTACAAACTCTTTCTTAGGTCTAACCTTAATGAAATATTTTTATTTTAATTCTTTTAATAAATCTTATTCAAAAATTAAAGTTACCATCTTTTATGAATTATTCACTAAAGAAACAACTTCAGTTCCTATCTATCCTATACCATATATTCCAAAATCTACAAATTAATATTCAGTTTTTAATAAATCTAATTTCAAAGGAACACCTTCTCCTGTAAATCTCACTTCTACTTTTTACAAACCATTTATATCAAAGATCACACTTTCATCATATTTAATCAATTCTCTTGGAGTAAAAGTAATTGGAATCTACAAAACATTTAACTCTTTTGTTTATATAATTCCCTTCTTGTCCTTATGTGTTTCTATTTGAATTGGTAATAACACTTAACCTGATGGTAATTATACTCCAAAATAAGGTTTCTTTTCATACAAAGCTTCTATTGCCATAGCTTAAACATCTCTATTTCTTAATTCCAAATTTTTAGTGATTGGTAATGGTTATCTTAATACAAAACATGGACCAAAATCATATTATAAAAATGAAAATTCTACTGCTGGTTTTTTTGCAGATCCAATCAATTAGAAATTATAAGTAGGACCACTTGAAATACATAATGAAAATTGTTAATTCAATTTCTAAGGTG